AAGTCTTCGTCTTCCCTCCACGAGACATTAATAGCCGCGGCCCGGTGATCTGGAACTCTCAACTGCTATCTTTCGCGGGTGTAAGTCCTCTTCTCCGTAACGATTCCATGTGTACTAACTCCTCCCAGTACGAACAATCAAATGGCGAAATCCTTGGAGACCCCGCCAACGTCGAGCTAACCAACGCCATCATCGAGCTCGGATGGACACCACCGCGCTTCCGCTCGCAATGGGACCTCCTGCCCATCGTCACGATGGCCGAGGGCGAGGAGCCCGTCATCACAGAGCTTCCTAAAGACGCCTTCCCGCTGGTGCATATCCGCCATCCCAAGCACCCCAAGCTCGAGACCCTTGGCCTACGTTGGGTTCCCGCGCCGGCACTCAGCCGTCTTGGCTTCAGCATTGGCGGCGTGCAATACACCGCGACGCCATTTATTGGATGGTAGGTTGAACCACTGCTTCTGTGCCTGGCTCTCGCTGACTGATATCCAGGTTCATGGATGCCGAGATTGGCGTTCGCAACCTGGCGGACTCTTTCCGTTACAATGCGCTTCCACAGGTCGCCAAGGCCATTGGCTTGGTCGACGGAGATGTAGACGACCTACCAGACTATGAGCGTCTCGCTGTGTTGGTAAGCATATCCTGTTCTCGCCTCCTCACGTCGGCTGCTTACAATATCATAGTCCCGAGCGCAATTAGAGCTCAACTACGCCACATACTGGTCCTTCGCTCAGGCCGGCGTCAGGATGTCAGACTCGCTTGGCGCTGCGGAGCAGTTTGCTCAGTTTGATGACGAGCACCTCATGAACAACGGCTTCCGCCTGCCCTCAGATCCGTACTGGCTTGCCCCTCCCCAAGGCTCAATCATCCCCCTCTGGCACCGTGGCGGTTCTCCAAACTACCAGCCCAAGCCATTAATCTGCCGTCATGCCCAGGACCCCGTCAAAGCCTGGCGCCGCGAACGGCAAACCCGCTCAACACGACCACATCACCCCTCCGACACGAAGCTCAACATCTTGATCCCGGTGCCGTCCATATCCCTCACAAGGCCCGTCACACCCGTCTCTCCTTTCGGCACCGCTTCGACGTCCTTCCTACCCATCCCCCCTCCATCACAAACCACCCGACCCACGACACCCCTAACGCCGTTGAGCCCCAGGGGGCCCGGGCGCAGAATCTACATCGGATTCTGCAGCTCGGGCAACGTCGCCATCAAGCTCTGCAAGAGGCTGTGCACGCAGCTGCAGCACGCGTGCGACATCAACCCCAAGCTTGGCTCCGTCGTCCTCCCGTGCACGCTCAACGCGCTCCCCATCTCCATGGTCGAGCCCGACGACGTGCTGGTCATTGTGGCCAGCACGACGGGCCGCGGCGAGGTCCCGCAGAACGGCAAGGCATTCGCGGACGCGCTGGCGAGGAACCCCAAGGCAATTGCGTGCCGCTATGCCATCTTTGCGAACGGGTCGCTGGAGTATCCCGACACGTACAACCAGGCCGCGATGGACATTGAGGACTTGCTGAGCAAGGGGGATGCGCAGAGGCTCATTGGCATGCGCGAAGCCGACACCGGCGCCGAGAACCCGCCTTGGTCCATCCTCAGCCAGTTTTTTGACCAGGTCCTCACCGCGCTGCAGAAGTCGAGTTTAGAAGAAGCCGAGGGGGATGCGGACGACGTGCAGCGGACCGCTCGGCCGGTCCGACCTTTTGACACCAGGCCATGGTTTCAGGCCAAGGTCGTTGGACAGCCTGTCTTGGGGACGGCTGCGGACGGCATGAAGAGGGTCACGCTCGACTTGGGCGATCGCGAGTACCCGACCATGGGCAGCGTCTGGATCCTCCCACCCAACTCGAGGAACAAGGTGTCTCGTGTTCTCAAAGCCCTCGGCTTGAAGGCCGATGAACGCCTAAGTATCCCCGGACAGCCTACCGTCGGTGACTTCTTCCAGCGCTTCGCCGATCTGGAGCATCCTTTTAAGTCTACCGAATGGGCTGAGAAATTATCGCTGTCGCGGCCAGAGACCCTGGCCAAGGCTGCCATTGAGGATGTGGTCCACCAGATACCATCGGACTGGAGGCAGTCAGTGACGCTGGACGACCTCTGTGGCGCCATGCCGACGATTCAACCAAGAGAGTATTCAATCGCCTCCGACGGGTCCCAGACCAAGCACGATGAGGGAAACACCATCGATCTACTCGTCCAGCACCACGCCAACGGCAGGTTCTCAGAGAGGTACCTCGGCTGCTTCGAGACCTTTGGAGCCGTGACCTGCAAGATCCGCCCGTCATCCCACTTGCGGGACATCGCCGAGAACCAAGACAAGCCGACGATCATCTTCACAACAGGGTCCGGCATGGCGCCCGTCCGCGGGCTCTTACAGAACCGCCTCCAAAGGCTGCGCTCTTCTGGCGACAACCCCGTAAAGGGCCCCGCGATCAGCCTCTTCGCAGGCTTCAAGGCCTCGGACGAGTCACTCGTGCGCGAGGCGGTGCAAGAAGCAGACGAGGCGGGCATCTTTGACGTGCTAAAGCTGACGGGCAGTAACAAGGAAAAGAGGAGGGCACATGACGCGATGCTCGACAACGGCGTGCGGGAGAAGCTCGTGAAGAGCATTGAGGAGGGCGCGCTTGTGTTTGCGTGCGCGCGGCCGAGGGCCGTTGATGATTTCCTGAGGAACCTTAGCAAGGTGTTGGGACGTGATGCAAGGGAGGTGTTGGGCGATCGGTTTGTTGCTGATGTCTATCAGCCAGCAACTTGATCTGCCTCTGATTTGATTTCCCACATCTTTATCCTGACTGCGGAACTATAGACTTGGCAGCTGGTGGGAATTACTAAAAAGCGAGGTGTTGGGGGACTTCATGATTGTTTTAGGAGATCGGTACACTAGGAGTTCATCATATTAGATAGATGAGTTACAAAACAATAGATCATCTCATTGTTAATCAACATCATACCTATTAGGCATGACCAACAAAGCATGAAATGAGCGGGCTCATCACAATGGCCGAGTGTGAGAGGTGCCTGAATAGACTAGGTCATTAGTATGCTGCTCAAATGGTACACGTATGTGTACACCTACATTAGTAGAACAAAAACATTAGGGTTCTGTCTTTATCGACCCTGAATATGTCCAGGGTCGCAATAGTTTAAACATAGACCAACAATGTCACTGGAGAAAGTGATGTGTTTGGCTTTGCCTTTGAGGCAGCTTCATTATTGTTGTACATCATGATCATGAATAATCATACAATGCCCGGCATCGCTTCTTTCCGCCATCCGTATCCAAAGCATTCCCATTCATAACGCCCGTTCGTCCAAGGTTTACCGAGGGTTCTCGGCCTCGGCAGAAGCCTGCGTCACGCTCTCTGGCGCGATGTTGCCCTCCGCCGAAATGCTATCCGGTACGCTCTCGGGGGTGTAGTAGTCGGAGCCGGGGAACTTGTTACCACCGACGCCGGGCGGCTTGGTGCCAACGTTGTTCCGCACGGCGCCCTCGCCCTGCAGCAGGACGTCGTCCTTGCGGTCCTGCGTGCCGAGCGACGAGATCTTCTTGGCGGGGACGACATCGTCGTCGTCGTAGGCCGGGTCCTTGGCCGGCTGCTCGGGCTTGTACGAGACGTTGTTGGCGGGGTCGCCCTGCACCGTGACGGAGGCCCCGGGGAAGCGGTTCTCGGTCTGCACTGAAGAGACGCCGGCGTCGTCGTTGCCCTGGGGGCGCGCGTTGCCCGTCTTGGACTGATAGGTGTTCATGTCGAGCTGGGCCTGGGCGGCAGTCTCCATGAGCTGGTCCTTTGAGGGTGCCATTGTGTTGAGTTGTTGTGATTGTGATGGGTTGATGTGTAAGTGGTGTAAGTGAACTGATAAACTCTTGGGCGAGTCTAGAGGATATGATGTTTTTGTTTGGTTGTTGCTTGATACTGAATTGATTCAAAAAGGTTACTGACTGCTCGGAATCATCAACTTATGTAGTCGTCGTTGACTCTCATCTAGCCTCGCCATCTAAGCTCAGACGGCCGACGTCATCTCGATGATCTCACCGACAGCTGTGCTATGAAATCACCACACCCGCCAAAATGTGGTGCTGAGTGGGGAACCGACACATCTCATCGACCGCGATCGAAGGGGCCTGATGCCACAGCGCCGCCACAAGGCCCTCAAGGACCCCAAAGACCCTCAATGCGTCCATGGCTGAGACGGAAATTCGACCGGTTTGACGTAGGAGTGATATCAGTCCCCCCTAAAAACGGCTGCCCGATCAGCAGAGAGCCTGAGCTCCTATCGGGCGCCCGTACCTGGTGTCAGCGGCCCGGCCCGGGGGTGCTCCGTGTGTTCGGTCAAATTTCCGGTAGCCTCTCAGCCTCTGTCAGAACTTGGCGGCGCCGAACTCGCGAGTCTCTCTTTGAGTGCTTTTCCGCAGTCCTCTCAAGTCAGATCGAGCATTGCATCACCTTGGTCTTCGACCCGACCTCTAGTTTCAAGCGACAAACAAGGTATCATTTGACTCTGCATTACAGTCTTGATGCCTAACAGCCACGGCTCATGCTTTTTTTTTTTTGAAAGAATCCCAACACAGCGCACCGACACAATTGCAAAAATGCACGCTGTGATGGTGTAGTACATGAGCACCCAAGTCATACTCCTCCATGTCTCGTCCGGGGATGAGAACCCTAAACCGCAAAAATCCCTCCGTTTTATCAACTGCATATCGCCGACGCCACTGACCCGGCTTTTGTACGGAGATGCGGTTTTATACCTAACCATCGGTGCCGCTGCTGCGGAAAGTAGCGCAGAGCGCGGCGTAGTGGTGAGTGAGATCGAGAACTTCTTGAGGTAGGCTGGTGGCTTGGATGATGCTCCTGACCTTGACCGCACCTTCGTCCTCGATAAGCGTACGAATCGTATGGAGAAGTTCTGGAGAGAACTCCGAGTACCACCTGTACTGCCAGGTGACGAGGCGGATGACCGACGCAACCGTCTCGCGTGTGTTCTTGTTCTGTTCAAAAACACGAAGGATACCCGTCAAAGCCTTAGGGCTAAACCGTGCGGCGAGGCAAGCTCTGTATGCCTCTACGGCCTCGTCTGCGTGCTGAAGTCTCTCCGCCAAAGACCCAAGGATCTCCCATTCCTCGGCCGACTTCTTGTACTGCATCGACTGCGCTCTGTACTGGGCCATCTGTGTACGCCAAATCGTGTAAACGCGAAGGTCCTCGTATAGCACCATGAAGAGACTGTCCAGCCAACGCTCACACAGGCGTTTGTTGTTAAGCTTAGAGAGATGGTCATCGGTCTGTGCGCCCTGGTGATGTGTTAGTCGAATTCGCAGTGTCAGGAACAGGGGTGTTTACGTTTTCCGCGTCTCCCTTCAGTTCACCGGGATCTATCGCGTGGGTAGGCTTCTCCACGGCTTCGCCCTCCGTCTGTCCGTTTGTCGCCAACGTCTCGGCGGTAGACTCGGTGTCTGTCGGCTTGGACTTCTTCTCCTCGTCGTCCTCTTCGTCGTCCTCCTCCGAGTCCGACTGCTCACCGTTCGTTGTTGGGTCAGGGGTTCCGCGAAGGCCATCCGTGCTTGGGTTACGTTGAGTATGCGAGGTTTCCTGCTTCTCGGAGCGATACTCGTCCTCCATCACAAACACGGTGCTTCGGATCTTGAGTAGCTGGTCCCATCCGATCTTGGACGTCATCTCTGTCAGAATGCCATACGCTTGCTTGAAGGTTCCCTTATAGACTGCAGCGCGCAGGTTCAGGAGACTCGCATCTACTTGCTCGGAGTACCTAGACTCGGGTTCGCTGTCAATCTCGTCCAGTCGAGTCTCGGGGAGGGTTGGCAGATGGACATCCTTCGGTTCAGGCATCTGAGGCGCATCCTTGTCCTGGTACGTGAACATCGGGCAGGAATTGAGAATAGTCAGGGCGTTCTCCCAGTCCTCCATTGCCACGTAAACTTGCGCCAACCTTGCCCAGGTACCGAATTCACTGGGAGCAGCAATTGTGCTGCGATCAGCGCAGCCCAGCGCTAAGCGAAGTCTCTCTTCCTTCTGCTCGGGCGTCGTGGCAGTTTGCGCCTTCTTGAGGAGGAATTCGGCCTGGGTGTCGAGCATGACATAGTCCATCGGTGATTCTTTCAGTGCTTGGTGGAGCACCCTGACGCCCTCGACCTCCTCGTTGCCCATGAACAAGACCTTGGCGAGGAGGGAAGAAACCTCGACGTTTTGGTCCCTGAGCTTCTCGAAGAGGTTGATACCGGAGGCGTAGCGTCCCGTGGTCTGGAAGTACTTGAGGAGGCCGGCGGTCAGATGGTTCGAGACATTGTTCGGCACTTGAACGACACTGTCGGAACCGAGCTGCCAGCCTAGTATCATGTTAGTCAAGCAAATTGATGGCTCTCGAGATCCAAACACACCTCTGAAGAACAGCTGTTCGGCGGCGTTGAGGAAACGGTGTTCGGTTTCGGTGTTTGTGACGGGGTTGAATCTGCGCACGCCCATGATCTTCCGGATGGTCTCTCCGCTTCCATCGTCTGCGTACGAGTAGGCTCGCAGAACGCTGCAGAGGTACGTCTCCAGCCACAAGTCATCTGTCGCCTTGCGCTTATCACCTCGTTCGTCCACGCAGTAGCTCTCGACGGTTCCGGGTATCGTTACGTGGACTCGCATGTCAAGTCGGGAGAAGGCATTGTAACAGCTAGATGCAATGTTAGCTCTTGGAGCTCTGCCACGAAGCGCATCGTATTGACATACCAGTACAGGCCCTCCGAGATCTTGGTTTGCGCAGCCTGGCCATGCTCGCGATAGGTTAGAGTGTTGATGTAGGCGGCAAGACTGGCCGAGGAGGATGCATCAACGCCAGTGACGTGATGGTAGACTCCGAGCTATAGGAACAAGGCCGATTAGTGACGGACGGTATGGGATCGATGGTGCGCAAGTGACTCCTACCTGCTTGCCGGGGTTTCTCGTGGAATGCTTCAGGAGGTGGACGAGGTCAGGAGGACCCAGCTCGCGAAGGGAGATGAGGGATTCGGTTCGAGCGTCAACTGATTCCTGGAGAATCTCCTCGGTGAGCCTGGAGGGGGAATTAGCAACGGGGACGGTCGCTACAGCATGTGAGGGTGGTCAACGAACTCGGGCACAGCCGGCGCAACCATTGCGGCGGTGTTGTGTTGTCAAGCTACTTCGGGCGCAAGATGGAGTGAGAGAGGGATATGTGCTCTCGAGGATTGGATACGGTGTTATGAGCTAGAGGCTCGATGCATGTGGGCGATAGGGGGAAGGGCGTTGGAGCGATTTTGGCCAGTGTCGCAAAGTCAACGAGATGGCTGGGACGAGGTGGCCGGACGTGGGGGATCGGTAGCAGTTCCTGAATTGGTCGGTGGGATTGGCGAGGGATGTGTGGCCTGTCGTTTCCCAGCCGGGTTTGGTGGGAGTGGAAGCGATAATAGGAATTCTTGGGGAAGGTGGTGAATGGATGCAGATGTGGTGAGCTTGGACTCTCCACGTCTTCTGTGCCAGGACTGGGAACCTGCTGCCGGCTTGGAACAATATTAATGGGGGTTGTGCAATATGTAGGGGACAGGGACCATGAGAAGAGGCGCCTTGTTGCCGGCGTTTGTCATTGGCAGGAATATTGGGAAGAGGGACGATTAGGAGGAGCTGGGAGCCGGTGATGCACAGGGCGGACAGCCTGAGCTGGATGGAGCCACGAGAGCAATTTGTTTAGTGCCGGGACTCAAACGTGGCCGGGACCTGGTGTTCTTGCTGCTGCTGGTACGGTACGGTAGGTACTGCCACCGTTGCCATGTTCTTGAGATGCCAGGTGCTGCTTCTTGGCCGGGTTTCTTACATAAGACACGTCGCCAAACGCGGTGCACGGGCCCCGGACACAGCTTTGGGGGCCACCTTAAACCCCCTGAGCCTCAGTTTCTAGTGTCATCATCAGGGGGGATTGCAGTTGAACAGCTCCCCCCCCGCTGGGACGGACGCTGACGCGAGAGTCGTGGACGTTCGTATCCCCACCGTTGCCGGCCCATGCATGCTGTTCCTGGTGCGCGGTACGTACCCATTCGACAGCTCCAGAGTGCAAGCAACCAATTTAATGTTCTCCAATTCAGGTCGCGTCAGTCCCGGCAGCCACGCGCGGCGGAAATTCCTCCATAGCAAGCAATCGTAGCTGCGTGTTCGCAGAGAACCACCCGATACCCAAATCCACCACCCCGTGCTCAACTCCAGTATCCAGACAACGTTGCGGCTGCGACGATTCTGCTCGTAAGAGCGCACCGTCAAGATGGTTTGTCCATTGCCTGCGACCAGCCACTAACAGCATCCGACTAACCGACGCGCAGCCGGCCTTCCAAGCCATCAACGTCGAGACTGAGGAGAACATTGACGATGAGATTGACACCACCCGCGAGATCCATGTATGCGCCGACACCCAACCGCCCACATTCGCTCGGTACTGACTTACCAATAGGTCGATGAAGCTCTGAAGCGCTTCCAAAATGCCCTGAAGCTGCATGCCCAGGGTCCTCGCTTCTTCGACGAAGCCGCCGATGCCTACGATGACCTCTTCAAATCCGAAATCTTCAAATACCCGAGGCAGTCACCGAGTACGAGAGGGCAGAGAGACAGCCCGACCATTTGATCACCGATCCCGCTCTCGCCGCCGACCTCGACCTCCAAGTCGCCGAGGTTGACACCACCGGCAGCAGTCTTCCTCAGGCTTTCTTTCTCGCACATAAGAATCGTGGCCAATTCCTCCTCGACCGCACTCGCCACGCCGCCCGGAGCGCGGGAGATGATGCGCCCGCTTACTTCGAGAAGGATGAGGCGCTCCAAAACATGTACAATGCCCTGACGGACTTCAATGCCGCCCTCGACCGCGATCCGTCCGATGCCGAACTGTGGCGCCGCACTGCTCGCGTTGCCGCCTCGTTGAAGAGCTCGAGAATCAACAGGTACTGCCTTGAGGCCGCCATCGAACTTGACGATGACCCGACTGTTCTTGAGGTCGAGCCACCTTCTCTGGCGGAAGGATTCGCTGGGCAACAGTTGAAGGATCAGCTGCAGGTCTTGACCGACGAGATTGCTTTGTCCCACCCCATCATGGGCCCTTGGGTCAATCGGGACATGCCCGACTTCATCAAAAGACACATCGATCCCATACCCTTCCTACCGAACCCGATCAAAGAACTCGGATCCGCCCGCACTATCGTCGAGGAAGTAGGCGCTACCCGTCTGACTGTAGCATGTCCAACAGCATCTTGGGCCGACCTAGGCATGGCGTTGGTCCAATTTATACTCGAAAAGGGGCAGACAAGCCGGGCCATCGTCATTGAGCTTCCTGAAACGGAAGACGACGAAGATGTAGTCATGGAGAGTCCACCAGAGCAGGACAGTCAACCCAACGGCTCCGATGCCAAAGACAAGGATGGGGTCGCCACAAAAGAGGACAAGCCTGCGGATGCCGAAAAAGCTGAGAGCGCAAACGCTGTACCGAAAGAAACCCCAAAACCTCCCGAGAACACTCGCAAGGGCCGGGGCAGCTCTCAGCCGATCAGAAAGCGGTCGCAGTCAGCGGCGGGCATTCAGGAAGGACAAGAAGAAGAGAGCTTGGTTGAGAAGAGGAGCAAACGAATTCGGCGACGAGAAACCGCAGCTGCGGAAGAAGTTTTGGACCCTAATGCCGTCCTCGCATCCCAATTGGCACCATACCAAGCAGCCGACCAGAACCTATTCCAGGCCACCAAGAACATGCTGGAAAATATTGGCGTCACGGACCAAGCTACCTTGGATCGCATCAGCGAGGTGTTGGACTCGCTGGCGTCGGAAGAGCGCGCGGCATCCATCAAGAACCAGGCCACGGTGGACCTCCGCAATGCCATTGTCTCCTTCAATGAAGAAAATGCAAAAATATTGCTTAATAAGCAAGCCCAGGCATCTTTGAGCTTGTCGTCTTTCCTTGAACATGCCAAGGGCGGCTCCCAAAAGTTGTCGGTCATTCCGCCTTTCAAGGAGACGCAGGGAATCTCTTCTTTCGTAAAGCGAGTCAACTCTTCTTGGATGACGGCCCAAGAGGTTGCCTACGAGTGGCTCAAAGCGATCTGTCCCACCTATCTCGAAACCAAGTGGTCAGATGTCATGAAAACAGCCGTCGTCCAGGTCATTAGTCGGTTCGACCAGGACATTCTCCAGGCCATCAACTACGACCTGGATCGCGCGAAGCATTCTGACGACGTCGAGAAGGAATTCGGGTTCATCAAAAGCATTGTGGAGATGCTGTTCGAGATTCACCTTGACGTGTATGAAAGAATCACCAACCCTAACAGTGTGGTCGATTACAGCATCCGCGTTGAAGCCAAGGGTCGCCTGGGACGATGGTTAGACATGGCATCGGCTTTGCTGCGCGAGGCTACCCAGGAAGGCAACGAGAAGTTGACTAGTCGCTTCCTATGGGCTGCCATCTTCTCCACAACTCTGACCGAGAACGCTTCGAGAGAGTACATACTTCAGTGTTGGACGAGTTTGCGGGATTTCCTCTCGGAACGAGATTTTGACCAGCTTTACCTCCCTAACAACCCAGTGATACCAGAGGTTTCCGAAGCGGCAGCCGATAGGGAGATTTCCAAACTGACGACCATGGATTTCTTTCTCGGGCTTTTCCAGGACAACGTCAGCGACCCTGTTGCCGTCATTGACAATCTCGAGCCCGTCCTCAATCCAGGATCGGTATACGTCCCGGTGTCGTCAGACGAAACCACAAAGGACGGAGAGGGTTCTTCATCCGACCGCTCCAAGAACAAGAAAGTGCCTATCAAGGAATGTGCGAGTCAAAGTCTTCAAGATCTTTGGAGGTTCCTCCTAGGTACTAGCACGGAATTGCGGCTGTTCCTCTGGACGCGGCTTAGCGACGCCTATGCTAGCATCAAGTACTCCACGAAGCAGTTTTCGTGCCACCTCAAGGCCATTGAGATGCTCACAGCAGACCTGGAAAGCGATGGGTATCTCAAGAACGCACCAGAAACGAGACCGCCGCTGTTGCTGAAGATGCTCAAGGCTCTCGATGACCTGTTAATCACCGCGCTTTCGCTCGCTCTCAATGATAGCTCTGCTTACGATATTGTCGACGACGACCACTTGAAGTCAACATCGACTGCTCTCATCAAGTTGAGCTGCATGCTCCATGCGTCAGCCATGCATGACGATGAGATTCGGATTGGGATGACTCGTGCGCCACCGAGCAGTCCTTCGTTTCAGCCATCCCTCAACAAGCTGCGGGAGATTCAGGTGCGTGTGTGGTGCCTCCAGTACACGGTGATCAAGGTCGGCGTGAACCAAAACCGCACATTGTTCCCGAACCCAGAGATGGAGTTGGCGGACTTCCTATCAGCCATTCATCAGGTCGTCGGATTGAGGAAATGCTGCAAGGCCTCGAACAAGATCTTTTTGAAGATGATGCGCGTGGAACTGCTGAGGTTCAAGAAGATTGAGAATTGGGAAGACTATCTTGGCCAAGTGCTGTATGACCTTCATGGTCTTAAGCTTGGGGTCGGTGCTGGAGAAGTTCAGGATCACGGCTGCCCCCCTGAGAAGCTCGAGAAGCGCAATGCCATGCAACTGGTCGACAAGATCACGGTCTTAGCAAGGAGGATGCCCAGAAAGGACCTCTTGAAGTCGGACCTCAAAACGACCATTGAGCACATGCAAGGCGCCATCGGACAAACAAAGTCGACTCCTCAGATGATTCACAACCTCAGGAACTTTACCGAATACCTTAAGCGACCGATCCATCCCCTCAGACTCTACCAGGCCCTTACCGGCGGTGTTCAGTTGGATGTTGTTGCCGTCAATACCCCCGAAAGCGCTCTGGCGAGCCATGGGTGGTTCTTCTTGCTGGGCATGATCGCGTTGACGAGGTTCAAACAGGTTGATTTAAGCAAACGACAAACACCTGGTGCCACTGACGACTTGCGACTCGCGGCAACATTCTTGCGACTGCAGCTTCAGTTCACTCCAGATAAGTGGGATGCCTGGTTCCGTCTAGCTGAGTGCTTTGACTATGAGCTCGATGAGGCGGTCTTATGGTCAGCCGACAAGATGAACAAGGAGCGTGGGGAGTTGCTCAAGTTCCAGCGAAACTCGATCCACTGCTATACCCTTGCGCTGTCCAACTCCTGGGAAGTAGACATTGACGACGAGGACGAGGATCCGTTGTATGAGCTCTATCATAACTTCGCCATGCGTCTGTACGCATCCAGTCGTGAGCCCCTCGCCATGGAGCCGTTCCAGCATGCAGACCATGAAAGGTTCTTCATTGAGGCCTTGGGTACTGGGACCTTTCAGAGGGTGCTTCACGACCAGATGCAAGATTACAAGGTGTGGAAGTACGCGGCTGGCTTGTTCAAGCGGGCCATGAGACGCAAGCCGCAGGATTGGAGGTGAGCATCTGCTTCTTTAGCTTGTTGACTAGCTGTCACTAACTCGGCATAGAAACCCATATATGCTCACTAAGTGCCTCTGGAAGATGTACCAGAAGCCCCTTGATGAGCTGAGCCAGAAGGACCGCGAGACCCGCCCATCAGTCGGGTACTTGGTATCAGCCCTCGAGCATGCAGTCGAGGTTGTGTCTGCAGTGCCCAAGTCGCGACACAGCGATCCCATTTTAGAGCCGCATTACAAGATTGTCTCAATCGTCTACAAGCTTGTTGTTCGCGGTGACCTGAAGCCACAGGAAGGTGCGGATATCCTGTCGAGACAACCGTTCGGCATGGAATTAGGCGACGACATCACTCTCGACGATAACGAAGACTGGGAGGAATACGTCATCAGGAACCTTCACCATCTCCGGGACAAGGACAAGTCCAACTGGCAGCACCGTATCATCATGCGTCACGCTCGCCTCCTTTTCGACGAAGACTGCGAGTCGCCCGAGCTTGTCCAAGCCAAGGCCGCCTTTAACGTGCTCAGAGAATCCATGTTCACCAAGACGATGGTTATGAATGTCTGGAAATGTGATGCCGAACGCCCTGGGCGGCACCACGTCTACACATCACAGTACATCCGATTCATGGTCAAAATTCTAGTTGTTATGAACGACAGGGTGAACTTGGAGATGGTTCTCAGGCGACTACGCAAGAAGGGTGCGGACTTTTACCATTTCAGCGACTTGTGGCAGATGTGCTCCATGGCTTATCTTAGGCTGTTGCGGCAGGGGTTCCAGGTGCCTCCGACGCTGGATGACCCGTTCAAGTCGACGTCCCTGGAAGAGCTGGAAATCATGGCAGATCGCATCACCGAGTGGGCTGGGGGTCCATCGACCGACATCCCCGCGTTCACCTGCCTGAAGGAGACGATTGAGCTAAAGAAGCTCAATGGAGGTCTCATGAAAGCCGGAGCCATTGATGATCTCATCAACGACTGTTACGCCGTCATCTACCAGGAGATCGGCCCTACGCTGCCGGGTCCAGAACCGCACGAAGTTCTTGAGGCCCGCGCCAGGGCCCGCGCCAGAGAAGAGGCCGATGGCGGACTGGAACTAAAGCCATCAAGCTCACTGGGAAACCTTCTCAACCCAACCGCTGCCCAAGACTCGGGGGCGAATGGTGAGGGCGATAAGACGGCTGCACCAGAGGCAGCCCCGAGGCGCAGGGCAGGCGTTCGCAGGCCCGACATCATCCGAAAAGCCGAACAAGCCTTTGCTCGCTTCAGTGAAGCGCCAAAGTCATCGGTTGCTCCATCCAAATCCCGCGTTGGATCGGTCTCGAGCGGCAGAAACGGGACGCATACTCCTGCTGGAGACGCTGGAGAGGGCAGTGGCGCCGAAGACCAAGGTGAAGGCGAGGCGGGTGAAGAGGGCGAGGACACGGAGATGAAGGACACAGTGATGGAAGGGGAAGACGGCGACGAGGCGCCCGCGCAGGCCACGGCAGGATCCAGCCCTCGGGGTAGTATCCACGACTCGGCTGATGACGAAAGTGAGCTCAGTGATGTTCCTGATGACTGGGATGAGCAGCCACCTCCATCACTCATGTTCCCGAACCTGAGGAAAAGCGTGGACTCTGGTCAAGCGGAGAACGAAAACTCCAGTGACGGTGATGACGAGGAGGAGGAGGAAGAAGAAGGCGGTGATGAAGAGGAAGAAGAAGAGGGAGGCGAAGAAGAGGAAGGTGAAGAAGAAGAGGGAGGTGAAGAAGAAGAGGAAGGTGGAGAAGAAGAGGAAGGTGGGGAAGAAGAGGAAGGTGGAGAAGAAGGAGGTGAAGAAGAAGAGGAAGAGGGTGGTATAGAGGAAGAAGGAGAGGAGGAAGGAGAGGAAGGAGAGGAAGAAGAGGAAGAGGAAGAAGGTGAAGGTGAAGGTGAAGAAGCTGAGGTAGAAGAAGGCGATGAGGAGCAAGAGGGTGATGAACAGGAAGACGACGAACAAGAAGAAGAGGACGAGGAGCAGGAAGAAGGCGATGAAGAGCAAGAAGAGGGCGACGTGGCTGATGAAGACGAGGACGAGTAGCATGCCCAGCCCCTCAAACACTAGAAAGGCATGGGGACGGGGGTTGGGCATTTGTTGGAGGTGGTTACTCCTGGTACAGAACAGCTGGCATTTGCATTGTTGGAAGTAAAGCGGAGTCCGCTGGAGCGAGCATTGGTTTGTGTATGAGTAGGAGTAGTGTGAGTCGTGGGCAGTGTAAACAAACAGCGTGGTTTATGGGAAGCGCAGGGTCAGCGGTGTCATGGGAGATTATAAAGGCAGCCGCCAGGGGCTCATATCAGTAGGACGAATCCATTTTCCATTTTGCATCCGCTTCTCATTTGGTCACTATTCGCGTCGAAGAACCTGCCGCCCTTGTCCCGAGCTTTACAAAGACAGACAGACACACGATGTGCATTATCCGACAGGTCGCTAAGGAGGACTGCCGCCATACGACGGAGCGGTGGACGGAGATGTGCCCACCGGCCAGGCAGCGCGGCTGGGCGTGTCGGGTGAGGGTAGGCTTGGAGACGTGGTGGGAGGGTGGGTATTGCGATGCTTGTCTGAAGGATCTCCCTGCGCGGCTGTGTTATCCGAGGTACGCTTGAGGGTGATACTGGACTGGCGTGGCGAGGGGTTCCGGGGCTTTAGGAGCAAAGGTCGGGATATTTGGATTATTATGAGTCAATGACAGCAGACGCTGAGTGCCTTGATAGCTGAGGATGGATACAGATAGAGTCAACAGTCTGAGATGTTGAATCGACTGGTGCCGCTCATGTCATATTCCAAAGGTGCATCGATCGCAACGGGTAGTTCCTCTTCATGTTTTTCATTAGTTAAAGAGTTCATGACTGTGTCTCCAGGAACGCAGGCAGAGCAACCCCTTGAAAAGAAGGATCTTGGCAAAGGAAGAGGGCTTCAATACTAGCAGGTCTAGTCCTAGTTCATGTCGCAGCGTTCGAGTGTTTCTTGCTGGAGAACACAGGAGTGAAATTGTTCCATCAATTTCAGAAACACATGTTACCAAGAAGGACTCCTGCCTACCTCACAGGAAGGCTCGCCATGCCCACGTCCGACCCGGCCCTCACCGAGCCCGGCGTGAGTGGAGTGGAGACGGGCCATGCTACGGGGGTGCACCAGCCAAACAGGCTACACCCACCCCCCGTGCCTTTTTGACCGGCGGCGCTAGGGGCCAGCAATTACGCCTTCCCAGTGCCGCCTGGCAGTCCGCACCCAGCCCGGCCAAGCCCAGCACCTCTCAGCGAACGCGGCAACTTCCGCCCCGTCGACAACCTTCCACCAAGCCCAGCGACCGCCCGCAGCCAGCAGCACCTCGTACGCACCCCGGTAGCTTTCCCACCACCATCACCAATCCCCCATCCACACAATCGCGAACCTCCCTCCTCAACACCCACGACCTCCCACGAGCCAAAACCAACACCCTCCGTCTTTTTCGATTCCACGAAGCTCTCCAATCGAGAACCCCGTTTCCTCCCCCCAACGACGATCCAATCCGCGCAAGGGTAACTCTGCAGCACGAGGGAGCCAACGCATCCTCAAAACCATTTCCAGACCTCAACCAGACACCTCACATCACACACCACACACAATGGCCTCCTCGGACGCAAAGCCCGCGCAGGACAAGACCGCAGACCCCAAGGCCGACGAGTCGACGGCGCAGCAGCAGGCCGCCGCCAAGAAGCCCGCGCTCGGCGAGGACGACGAGTTCGAGGACTTCCCCGTCGACGGTGCGTGGCTCCTCTGCTCCCCCCCTCCACCCTCCTTCTTTCATCGACTCCTTCTCCTCCTCCTGCTATTCCGCTCTCCATTCCCAGCCTGAGATGAGACGCGGGTGCAGTCGTGGCTCTCCATCGAACCCTCACTGCGCGACTGAGAGGGGACCCGCCCCGAGAACACTGACCATGAACACTGCCCGTGGAAACGTGAGCTGACTTGACCGCGACAGACTGGCCCCAGGAAGAGACCGAGGCGGCCGCCAGCGGAAGCGGCTCGACGCAGCACCTGTGGGAGGAGAGCTGGGACGACGACGACACGAGCGACGACTTCTCGGCGCAGCTCAAGTATGACAAACCCCTCCACCACCCTGGACAACCCCCCCAAATGTATCGCGGCGCCCTTCAAATGCTAACGTTTGCCCCAGGGAGGAGCTGAAGAAGGTCGAGGCGTCCAAGCGACGATGATTGCGCACACCCCACGAACATGTCTTGGTGAGGGGAAGCCGGAATGACGCATGGTGACGGGGTGGAACCAACGGGGCATAGACTACTTACGAGCTCTATCTAGACGAACTGGCGGCATACCAGGAATGGAATGAAATCACAAAAGGGCAACGGGTTTTCTTTTTTTTTTATTCATACGGTTTCGGGACGAGACGTGTCTACTTTTTTACTGTTTATTTGATGTCGTGACGTTTTTGGTTTACTTAGGACATGACACGGGGGCATTACGTTCATCATGACCACCCTCTTCCCTGGGGCTTCCGCTTTCCCTTAGTTCTGGGGGTCCCTACAGACTGGCCTTGCCAGCCCGACCTTTCCCATCTATCAGACCGGTCGAGTCCATGGAGCGGGACACATCCTCCCGCGGACAAGGACTGATTTACTTACTCGACAGGGCAGTGACACCGGGCAGTTCCTTGCCCTCGAGGAGCTCCAAGCTGGCACCACCGCCGGTGGAGACGTGGCTGAGCTTGTCCTCGACGCCGTACTTGGCGGCGACGGTGGCCGTGTCACCACCGCCGATGATGACAATCTTGCCGCTCTGGGCAGCAGCGACGGCAGCGTCGAGCGTCGCCTTGGTGCCGGTGGCGAACTTGTCAAACTCAAAGACACCGGCGGGGCCGTTCCAGAGGATGGTCTTGGCCTCGTCGATGGCCTGCTTGTAGAGCTCGACGGACTTGGGGCCGCAGTCAAGACCCATCCAGCCGTCGGGGATACCGGTCTCGTCGGTGGCGGAGCCGACGTTGGCGTCCTTGTCGAACTTGTCGGCCGTGACGTAGTCGACGGGCAGGACGAGCTTGACGTTGTTGGCCTTGGCCTTCTCGACGAGCTTGCCGACCGTCTTGGCACCGGACTCGTCAAAGAGCGAGTCGCCGATGCTGACGTTCTCGAGCGTCTTCTTGAAGGTGAAGGCCATGCCACCGCAGACGATGAGGGTGTTGACCTTGTCCAGCAGGTTGTCGATGAGCTGGATCTTGTCCGAGACCTTGGCACCACCGAGGATGGCAAGGAAGGGGCGCTGGGGGTTCTCGAGGGCCTTGGCGAAGTACTCGAGCTCCTTCTTCATGAGGAAACCGGAGGCCTTCTGGGGCAGGTCAACGCCGACCATGGAGGAGTGGGCGCGGTGGGCAGTGCCGAAAGCGTCGTCTGGCAGTCGTTAGGATTGTATCATGAGCGTCATGTTCACAGGGCAAGACTCACTGATGAAGACATCACCGAGGGCGGTGAGGCCCTTGCGGAACTCCTCAACCTTGGCCTTGTCGGCCTTGATCTTGTTGCCGTCGGCGTCCTTGGCGGAGCCCTCCTCCTCAATGTGGAAGCGCAAGTTCTCGAGCAGGATGACCTGGCCGTTGTCGGCCTTGTTGACAAGGTCCTCGACGTCCTTGCCGACGCAGTTCTTGGCGAACTCGACCTTCTTGCCGCCGAGCAGCTTCTCGAGCTCGGGGACGACGGGCTCGAGGCTGTACTTGGGGTTCTCCTGGCCGTTGGGACGGCCGAGGTGGGACATCAGGACGACGGCCTTGGCGCCATTGTCAATGGCGTACTTGATGGTGGGCACGGCGCCAGCAATGCGCTGGTTGTTGGTGATCTTCTTGTTGGAGTCGAGGGGGACGTTGAAGTCGACCTGCGGGGTGGTTAGTGGGGGCGGTCCAGCAGAGACGAAAGTAGCCCGTATGGCCTTCCGGTGTATTCCAATGCCGGGCGTGGCATGGCGTAGAGTCCCGAGGGCAATACCCGCGGCTCATCCCGTATCGCCAGAATACGGAACGGCTGCGAGCTCGCACCCGGAATCAGGCGCGGGTGGCATGGTGGGGTAATCGCGCTGCGCCGACGCAGAGCAACCAACACCCGGCAACGCAGCCAGCAGCAACAGAGAATCACAACAGCGGGCTCGAGTGACTTACGCGGATGAGGACGCGCTTGCCCTTCAGGTCAACGTCGGTGATGGAGAGCTTGTTGGCGAGAGACATGGTTGCGATTGGGGGGTATTTGGTGTTGTAGGAGGGGAAAAGGAGGTGTAGTTGAGGAAGAAGAGAAGGGAAAAGAAGTTGAGAGGAGATGGATGGCTTGAGGTATATTTAGGAGGGGAGCTGGGATGGGACAGGATGGGACAGGACAGGACAGGACAGGAGCGGACTGGACTGGACACACACTAAAAACACGCAGCAATCAGTCACCTTAAGTGGTTCAACACACGTTGGGAGGCTTCGGCCATGGATGGTGGGGGTGCTGGCTGCTACTGCCTACCCGCCAGGTGGTGCATCGAGGGGCATTCTCTCAGTGTTTTGCATGCCTTTTTTTTTTTTTGTTGGCGGGGTTGAACTCGGTCCCTCTTGCCTTAGTGTCTTAGTGGGATGCAGCAGCTGTTGTCCTTAGCTGGCCGGGCCTGGCCTCCCTTGCCAGGGACGTTGCCAGGAAGTGGGGAGCTCGAGCCCAGCAGCGCCGCAGAGACAGCCCGCCCGCGGCAGGAGCTGTTGTGCCCCGCCGTGCTTTGTGACGTGATGGTAGTCTGATACCTCACAGAAACTGCGCTTCTCCCTCAACACCCCGGTCGCCGGCGTCCACCCGGCATCGACGGGACAGCCTCAAGTCGCCAAACAAGCCAGCGGCGTCTTGGCTACCGCGTTTCCTGTTTCGTCACTATAATTGGACAATCACCTGCTTTTAGACCGCCGTCTTGCGTCTGTGTCAACAACAACGAGTCCCGGACCGCAAGCCCAGCAGGGTTGTCCGGTTGCCATCAGGAACTGCCTCTAATATGACCGAGAGATACGCCGCCATCTCGCAACGAAATCAGACATGTTGCAGCATCCTCAGACCACCCGTCTCTCCCAGCGCAAAGGACAGGAGACAATAGTACCACACACACTTTTTTCAATGTTACTGTAGTGTATTGTTGTTTTGCTACAAAGAGAATACTAAGGGCCGCCCATATCGATCTTTCGGACCCAAGACACCAGACGCCTGTAAACATCGAAACCACCCGGTGCTATTTATAGTGATTGAACGAGACCCGAGCGAACCTCTTGACGAACCTCTCCAAGTCGAAACCGGTATATATAACGCCTCTGGAAATGCCTGCAGCGGTGTGCAACCTGACCCAAGCCCATGCCGACCCGCAGACCATGATATCAAGGAAATCGAGCGTAAGTTGTATGCAGTGCATCTAGCTGAGGCGGATGTGGGCGTCCTCGCGGGAGGCCGCGGGACGGTTGTCAACTTCTTCCGAAGCGTTGGTCAACGAGAGGTAGGCCGTCCAGGCGATACCGATCGTGGAGACGAAGGGCTGGGAAACACGTTAGCCATGCCGTTTGCAGTCAAACGGTTTCGAGGCAACTCACCAGCTGGAACTGGACGGGCATCAAACGGAAGTTGATGATCTGGACGGCGGGCCAGACGATGAAGTTGGCCTTGAGCGTGGGGATGTACATGTCGCGCAGCTTGTTCAGCACGGCGCGGCGGCCACCGCCCTCGGCGACGGTCATGACGGAGAAGAAGCAGAGCAGACCGAAGGGCGCAAAGATGAGCTGGTCGAAGGCGACTCGCTTCATGGCGGGCACAAAGGCGCTCGTCTTGGTAATGGGGAAGGCTGTCGACAGGAACTTGAACCAACGGAACTGCAGGGGCGCCATGCCGAAACCGTAGGCCATGAAGCGCGTGAGGCGCTCAAAGTCAAAGGGCGGGGGCAGGTGCTTGGAGTCCGGGATGAGGTCCTTCTCGTAGAAGGGGTTCTTGCGGTCGAGGTCGTGGATCTCGATGGCGACGCCATCGTCCTTGTCAATGCCGCCGGGCTTGCGGATGGCCTTTAGGCGGAGGGCCGTGATGGTCTGGGCCGTCGTGTCGGCGATGCCTCCGAGGATGGCGTTGGTCACCATCATGGTAAGGACTGCCGGGGAGCGAATGTTAGCATTGATATCACGGAGCGCATCATGGGTGGCGAAATATGTTTTAGGCGTAGAGCTGGGGCAGTAACGTACGTGGCCGTTCATCGTAGTATTGGTTGAACTTGGAGACCAACCTGGCGACGAGCGCCATTTCGATAAGGGCGATGACTGCGTGAAGCAGCGGCTATGGCGAAAGGGTGCAAGTCAGCGCAAGTTGATGTAGTGATTATGGCGGCGAGCGATGATGGAAACGATGCGGAGAGAAAACCGACGCAAGAGAGACAAAGAGTGATTCAGATTCAGTGTGCAAGGAATGTGTCACCCTTGGAGGACACAGGGGACGGATGGAACAGATGGACAATGCTATGGAAGGGGTTGGCATACAAGGCGTCCGTAGAGGTATTTGCTGTTGACAGCTCGGACGATGCGGCGGCGAGAGAGCTCCCACGACATGATGGATTATTAGGAGGAGAGAAGCCGGGGGTGGGAAGTTTCTTTCTAGTTGGGGAGGTATGTGAGCGACCGGCGGTAGTTCGTTGCGACTTGATCGGATCGATAAAACCAGGTGGCCGCGCTATCGACTCCTCTCTATTTTCCTCGAGATGAGGTAACGGGCAAGCAAGCAGAGCGAGGAAAAACTAGACGAGGATTTGGCAAAGGGGCCCCTTGATGGAACGGGCTCTTTTGGTGCTTCTGCAGGCTTCGAAGGCTGGGTACGATGACGACACCGTAGCAAAGGATGTTCGGGAGGTGGCGCAAAGGACGATTGGTCCGAGTCCGCTAGTCGCCGTGCTGGGGTTTGGGGGCGCGGGCAGGCGGAGGCTTTGTTCCCACTGGGCGGCGCGGCGAGGGGAGGGGAGAGATATATTACGATACGGCAAGCTAAGGAGGAAAATGAGCAACAAGAAAAGAAGATCACCAGACTTGGCGGGAAAAGGAGATAAGGTAACGTAGGAGTGATGTGTTTAGAAGGGGAACAAAAAAAGGTGGGAAGGAACGGATTCTAAAAAGAAATGGAGCAGCGGCAGGAGCAAGCCATGCAAGCGATGCCTGTGACCATCCAAGTGCCAATATGGAGTTTATGTACAGTAATGTGATGCCTAAAGAAACGAACCTGGTCAAAAGACCGAGATGCAGGGCCCCTTCTTGCCTTCCGAAGGCGCAAGTTGCGCTGCTGCTTTGCGTGCTTCAAACGCTGGAACTCAAAATGGACGGATTCCAAAGGTACCGCCCCTGGTCTCTTTCTTTGGATGGTGGGTGGAGGATGGATGGATGGATGGATGGCGTTTCTGTGGGGTGCCAGTTGGGGACAGGGAAGGGGAGGGAAAGCTCATGGGACTCGTCGAGCAAGACGGAGTTTCGGGCGCACGCTAGCGACGATCGCACTGTGTTACGCTGGTTATGTCGCCCGCCGGGCGTCTCCCGCCCCCACAACCGACCAACACAACACAGCTGTGATGCTCGCGCGACCTGACTTGTGGACGGCCGTATCCAAATCTTGTTCGGCTTTTTCACCGGTGCCACTGAATCCACCGACTGACAGACGACTCACCTGGCTACATATTGAACGGCCGCCCCTCTCTCCCCCAACGGCTCCGACCGTGCCGAAGCCGCTCATCAGTGGCCGCACAGTGCTTTCATCGACCTGCGCCCCCCACCACCCCTTCGGCGATCCTCGCCCTCGGCCTTCTTATTCTTCTTCAACTGGTACATGATACGTACGGTGCAGCATCGATATGGTGGTCTCTCACGTTGGCTGCCAAAGTGTCACAATCCAATTGCGTGAGGGCCCCCCGCTGGCCCTTTTTCGTCCCGTTTGCTCTCCCAGAACCGACCGACGACACCGTTTGGCCCCGTCCCTGCACGGGAACCCCAAACACGACTCTTGCCCTCCCGATCAATGCTCCCGTTTCATCCACGCGTACAAATCGTGGGGTAACCGCTGTTTCTCGACCTCGACGCATAGCGGTGGCGTACGGAAGGGGGGGGGTTGGAGCTCCTCCGTCCGCCGCCGTCTTGAGATGAATTGACTAATGACCGCATCTCCCTTCCCTTCGCCGGCCTCAACACTTTGCAACCGCACGTCTGATCCCCTCCCATGTCTGGCCTCCCCCCTCCTCCGAACGGAAACAAAGTTACGGAACGGCGGTGATTTGAACTTTGGAAGCGTGCGCTTGTTCAACATAGGGGTCCTCGGGGCAGGATGAACCCTGGCCGCATGTCCTGAATCGTCATGGGCGCACCACGGAATCTTTTGTTTGTTTGAATCTGCCACCCTTCCGTGTGGCATTGTTTTCCTCCCGGCTGGTTTCCACCATATCAAGGTTTGGAAGAGACTGATCTCTTAAAACTCACAGCCGAGTCGAAGCACTGTCAATGCTGTTTCTAGACGTACGTATGCCACCCTCTCCAACTCCTTCGCATCGCTCTGCCGGACGGAGCTCGGGTGGAGGTGCCTACTCGAACCACGGGGGTTCACCTCCCTCCGCCGCGGCTCGTCCCGACAAAGTTCCAAAGATACCTGCAACATTTTCAGTATCCTGCCATCTTTGGTTATGTGTTGTAACCCTCGGAAAAAATCACACTGTTGTACAGTAGTCCTTGCTGCAAGAGGTAATGATTGAAATGTCTCGGTACTCCTTGATCACCGCTCTTTCTCGGCTCCCACGGAGCCCACTAACATCGTCTTTCTTTTGCCTGTGTCTACATCGTCCATTAACCCCCTCAAGCTCAACGTCTTCGGTGCCTTGTGCTTCTCGTATCGAACGATGCCTAAAGAGATGTTGACCATCGTAACAAACTCCATATTCGCATCGTTCATGATAGTGCGTCGCGACGGGTCCCCAGCAGTCATCCGTCTACAAGTCTCAGCCGAGCTCAGAACCTGACAGGGAAGGTTTCCGGGATAAAGTATGTTTGGCTTCGGAACCACCACCGCCTCCGCCTGTGTGGCCAGCGTAAACTGCAGCGGGATGTTACGCCCACTCGCGCTCGTTCAACTCCGTGATCCGACCATCATGGGTCAGGTCCATGGTAATGCCACCACATGCACTGGACGAGAAGAAGGGATCGACAGTAAACAAACTCCAAAAATAGGGCAGTTGTGTTTGCGGCTCCGTGTCCGCCTCGTTGTCAATGTCACCCCGGTCACGTCACGTCGCACCTGCCTTGGCCCCGTTGCCTTCTTTGACAAGATATACTCGTGCATGGCTTGCTGGACACGAGTGAGGTCATCCCGCTGAATCGTCATGCTGCATGGTCCAGCATCCTGGCTGCTGCTTTGTGAAAAAAAGTTAACCTTGGACATGGAAAGTAACATGTGCACGCCAGCCTGACGGGCCGTCCGATGCGTACCTTGGCGGGAACTCGTCGGTTGCGGGCTCCTAGGTTTCGGCGTTGTTTTTGCTGTACTTTGTTGACACGTCGTATTCATTCCGAGCGAAACTTTAAGGTGGCTAGGAAATATTATCAGATAGGGAGCCAAATTTTGGACGTAGGAGTCTCGCAGCTGTGCTAGACGAGAAACCATGGCCCAGTTGACTGCGGTGTCATGTTGTTGGTGACGGATGCGAGTTGGTGTTGGCCGTTTCTGGGACTTTATATATAACGTGTCGAAACCGTCTTTTCACACTTCTCGTATATCTGACAGATGGTTAAAGCATTGCAAGGAGAAGGGGGGTATAGCTGAGATTCCTGGATTGCCTCGAGACGGACCCGTCTCGATATGTAGACTAGGTCATCAGATTTGCTAGTCACGAAGATGGAAGAAATTACAGCCAACAGCAAAAACCCTTATTCAGGCCGGAATCAAAGGTAACGCGGTAATAGGATTAAATGTGTTTTGCAGATGAGTTTTGCTATGTTGGTCAAGGTCGTTGCGTCATGTCTTGCCGTATGGACCGCAGAGACCTGCCGACCCGCTAGTTCAGGAAGACATTCACCGACTCTCGCGAGTATCCCACCGTCTTCGGCCAGTCGCTGTAATCCGCCTCGAAGAAGATGGCATCGTTGCAATCGCTCCCGAGAGATGTGTTGTTCAAAAACGCGGGCTCCCAGTACCACAGACCCCTCCCAAGACCCCTCGGAGCCTCTCTGACGATGCGAAGCACCTCGGCCATCCACTCGATCTGCCCGGCGACGCTGTACGGGATGCTCGGCTCCGACGACTCCGGGATCGGGTTCCACCGCCCGTCGCACACGGCCGGGTAGTCCGTCTCGACGACCTGCATGGGCTTGTTGTACTTGTCCGCCAGGGCGCGCAGGACGCTGCGGAGGTTCTCAAACGTCGCCGACGTGCCGTAGAACGGGTAGAAGCTGAACCCGAAGCTGTCCCACGCCGACAGGGGCACGCCGTTGTCGACGAGCGCCCCGTACCACCGCTCCTGCAGCGTCAGGTTCCACCCGTTGTCGAGGTGGATCATGACCTCGGGCTTGGGCACGCCGGCGCAGGTGGCGTCCTTGACGCCCGCCCGCGCGGCCTTGTACAGCGTCGCGAGGTTGGAAAAGTTGGCCACCGTGGCCGACCACGGCTCCACGTCGACCGAGACGCGGCCCAGCGGCCAGAGCATGCCGTGGCGGATCTCGTTGCCCAGGGAGACAATGTCCAGCGTGACGCCGGCGTCCTTGAACGCGACGAGCGTCTCGCGCACGTACTCGCGCAGCCGGCTCGCCAGCGGCTCCAGCTCCGTCGGCCACGCCGCCGGTGCCGGCTGCTTCTGCGGGTCCGCCCAGCTGTCGGCGAAGTGGAAGTCGAGGAAGATGCGCTGGCCCTTGGCCTGGAACCGCTTGGCGAGGTCGATGTTGTAGTTGAGGCCGTAGGTGCCGTCGGGCGGGTTGACCCACAGCCGCAACCGGACGGCGTTCATGCCGCCATCGGCGAGGATGTCATCCGCCGGCCGCTCCTGGTTGCCCCGCGCCGTATCGACGAAGACGCTTTGCGACTCCTCGAGCATCTTCAGCGAGCTCAGGTCGTGACCCTTGTAGAAGAAGGGCGTCTCGGCGTCGGACTCTGAGCTAAACTGTCGTCAGACCGTGAATTCAAGCAAGTTGGGCCGAGTGACTTACTTGAAGCTCTCCGCAGCCGGGGCCGCAGCCGCCAGAGCCGTGAGGCTAAGCAGAGAAAACAATCTCCTCGCGATCATGATGAAGTGATATCACAGCCGGTGCTACAGAAAGCTTCCAGCAAGCTACCGACGGCTGCCGTTATATATATATCCCAACCCCTCACCACCAGGCCCACAAGCAAAAAGTCGAATCATCATTTCAACTGCCCGCCAAGGTCTAGACAAATGCAAGCGAGCTGTCACGGGTCTCGGCACTCTTGTCTCTCGGGCCAAACGCGACGACTCGACGGAAGATCTCAGCGAGCGTGGACAACAGCGAACAACTGGAGACTGCCCCAGACTGCGGGGACTCATCGCGGGGTTACCGGGGAGTGACCCCATACCCGGCAGCGTGACGATTGGTGCGCCTGGGTGAGTTGCCCTTGTCGCCTCCCGCAATTTCGGCCAATGTGCCCCCAACGAGTTACTACAGCTCGTGGTCTAGCTTCTCTGCTCTTGTGCCAAGCTCTAAACGGTCTGGCTCGTCTTGGTCACCGGGTGGCAGGTGGGGATGAAGCTTCGAGAAAACATTGATCAAGACAGGGCCTGGAACCATGCTTTGGAGGCTCTCAACCGAGGCATCCTATTTGATTCTGTAATGTATACAACTGTAGTTACAACACCCAAGTTGCGATTAAGCTTAACCATCGGCTAGGACTCGAGTCCAGTCGAACTTCCTCCACTTTTTGTTGAAACCCTCAACGCGACGGTCGCCCTTGTTCCACCGTCCTTGTTTCTTGATCACGTCCGGGCCGACGTCCAGTATGCCCCGATAATCTCCCTCGCAAAGAGGTCGCCCCTCGGCCAGCGGTCAGAGTTTTCCACAACGTGACCGAGACCGCCATCGAGTGTGAACCACGCGTGAAAGTATGGCATCTCCTTCGCGATGCTCCGCCGGAACGCCATCCTGCCCATGCCATCTCGGGCCTTGGCAGCCGTGTCAATGATCTTTTGGTGCTGCGACCACTCGTCATCCGTGGTGAGGAAGGCCTCTTTGAAGTAGGCCGGGGCTGTGGCACCCTCTTCGTAGGGAATCGGCACGGCCATCATGGCGGCGTGCAGATGCCTTTGCGGCGCCGCGGCGTTCTCGTAGAAAATGACTTCCTGTCCCTTCTCGTGGTACATTCTGGTGAGAGACTTCATGAAGTTCCGGATCTCTTCCCATTCGTCGTCGTCGCACTCCAGGAGGTTCTTGCGATGTGCCATGGGCACAATGACGGCGCCGCCTTCGCTGACCTCCGGTTCCGTGGGCAGCGTCAGAAAGACACGAGTGCCGAGGGAAATGACCGGTGCCAGAGGCGGCTGGCCCTTGTCCTCGTGATGGCACAACGGGCAGTTGTCCAATATCCGTGACACCTTCTGGTACTCGTTGACGGCGACGTTCTTGAGGTTGATCTCAGACTTGTGCACTCGCTTCGCGAGCTTGTCCGCGTTCTCATCCATGTAGTCGAGGTCATTGTCAAACTTGCCGTCCTTGGCAATGCGCTCAGCAAGCCGCATGCCCTCGCCGCCGGCCTGGCCACGTGTTCTGCGCTCCTCGCGGACCATGTCCTCGATTGACATGTCCTCGTTTGCTTCCACGTTGCCGCGCTCTCGGCCGCGCTTGTTCTCAATGGCCTTGACTTCGCCACGGGTTCCCGCCAGCATCCTGTTGTCCATGACACCTAGAACGACCGACTGCGGACCATTGGTAGCAAAGTTGGCCGCGGCTTGGTTGTATTCGGCTTCCAGCTTTGCAGCATCTGGCGCCTTGCGCAGCTTTGCCTTCATCATCTGGGCTCGCAGTCTGTTCAAGGCGGTCTGGTCCATCGGGGTGTGCTGCATGGCATTGTCGGGGATGATAGTGCCCTGCTCAAATTTTTCCTCGTGGTCTCGTTGGACCGACCTCTCTGCACGATGCTTTTCCAGGCGCTCACGATACAGATCGCCAGTCGGCTTCTCCTTGCCCACATATCCTTCGCCGTACACCTTGCGTCGGTCCATTTCAATCTTCTCCTCCCTGGCGTCGTCAAACTCTTGCAAGTCACCGTATCTCTCCAGGGCAACATCCTCGACTGATCGGCCGGACTCTTCTGCCATAGAATATACGCCCTTGAGCTTGGTCATGCGCCACTGGGAGCCGTTGTCCCCAAAAGTGTAGCTGACGGTTCTCTCTGCCGGCGGGAGCTTTTCATCCAATGTCGTAACGTTGCTCAGATCCCCAAAGTCCCTGTTGATTTCCCTATCGTGGATGACTCTGACCGGTTCTTCTTTGGGTGGCGGCTTGACCTCCTCCTTTTTCCGCTGAACGTAGTCGATGTCGAGGGCTGATGGGGCAGTCATCCAGCTATCGCGTACTAGCGGTGCGTCTGCAGCCTTCGCGTCTGAAAGCGTAGTTTCCTCATCGGGTATCGGCAAGTCCTCCTTGGGGTCCGACGTTTTCTCATGCTTTTCGCTACGGTGTCCATCATCTCTATCCCTGTGCCTGTGCCTTGATCGTCGCTCTTCATCGTCTTTCGAATGACGAGATCGCTTGTGTCTGTGGCCATCCTCCTCGTCTTCATCGTGTCGTCGCGACCTGTGATGGCGGTATCTGTCGCTATTGCGGTCGCGGTCGCGTTCCCCATCCCGGTCTTTGTGACCGTCCCTCTCGCGATCGCGTTCTCGGCGTCTGTCGGAGGACCTGTCGCGGTGATGATGGTGTCGCTGTTTCTTTCTCTGTCTGCGCTCTTCTTTTTCGCGTTCAATGCGCTCCTTCTCTCCCTTCTCAGCTGCAAGCGCCTTTTCAAATTCATCGAGGCCGTCCATGGTTGCTCGAGCAAGCGGTACGAAGCTTGCGGATATGGGTTCGAGCGATAGCTGCAGTGGTATGTTTTTCCAGGTTCGAGGCAGAACGAATTGGCGATGCAAGCTGGACGTCACTCGCCAGCACGGGCCATTCAGATTTTGGAACTGACCAGGGGGTCTGATTAGTAGTTACAGGGGGTCTTGTCCACTCTGACGCCCCGCGCGGGGCACTCAGCTCTCCCATCTCTTCCAGAACTTTTTTCTAGCGGCCGCAACAGCAACACCCGTGCAAGCCGCATACACACCCGACATCACCACCAAAATGGCTTCAACTTCCGCAGCCGCACCCGCCGAGAATGCGTCCACTCAGGAGAAGGCGTCCACCCAGACACCGACCTCCATCGTCGTTGTCGGCATGGCTGGTAAGACCAACTCTTCTACCTCTCGCAATCTAGACCTTCCCGCTGACCAATACTCCTCCTAGGCTCCGGCAAGACGACCTTCATGCGACGCATCAACGCTTACCTGCATGGCAAGCAAGATCCGCCGTATGTAATCAACCTGGACCCGGCTGTGCTCAATGTTCCTTTCGAGAGCAACATCGACATCCGCGACTCGGTCAACTACGAGGAGGTCATGAAACAGTACAACCTAGGACCCAACGGTGGAATCTTGACGTCCTTGAACCTCTTTGCCACAAAGGTCGACCAGATCGTCAACCTTCTCGAGAAGCGCGCGGCCCCCGACCCAGAAAACCCCGACAAGAAGCCCATCAAGAACATTCTTGTTGACACTCGTGAGTCTCTGCTGGTCACTTACTCGTCAGTTATGGGCTAACAGCACCGCAGCCGGACAGATCGAGGTGTTCGTTTGGTCCGCCAGTGGTACCATCCTCCTCGAGTCGCTCGCCTCTTCGTTCCCGACCGTCATCGCCTATGTCATCGACACGCCCAGGACTACCTCCACAAGCACATTTATGAGTAACATGCTGTACGCCTGCAGTATCCTCTACAAGACCAAGCTCCCCATGATCCTGGTCTTCAACAAGACCGATGTGCAGGATGCGACCTTTGCGAAGGAGTGGATGACGGATTTCGAGGCTTTCCAGGCTGCTCTCCAGCGGGATGAGATGAGTGACGTGATCGGTGGCTACGAGACGTCAGAGGGCGGCAGCGGCGGCACTGGCTACATGGGCAGTCTGCTCAACTCGATGAGTCTCATGCTGGAGGAGTTCTACTCTCACCTCAGCTTTGTCCCCGTCAGCTCGCGCCTCGGAACGGGTATGGATGAGTTCTTTGCGGCGGTGGAAGAGAAGGCGGAGGAGTTCAAGCAGGACTACCTCCCGGAGCTGCAGCGCAGACGAGGCGAGCGGGAAGAGAAGAAGCGCCAGGCCCGTGAGCACGAGCTGGACAAGATGATGAAGGGCATGTCGGTGGATGCGGGCAAGAGGCCCACGGTTGTCAAGCCCGTTGAAGATGATGACGGCATCGACGTTGCCAGCGACGTTGATGACGACGATATGCCGGATGATGAGGACGACCGGGAAGGACTCCAGGCTCGTTACGAAGCCGCCATGGAGGCCGAGGGCGATTCCATCATGGCTGATGGCAGTTTCGCCAAGTACTTGCACACGCGGCAGACGTAATGGGGAGGGGACGGAACACATTGATGCACATAGAATGAAGCTTGGGCAGGGGACGGCGTTTTAGACGGTTGCTGCATTATCATGAGATACCTCGAAAAGGAAGAACAGGTGCAGAAAGTTGCCTTGCTCTATGAATTGATTTTGACCCCCATCCGTAACTCCTGCAGACCTCGACGTCCATTGATGTGTGGTTTTACACGGGCGGCCGAAGTGCGCTCGTGCTCCAAGACATCCCGCCTCAGTATGTCGCTGGCGGAACACTCATTCTTCATGAGCGACCAGCTAACGCACGGCATAATGTCTCATCCGGTATCGACCCCTAGATCTGCGTGAAACCCCAGTACCCTAGCCTCTCCTCGTTCATCCTCGCGTCGCGTCTGAATCCAAACTTGCCCGATTGAGCGCCATCATCTCGCCTCGAACTGAACCATTCTGCCAAAAGAGTCAGCACGTCCTCGTCCCCAAAGCCTTGTGGCATGTGGAAAAACTCACCTCTTGGTGCGCTCCTTGTACAGAATACGGCAACCGCACTCCTTGCAGCGGATAGGGTCGGCGCGACGCAGCTGGAACTTGAGACCGCAGTCACCGCAGAGGTACTGCATCTGAGGACCCTCGGCGCCGTAGGATGTGTAGGCGGCCGCGCTGGGGGCGGAGGTCGCGCCGGCGGTGGGGACTTGGTAGGCTTCGCGAGACATCTTGAACGTTTATCGAGAGTTTGAGTTTCCTGAGGAGAAGCGGCGGTTCGTTCGGGGTGTGAGGCGAGTCGGATATGGAGGCAAGGCAAAGGCGGCGATTTTCTTCTTCACGGCGGGCCGGATTGGAAATGCAGAGGTGGGCTGGATGACAATTTGTTAGGCGGTGAGGGCGCGTAGGGACGGCAGAAAAAGGTTGCCTCGGGCGGTGTGGCCAGTCTGTTGGCGCCTGGACGTCGGTTGTGGAGGGACCTGGGACCTCCGGCCTGACCCACTTCCCGAGGTTATCGATGGTTACTGCCGCCCAGATTATAGGTCGGCCCTGCTTGCCGGCATCTTGGAAGAAACAAATCTCGAGCGCACAGTAGACTAGCAGACTCCCTTCTCTTCGCGTCGTATTTCCTCATGACTTCGCCGTTCTGCTGACTTGTTCCAATTCTCATATTGGCAAGCGACGATCCGGCAATGCTTCATACCCGACGTAGCCAGCACTCCCGATAATGCGCAGTCCCTCTTCGACATTCTCGACAACGATCATCACCACCATAACGGCAACAGCACTCGCTAGCCCATCATGACACCCACCTCTCAATTTGACGCCGGCGTGGAGCCCCCGGAATCGCAATGCCCCTTCTGCATAATCGCAACTGAATACCCGCCCTACGACCCTGCGAAGCCGCCGCAGGACGATGCAGTCCTCGACCCGAACCGCATCCCGACGCCCGCCTATGTCGTCCTCTCAACCCCAACGCTTATCGCCTTCCTCGACATCCTCCCGCTATCACGCGGCCACCTCCTCCTGTGCCCACGCACCCACCGCCCGAAGCTCACCGACGCCTCGCCCGACGAGTCGGCCGAGATGGGCCGCTACCTGCGCATCCTGTCCAACGCCCTCGCGCGCACGACGGGCGTCGAGGACTGGAACGTCGTGCAGAACAACGGCGCCGCCGCCGCCCAGGTCGTCATGCACATGCACTTCCACCTCATCCCCCGCCCCGAGATCCGCGCGAGCGGCCGCTACAGCGAGAGCTTCACCATGTTTGGCCGCGGCCGGAGGGAGGAGCTGGACGATGAGGACGCCGAGCACTTTGCCAAGGAGCTGCGGGAGAACGTGGCCGACATCTTGAGGGAAGAGAAGCACAAGGCGAAGCTTTGAACATGGACCGGAGATTTTTATTATGTATAAAAATCATTTATTCATTTCGTGTATGGACTTTGAGGTCCGAGCTGCCGACTATTGCAGCACAATTTGTACGCCGTAGCGCTGTTTTGCTCTTTTTCTCTTCTTTTTTACTCATTATGTGAGTCTACCTACTCACCACCATCTTCTACCAGCCTGCCCGTTTACTCATCATCGCCGAAGAAGACCTTGACGCCGTCCGGAAGGAAGGTGCCGTCGCAGACCTTGAAGCGGTCGGGGATGGCCGAGATCTTCTTGAACTCGTCGTCGGTCAGGGACCAGCCGTCGAGGTCGTAGTTGGCCTTGATGCGGCCCTCGGAAACGGACTTGGGGATGACGCTGACATCTCTGGCCAGGCCCCACTGGAGGAGGACCTGCTGGGGGGTGCGGCCCTTGGCCTTTGCGATGTCGAGGAGGGTCTGGTTGGTGTAGAGGGGAGAGTCGGTGCTGCCGAGGCACGAGTAGGCGGTGGCGTGGATGCCCTTGGACTTGCAGTAGTCGAGGAGCTTGGGCGAGGGGTTGCAGGGGTGGAGCTCGATCTGGTTCACGGCGGGAACGACCTGGGAGTTGTCAGTGCCATCTTCTTTTGCGAACAGAGACCATTGGGACTCACCTTGGTCTGGGGGTCGTTGAGGAGGCGCTCGAGGTGGGTCAGGCCAAAGTTGGAGACACCAATGTTCTTGACCTTGCCGGTGCCGACGAGCTTCTGCAGCTCGCGCCAGGTGTCGAGGTAGTCCCAGTCGGGGTAGTGCTTCTTCAGGTTATCGGGGTCGGTGCTGGAGGGCCAGTGCATGAGGTAGAGGTCGACGTAGTCAGTCTGGAGGTTCTCGAGGGACTTGGTGATGGCCTCGGGAACGCGCTTGTGCCAGGGGTTGTCGAGCTTGGTGGTGAGCCAGATCTCCTCGCGGGGCACACCGGAGGCCTTGATGCCGTCGCCAACCTCCTTCTCGTTGCCGTAGGCGAAAGCGGTGTCGATGTGGCGGTAGCCGTTCTTCAGGGCGGCCTCGACGGCGAGCTTGACCTCGTTGGGCTTGGACTGCCAGGTGCCCAGGCCGATGGCGGGGATCTTGTCGCCCGTGTTGAGGGTGAAGGTGCGGGCGGTCTGCTTGACGTCGGCCATGGCTGCGGTTTACGTGTGTGTCTACCGGGGGTGAAGACGGGGAGGGGTATCTTAGTGAGAGAAGCAAGTTGAAATAGAAAGAGAAGAGTAAACGTGGAATGTCAAGATGCGCCTGAGCGGACGGGGAGAGCTCTTTTGTATGCGCACAACTCAGCGCGGGGAATCAAAGTAAGCAAGAGGAGGGGGGCAACCAAGAGGCGAATTGTGCTCGGCACCCTTTGCACCTCGTCCCGCGCCTCGTTGTCCAAACTACGTTGCTATCTACGTAGGACTGCGTCCTCGGGAGATAACGGCCCCCCCCCCTGGGTGCTCCGTATGCGCGGGTGTGAGCACCACAGAGGCGCGGGAGAGAGGGACAGAGGGAGATAGAGGAAGGTCCAGTCCATTGAGTTTGTCGCGGTGCGTCCCTGGGCGTCCCACGTCCGCGGCCAACCACCACCTCCGAAAAAGGACCCCAAACCCCTGATCCCACCTTACATTGCCCCTCCCCCCACCTCGTGTGTGCCCGGGAATGACGCAGTGGGTAGTACCCGGGGGCCGGGGGGTCTGGGGCTCCTATGCGCGTTGGATGCGCCTCGATGCGCCGGTGTTGCGGGAGTCGTGGCACGCCGACCTATTGGCTTTGAGCTTTTGGTCTCTTTGGGAGGATCTCGGGTGGGTTTTCCTCTGGTTTGGAACATGGCAATCTGTGCTTCGTCCATGTGCCGCTATCCCCGAGAGAGCAATTCCAGCAGTTGTGTTTCTTCAATTCCCAAAACCCACTTTCAACCATGACACTTGCATCCCGAGTCAACAAACTCCCCAGAGTCCTGATAGCTCACATAGCACAGCAGGATATTAATGGAGGGGCAGTATGCTTGTGGCTCTCTCTCCGACACCAAAAGACATTGCCGCTGAGAAAACAGGCCGAGCGAGGGGGAAAAACCAAGCTGGCCCGGACCTAGTCGAGCCTTTTCGATGCGCTTGATTGGCAGCGCTTGTTGCCCGTCCCAATCCGCGTCGTTGGAACGGGCAAATGTCCCCCGACGCGCGACTTTTTTTTTTCTCTTTGCAAAACCCACATGCGTTTCTTGTCGCCAGATTCTACCGGGCCAAACAGGACGTCACACTTGCAGCCACGACGGACACACACACACACACACACACACACACACACACACACACACACACACACAAACAACGCCATGGCACTGCCGCAGTAACAGAATCTGGGTTGCTGCGTGTGCTTGGTTGGTCCACGATAGCCGGCGCATGCTGCATCGGCCGCCGCTGTGCACCTTGTACGCCGCAGGACCCGGGTCGGCGGGACCTGGCGCATGTCTTCTGCGCAGCCGCACGAATGTCTTGCCAGGAAACGGTCGACACCCCACATTGCCACGACTCTTGTGTCCGATGGATGCTTGGTTGTTTTTTTTTTTCTTTGTTGAAGAAAGAAAGACTTTCTAGAAACCCATGGAAAGGGGTAGAGACTACGTCAGGTTGGCAGATAGTTAGATCGATATCCTCCGTGCTACGTGTCTCAGGAAAAGTTCATTCTTTTCTGTCATTATCTTTTCTTGCCTCTCAGGCTTACAAGACTGGCAGTCAAGACCACATCATGTTGATGTCTGCGGAGTGCTCTCAACCTTTGGTATCACCTCTTCGGCGGTGCCCAAGAAACTGCTGAAACCGAACGAACGCCAGCCAAGTGCCACTTGGTGAGCCATTGTCATGAATCTTGTCGTTCGTTTTCAAGGTTCTCTTCTGGAGATCATGACCACGGTATGAGAGAACGAAAGCGTATCCATTTCTCTGGTCTCTCTCTCGTGCGATGTATTGCTCGGAATGTGGTGAAAGGTGTGGCATGGTTCCAGCCAGTTGGTTGCAAAGCAGCCAACAAGGCCCAGCGAGTCGGGCATTGTTCAGAAAGACGCCATGACAAGTAGCAAGAAGAACAGACGGAATGTCGTCGATATAAGCACCTCAACGTCGCATCGGACCCCCGCAACTCGGACCGGCCACCTTCGGCCGGCTCACTTCCTCGGCTATTCTGAGAATACCGTCGTAGTGGCCAATAGTGGCGTGATTGTCAAAGGGCATTAGTCTAGTGGGCGGACTGGCCATTCTTTTCCCTCGCATGTCGCAAACAGGGCCATCCGCGTGCCTGTTACATTCTTCTGTGTCTCTTGATACAACTCCAGGTATAAAACCTCTCGGGGTTGCACTAGAGATGGTCTGGCTGAACGCCAAACACGAACCTCCCAGTCTTGTGCAAGAGTTCCCGGAATGCTACCTAAGCTTGTCAAGTCTGTCAAGCCTCCGCTTTGCCTTGGAGGTTGTACTCCTGTACATCCCCTGCAAGACACAGGTCGGCCAGGCACCCTGTCGGGTGCGTGACGGCACACATACTACTCGAGTTGGACCTCGCCCCGGATTTTCCTTCTCGAGCATGCCATTGGTCCCGGCCATGAGCCAGGACCCCTGCCGTTCTGTCAAACATCCGATGCTGATGAACTCTAATGTAACTTCATTGAGCTAAGGGGCTGTCCCGCAGCCTCGACTTGACTTCACCACACCCTCCTGCCTTGGTTGGGGGACTACGATTGACTTTCCCAGCAGAGGCCACCATGGTAGTCCGGGCAGAACCAACACAACTCTCGACAAGATTGCGGGACTCCGAAGGCCGGCGTCAGACCATAAGGCCGCTGATCCCCTGGTTTCTGACTGACCCGGAACATCCGTTGCTACCGTAAAACAATTTGATCCCATGTCTCCTACATGGTGACAGAACGCTTGGGGCAGAATCAGCAGTGAACAGTTCAACTTACTTTGATGCGACCAGTGGTATGGCGGAAAACTCATGAACGAATACTGATACCTAGCATATCAAGAACACTTCTGATTCCCAAGATGCTCGGCGTGACACTCGACATCTTCGACTTCCCAAGCTCCGAGGCGCAGTGGCATGTTGGTTATGCTTCCTTGCATGACATAGGGTGATTCGGTAGGAGCATCTTTGCTTAGGGCACTTGTCTCTTGTTTACCGTGTGAATTGCGGGATTGGTTCCTTTGATTTGCCATTGAAAATTAGTTAACTGATGTGTTTGTTTTCAAGGTCCGTTCAGAAAGTTGATTGATATGTCCCAAGCTTCCACAGCAGATGTATAAATACCGTCTGCCCTAAGAGATTCCACAACAGTTGGGCTTAGGAGATTGAGTATTGGAATCAACCACGGCGCCCTGTGTCAGAGTATGTAACAAACTTCTCCAACAGAGTGTAACAGGCTTCAACACCGATCAATTTGCCAACCTGTAGGCCTATCATAGGGTTCGAGGCCGTTATTGGAATTCCATACGGTTTCAATAGTGACTTGAGTAAGTCCAGGGACCAGCAAACAGTTCCTTCCATGTAGACCACTTGACTTTCTTGTAGCTGCTGCAAATGATTCAGTGCCTCATCCATGAGTTAAGCAAGAATAGGAATGATCGATAGTTAGGACCAGAGACATAGAAGGTAAACGAAGGGAATAAACAGATCTGCGACGTTTCATCCTCAAGCACCCTAAACCAGCCCTGTTGTTTACCGGCCGAGTGACATTAAACGTGTGCGTGTTCTCGCCGCGCTCACTGTTCATGCTTGCGTTGTGGGAATTAGAATCGACCAAGGACTACTCTGATCATGTTATAGGCACGACAACCCGACGCCGTGTAGCTTCTACCGCCAACTTGACTTACAGGCCGGACACATATCGGCTCCTAAATTTGTCGGGATACATATGCCGGAGACGCGAAGCAAACCAGAGAATTTGTAACCCAATAGAATTGAAAGCGTTGTGATCCATGGTTTGACCACAACAGCGCTCATAAACAGGGCCACCTGGGCCACCCGCGCCTTCGCACGCTGGAGTTCCTTCGTGCAAGCTCATACTTTAGGCGTGCTGCTCTTTAAATCAGTGTGCTGATATGGGTCTGGACTCGCCGTGCTTCGATCAGCCCATTACGGACTTTCGGACAGGGCTCCGAGGCCCTCGCTTGGTCAAGCGTCCTCGAAGACGCGCCTTTCCGCACAACAAACTCGACTCGTTGGCGGCCTCGAAAGCACAGCTGAATAGGTCGACGCCATTCATCGACCGATCCGAACAAATCTCATCACTAGCCATCGCTCTCGTTGTAACTGGCCCGCCGCCGTGGGCAGTTGCTTGTGTGCCGCGCGAACGCCGAGTCAATCACGTCCAGCGGTCAAGGCAACAAGGAAGTACAAATCTATCCACCAAGGCGTTCCTCCAGAACAACATAGCCCGACTACAGAACCGTTCGTCCCCAGCCGAACAGAAAACCGGACGCGCAGCATCTGCGCGAAAACCGCTACAATCGTTCCGCCTCACCGGCGCCGAAGAAGACCGCCGGCGGCCGGGACCCCCCCCCCCCCCCCCCCCCCCCCCCCCCCCCCCCCCCCCCCCCCCCCCCGAAGCAACCACGGCCCCATCCCGTCCATCGCGAGCGGATCCCCCGACCAACGCCCTCACCGGCCGGACCCGGGGCCCCAGAATGTGCCTCTTCTTTTTTTTCCTTTTTTTTTCTTTTCTTTCTTTCTCGCACTAGCCCCCAAAGTCCCCGACATCCCGCCCTCCGCCAATTCAACGTCTTCCCTCGGACAGCGCAGCCGGCCATGGGGGGGAGGGGAGGCCCCGACTACTGCGGCCAGCGAACCACCCATCTCGCTCGGCAATCGACCAACCAGCACGTGTGCAGAGGTTGTATGAGTCGGTCGGGTACCTGATGGAATAGCAGCAAGCCATTGGACAGAGAGTAGTTGCGGACGAGATTGGGGGAAGAATAAATAAAAAAAAGGGGGGGAACCTACGAGCGGGTGTCGGGCAGTCGCGCGTGTGTGCGGATTGACGCCCGACTTGTGTTTGAATATATGCGCATCCCGTTCATCGTCGCGCTGCTGCTCGCACTGCCTTCCCCAGGTCCGTCCTCTTCCCCCCAGTCCCGGAGGCGCAGACGAGACGAAACGAACCGCATCCGTGCACGACGATCGAGATGATGGCGTGTGCTCGCGGTAGCGGCTGTCGCATTCCGCCGCAGTGCAACGGTCTTCTCCCAACTTGTGCGACGAGAACGCGGCGAAAAACACTCATCGAGGCAGGTTACTAAGTCTAGCTTTCACCAAGGCAGGATGGAAGATGGAACGCATTGGATGATAGATTGCTCATTTCGTCATCTATTCTACGAGCTGACGATGGATGAGGACATCAAGACAGAACTGATGTCGACGAGATACAAAAGATACAGACAACTGCTAACAAGAGAGAATGACGGAGGGGATGGTTTACTCCTCGGCATCGCCGCCGGCAGCGACAGCCTTGGCGGCGTCGCCGTTGGTAGCGGCGGGTGCGTCGGCGGCCTTGACTTCGCCCTTGGCGGGAGCCTCCTCCACGCCGTTGGCAGCCTCCTCCTCTTCAGCCTCGGCCTCCTCGTCGCCGGCAGCTTCGTCCTCGACTTCCTCTTCCTCGTCAGCGGCCTCCTCGGCGTCGGCCGCGTCATCCGTGGCCTCGGTCTCGGTCTTCCGCTTCTTCGATGGAGGAGCTTTCTCTGTAGCACGCAAACGTCAGCCGGGCCGTCAAGCAAGTTTGAAAGCGTGCTGGCAGCGTGTAGAAGCATGACTTACCGTCTACGCCATTGGCTTCCGCGTCTTCCTCGGCGTCGCCCTCTTCCTCCTCCTCCTCCTCCTCTTCCACGTCGTCGTCACCTTCGTCGGCGTCTTCCTCAGACTCGTACCTAGAGCGCAATTCTTGTCAGGCCGAGTCTCTTCAGGTTAGGACAATGGACGGCTCTCCATCAAGAGCCGAAGCATCTGATACCCGCCACGAGCCGGGCGCATAGTTGCGATGGCACCAGGACACCAGGTCAACCTGAACCGTGTAGGCGCAACCAAGCTCAGGGCACTTCGAGGGGCATCACTCCATGTCCGCTGCTCTCCAGGGGAACTTGAGCGCGTAGCAAAGACCAGGGGAACTTACTCCTCTTCCTCTTCACCGTCGTCGTCAGGAAGGGAGACGAGCTCCTCCTCCTCTTCTTGCTTTCTCTTGCGGGTGGACATGGTGTAAGAGGGGTTCGATGGGTTCAATTGGATAGAACAAGGCGTCTCAGGGTGAGTTTTTCAATGGGAAACTGACAAGAGATGGATGGGAAAGAGAGAGAGATATGTAGGAGAAGCAGAGAGAAAGAGAGAAAGTTGGGGGGCGGCCAGAACGAAAGGTAGGTAAGGTAGGTAAGTCGGCGCAAGGAAAGCTCTGGGGGGAGGACGGGGCAAGCCCAAAGGTGGGTGGGTGCGTGTCGGTTGGCGGTACCTCTAGGAGCGCAGTGGGCGGGCGTGAGGAAGGGAAAGAGGAGGAGGGAGTGCGCGGCGGTGGTGCGGTGCGGTGCGGTGCGGTGCGCAAGAGGGGGGAGAGGGAGGGAGGGGGAGGGAGCTCCCTCTCAGCTGTGCGGTGCGCGCTCTGCCATGCTGCTTGCGAGGGAACGTGTGCGAGGCAGGTCCAAAGCCAGAGCCACAGCCGGAGGCAGAGCCAGAACCAAAGGAGCAAGTGCCATACCAGGCTCTGGAGCTGGCCCGGAGACAAGAACTGGGCGAGGACTTGGAGGAGGAGGAGGAGGGAGCACCAAGGTGGTGGAGGGTGGCTGGGGGAGAGCTTCGACTCGAACGACTGGGGGTTCCGACACCTCGACTGGATAGAGGACGACAAGATGGGGGAGAGACTGGAGAGAGGTGAGAGTGAGAGAGGGCGTGGGCGGAGGACTCGATTTGGGTGGAAGATCCAAACAGGGAACCAGATTGGTCTGCTTGGCCAAAGGTTGTTCTCCGAGTGTGGTTGGTCATCGAGCAGAAGGGAGCTCGGACCTCTCTGGGGGAGAGCAGCATCATCATCCCTGTTCGGACCTTTGCGTGCAGCAGCGGCGGCAGCACCTCAGCATCAGCAGCACAGAGGTGGGAGAAGATGAAGCTCCGATGCTTTGCCGTTGCCGTTGCCAGGCTGGGTGTATCCCCCAAGCCCCGTCCCTCCCGTCTTCCCCTCCTTTTCAACTCTCGTTGCTCTCGGTGACTGAAGGGTGACACCCCTGTGCGAATCGGGAGCTCTGCTTGAGCAGTAGCTAAGAAGGCCAATGGAAACCCTCCGTCACTAACACGATCCCGCTCTGGACACACCCTTGGTGTGACGGTGAAAAACAGGATAATCGACCGACTGCTGACGTGATTCTAGCCGGAAAGGGACGTCATGAGCAGCGTCATCACGTGCGCTAAGCTCTTCCGTCGTTTGCACGAGTCGCGGTCCCGTTGAGCCGTTGCTCCAGCAGTGCCTGGGCTTGCTCATGCCCGAGGTACCCGACTGCATTTGCAGCCTCGTGGACGCTGAGCCTGTCGAAAGAACGGCCTACCACTGGCTTCACATACACCACTACCGGTATGGTATGCCCACTGGGGCCCAGCTCATCGATCGACAGGACCGGGTAGAGACGAAACGAAAAAGCTCATGACCGAGCACAGAGTGCACACTGGAGATGCCCTCGAGTAGGACGGTCCATCCACGGCGAGTACCGACCAGCACCCAGTAGATAGGTTTATCCGAAACTGTCGTTCGAGTTCGATGTCCATATAGACAAACGAAGAATTGAATCACTGTTCTGCCGAGCAGACTGCATTGACAACGAGCAGCCAGATGTGGATTACACGGACCGGAAGCAACGGGCGACAAAGCGACCCGGACTGCTTCTGTAGATCAAGTGTCTGGTCGGGCAAAGAATAGACACCAACTTGGTTGTCCTCAGTAGTAATGATTCGCGTCGGACGTGTGCGAACAAAGTCGCGTCGCACCGCGTTTGACATAACCGCGACAACCCATAAAGGGAAAATATCCTGCTGCGCAAACCCAAGGCCTTGAAATTTGATGGCGATACAAATGGTGTTGGACATGCTGCCCATAGTTGGTGGGATTATCGCTAGAAGACCCTGGCTATATGCTAGCCGCTCGGTTTGGGAGGCCGGAAATTCGAAAAAAAAAAAAAAAAAAGAAACTGTCTCTTTCTTGGCAGTTGTTGAGCTGCAAGCTCAGCTGCTTTGGGGTTTGTCCCATGGCTGGGTCGAGGGAGAGTGAGACATTGTCGATCCAGAAGCTGGAAAAGGCTGACACGTCGATAGTAAGAAGCAAGGGAAAGACACGCAAAAGAGAGAATGTGGCACAAGGCCGGGACAGCTCGAGAGATAAGTGCTTCTGCTGCTCTGTGCTCCCCACGTCATTCGGACGACCAGGCACGTTTCTGAACCTGGTGCTGGCTGGCGTGCTGCAGGGTAGCATTGGGTTGTATTCTACTCCAACGTTGGTAAACCTAGGTAGCCGTGACCAAGGGAGAGGGAGGCCATCGCGGCCAGGCTTGTCCATCGGACGATTCGCCAAAAGAGCACGCTGATGGTACGTCGGCGATGCTGGGAAGACGGCGATTCGAGGTAGGGGGACTACGAGTCCTCTGCTAAGCTATCATCTTTGCGACTCGGCCGACCAGATGGTTACATTCGCACCCGAGCAAATAAGCCAGTGGTGGTAGTGGAGGCAAAAGAAGGCGAGCGAGGGACGACAGCTCCGATTTCGACGAGTTACCGCCAGTCAAGGCGATGGGATTCGGGCAGATTGTCGCGAAAGAAAAGGGCGAGATCAAATTTTCGATGCTTTCCCGGCAGTCTGTACTGCAGTAGGGTCAATGATCGAGATCTGCCTTGCGTAGCTGCGGGCGAGGAGGACGGGATGATGCATGTCCGCTGGCCTCGATTTGCATTAGAGCTGTTTAATTGGTACCCGTCGACTACATTGGCGTCCAGGGCATCGTAGCCCCGGTTTCTTGCCCGCAGAGGTTGAGGAAGGGAAAGTCGAACGATTCGCTGCCACTGATCTCTAGGCACTTGGTTCGAGATGCAAAGTTGGATGGATGGCCATCTTGCGTGTGGAAGAGGCGCAAACTCAAGACTGGTGGATATAGCCATTCCGCAGCCAGCCGTCAAAAGCAACGGTAGCCAGACCGAAACAAAGAACCCGAATAAGGCCATAGGAAAAAGCAATGAGAAACAACCCAGGGAAAAAAAACAAAGGGATACCCCGGCCAACAGCGGGAAGCGACACAAAATATCTTGTCACTCCTTGACGAGGGCAAAATGGACCAACTGGCCAAAAAATGACGACAAAGGGGCAGATGGTCGCTCGCGGTTGCCGAAAAGAGAGTCTCGGCCAGTCAGGATCGGAATCGGGCCCTGATCCGGGAAATTGGAATGTGATTGGGCGGTGGAGGAGGGCAGCTCATTTGGGAATAGCTTCAGGCACCAGGGGCACTAGCAAACCCTCTTCCCGCAGATTGAAGGCAGCCCCAGGAGGCCTTGCAGCCCCTTCCCTTCGAGCTGTCCCAGTGGGAAGGGCCGCCATCCAGGAGGTCGTGGAGGCCTTGGTGCGAGAACCCCTGCAAGCGGTTGCGTCTGATGTCGGGACGTTGCGGTTGCGGGTTGCGGACTGCATCCGGTCCACAGGCCTACAGGTACCTTAGGTTGTGTACTCTGTAGTACTGCGTACAGATACAACTCTCTCGACTGCTCTGCTCTGTCTCTCTGGCCCCCGAGGCTCTTGATCGTTCTTGTATCAAGGGGGCTCGTGGCGCCAATTCCCTGTTCACGTTGTTGTAGTTCCAAGCCGTCGACGTCGACGAGCGACGCATCAATCATGGTCTGCCGATGCCACCCACTCTCCTGCTTCCTGCTCCGGTTCCGCGGAAGTTCTCGTGTGCCACGCGGTCGTCTTCGCAGGCCATGTCTGAGTACGGGTTCAATCCGTACACTATCGTTGGGCGTCCCGGACGCTCATGCCCATGCCCATGCCCATGCCCACGCCGGACAGGGTAAGGAGCCCAGAGCGTTGGGATTACCCAGCGTAGCGTAGGTAGTTATGTGCAGAATATTATTAGGCTCGGGCTTCGGTACAAGGGAGGCCATACCCTTTGGAAGAAACACGCGATGCTACTTGGGCGACGGTGCAAGGTTGCGGGAGAGGCCAGGTACTCTGCAAAGTACCGCAGGCCGAGTTGATGGAATCTGCTTCTCGAAGGAAGAAACGGGGAACTGGCCGGGAGGCAGGCGAAGGACCGTGGATGTGGGCCACGGACACACGCGCTGACCGACTCGACCAGGCCTCAAGGCAATCCCGAGAGATGATTGATGAGCGATTGCGGGGAAGGATGGCGCCTCGGTCCTTCGCAGCACTTGTGCGAAATTTAATGACGATATGGACGGAGGCGAGCTGAATCGGATTGATGAGTTTTTCGCCGTCCGTGTGCAAAGTGAGAAGCGACAAGGTCCGAGGAAGAAAGAGACGAGACAAGACAACGGCCCGTACGGGACTCGACGGTAGTAGGTAGACCTACTGACTCTTGACTCTCACCGTTTTAATCAATCTACTGCTGCCTCTTCCTTTTCAGGATGGATTCAGGTTGGTGGTCTCGTCGACTTTGGTCTTAGTCTTGGGGCCTCCGGTTCCATTCAGTGTCACCCTCCGAAGCGGGCCTGGGTGGGTGGTTGTTATCATTGTTTTGCGTGCCGGCGGCATACCGAGGAGCTTGTGAACAGGCCGGCTGTATGTACTGCGCAGACTGGCTGCACGCTCGCCTTCATAAATGACCGTGGCGATTGACATTCTGAAATACGGATACACATATGTACCGTAGCTCCATCGGGCGTGTTCGCTTTGTCGTCTGCTGGCCCGTCCGCTTCGCCAGTCTTGGGCAAATCTCAACTCTCGGGGCATTGAGTTTCCATCTCCCAACAACCACGTCAGGAGAGAGGCAAGCGAGAAGAGCAAGGGCAAGGCAAAGGACGATCTGACTCTATCCTAATCTCCTCATCTTATTCCGTCCGTCCTGACCTCGTCTTTGCCCTTTTGTCCCTTCTTTCCCGTTTCTGTTTCTGCACCCACCTGCCACCTTCCCTCGCCTGCAAAACCGTGCCTGCCTGCACTTGCACTTGCACCTACACCTGCAACTGTCTGCTGCACCTGCTACCTGCATCGCATCGCATCGCATCGCATCTGCAGTGGCAGTGGCATCATTGGGGCACTCCTTCCTCTCTCCAAGGTCAAACCTTTTCTTAGCTCCTTCCCTCCCATCCTATCTCACTTTCCGACCGTCGTCGGCGTAACCCACCCGAACAATATCGTCCTTTCCCCCCCATCCCCTTCTTCCTTCTTCCCGCCGTCCCGTCGCTTCTCCCGCTTCGCCTGTCTCATTTCCTTCTTTCTTTCCTCTCTACCTTACCTTACCTTACCACAACACTCCATCGTTCGCCCGCTCGACCGCTCTCGACCACGATCCAATCCTTTGCGGTTGTCTGACTGCACGGTCCTGCGACGACCCGTCTGTTAAAAGGCGGCCAATCAGCAGGCCTTTCCAAACATCCGACCGCGGCCATCTTTTCTTCTGCCTCGTGGCAGCATCCCCCCCAAATTTTGACGCACGAGTCAACCGCCCTTTGGTCTCCGAGACACTTCAAAAAACTTGGCGAACGCCACAGATGCCCAATCCGCCCTGACACTCCAGACCACCAAAACAAAAGGGGGAAAAGGCAAAGACGCTTCGCTCTGGAACCCTTGAAGAAGCCCGTCACTCAGCTTGCCGACGTCCGACCTGTCTCTGTTGTTGTTTCTTACTCTGGTTGTCCCGCCCTGTGCTCGAGCCAATGACGCCGACGCCCCGGCCTGGGTCCAAACGCTCGCTTCAGTTTTAGCATCTTCATCTGCGACAGCAGGCATCCGCCCCCCTACCCTCAAAAAGACATTCTTGCCTCACGCCAACCGCCAACCACCACCACTTTCGTCCAATCCGATACCTTTGGCCGATTGGAGACTGGGAACCCGGGGGACTGCCACCATACTACACCGCATCGGCCGGATCCCGCTCCCTTCCCTCTCCTCATTCTACCGACGACGACGAGACGACCTTCTCCTGCATCTGCGCCTTGTCTGAGCCCTCTGCGTCTCTTGTTTCGCAAGTCCCGACCGACCAACCGTTTTCAGACGACGCTCAGTGACCCGACTGTTGGCCGATCCTTCACTTCCAACTTCACCCCTTACATCCAACCCCCCGTTTGCATGCGCAAGCGCATGAATCGTCGCCAGGGTATCACCTCGTCTCGTACGCCCTGTGACGCTGGAAAATTGCCGTTCCTTGCTCGACTCGACCTGATTGTCACCCTTTTTTTCTGCATCACCTTCGCACCGACCCTTCTTCAGCTCGACGTACCCTGGCTTCCAGCAGCGGTCGGCCATTGAACCCACCCCGCCTGGCCAATACTCATTGCTCGTTGCTGAGACTGCTCCAAGAGGGTTGCTGCCACACGCAAGGTTCATGCATGTGCCGCAATGGTATCGTCAGGAACGACCTTGAATGCCCTACCGCAATCTGTCTGCACCACCGTCACTTGAACGCTCCGTCGTAGCACCCGTCACCGACCTACTAGCACTTGCCGGCATACACCCGCAAGGAAGAAAAACAACAACCCTTACGGTCCCCAACGCCTCCAGCGTCAGTACAGTTGCTCGAGTAGCAGTTGCCGCTGCCATATAACGGCCGGAGGGTATCAATCAACATGACCCTCATGGCCGTGGCAGCGGACTCTGTCCAACCCGACGCCCAGATCACCCTGGGAGCCATGGCAGACCAAGACCCCAACACCCACCGCCAGGGCAGCATGAAGCGTCGCCAGTTCGGTATTTATGCTTCAAGGCGGTCCCATTCGAAACCTATCTCTACTTCTGACGTTCCAGAGCGTCACGAGTCCGAGTTCCCAGCAGCCCACCCACAACCCTTGCCCACGTCTCCTCCGCGCTGGGACTCGCTGGCCAACAGCTCCGGCAATTTTGTAATGCAACAAAACTCGATCAACTCCCACGTGCAGCCGCTCTCTCCTCGACGTCCTGCCTATGATTCTGATCGCCACTACCCCTCCTCACCTACGTTCCGCTCGCTGGCTCCGAGTCCGAGCCATGATCTCGAAGACGACTTGAGTGCCGACGAATGGACCAGCAGAGCCGTCGCTCGCTCGATTAGATCCCCGATACCCTACGACGACGACGACGACCGTTCCTCGATAGATACCATGCAGGTCGACAACTTCTCCCGTCCGAGAAGGCCTAGCATCAAGCAGCCCCTCCAAGACTCCTACCACTCGCGAGCCGCCCGGTCTCCTTCAGAACCGCGCTCTGACCCCAACTCGCATCAGCATGCATGGCCGCGGCCCCGGGGTCAGTCGGGATCCTCTGCAAAGTCGGCCTCGACGTTTGCCTCGATCCCGACCGCAGGGAGCGACCACTACGAACCCCGCGCTCCGTCTCGTTTGCGAAGTGCACCGCCTCCGTCAGGCCTTGCCCGTCCTCCGTTGGCGTATGGCCGTGTAGATAGCTCGAGTTCCGGCCTGTCGGTGCACACCCGCGAGGCGCCGTGGATGAGTGGGGAAGACGAGATGAGGTCGAGCTACCGATCTCAAATGACTGCGTCGAGTGCACAGGGAACGTACGTGACGGAAAGAAGCAGTGTTCTCACCAAGAATAGCTCAATCCCATCGCTGTACGCTAACGGGGAGGAGCTTAGTGTCGAAGACGTTATGGGTATGTACGAGAAGGGCTTCCGAGACGACTCCAGCCCCGAAGACAACGACGACGTCCGTCCAGTCCCGGCCGCCGAGATCAACAAGCGGAACACCAGAATGCTGGAAGCGCTGAGCGAACCACGACCGGCACATGCCAACTCTTTGACCATCCCGGCACCTGATACGATTGTCCGTGAATCGACGGCCATGTTCAACATCGCTGGGCACCCGGCCTCTCTGCCGAAAGATCTCGGCTTGCTCGACCATGATCAGAAGGCGGACGAAAAGGAGGAGAAGGAAAAGCGAGACTCTGCAAAGTCTATCCAAAGCGACACGCCGGCCACATCCCCGCAGCTGGGCAGTCTTTCGGCCTCTTCGGTACAGACGGCCGTGGAGCCTGAGCCGGTCGAAATCGAAGAACCGGGAGCACGAGATCGGTATGGCTTCAAAAAGGCCAATCAGTATATCACCAGACAGCAGTACGACGCCTGGGACAAGGGTTACTCTGAGTACCTCGATCGGCGGCGGAAGAAGTGGACAGCCTTTTTGCGAGAGAACGAGCTCATCACGAACCACCCTGAACGATTTCCTCCCCATAGTGCCAAGGCCAAGCGGTTCGTTCGCAAAGGAATCCCTCCCGAATGGAGAGGGGCGGCCTGGTTTTACTACGCAGGTGGCCCTGCCATCCTGGCAAAGCACGCGGGCCTCTACGATACCTTGCTGGAAAAGAAGGCCAAAGACGTCGATGTAGAGGCCATCGAGCGAGACCTCCATCGGACGTTCCCCGACAACGTGAAGTTTAAGCCTGCGAACATGGCATCGAAGCCCAACACGGAACCTGTGCGAGATGGCCAGCCAACGGAGGACGAAGGTGGGGATAAGAACGAGCCCGAGATCATCTCGTCTCTCAGAAGAGTGCTCCATGCCTTTGCCATTTACAACCCACGTATCGGCTACTGCCAGAGTCTCAACTTCTTGGCAGGTTTACTGCTCTTATTTCTGGACTCGGAAGAAAAGGCCTTCTGGCTTCTTAACGTCATTACCCGTGTGTACCTGCCTGGCACACACGAAATGAGCCTCGAAGGCTCCAAAGTGGACCTTGGTGTCTTGATGAACGCCATCAGGGAGTCCATGCCCGCCGTGTGGGCCAAGATTGGCGACGATATGGAGGGTGACCCGAATGCGGCGCGGCCGGCAAAACCAGTAAAGAAGCCGAGGTCGAGGAGAAAAAACCAACCCAGCATTTCGTCCAACCGACTTCCTCCCATTACACTCTGCATGACGGCCTGGTTCATGAGCTGCTTCATCGGCACTCTGCCCATTGAGAGCACGCTACGCGTTTGGGACGTCATCTTTTACGAAGGGTCCAAGACGCTGTTTCGCATTGCCCTGGCCATCTTCAAACTGGGCGAAAACGAGGTTCGATCCATTACGGATCCCATGGAGATGTTTTCCGTCATCCAAGCAATGCCTCGCCGGCTGCTAGACGCAAATGCCCTCATGGAAGCCTGCTTCAAGCGTCGTAATGGGTTTGGTCACCTCAGCCAGGTAACGATCGACACGCAGCGGGAAGAGAGGCGTGTCAAGGTCCAGACGGAGCACCAGAGAGCCGCCACGTACGCTGCCGGCACGGCGACCGGCCGTAACGCTATCGCGGACGAAGGAGAGGTTCGTAGGAAAGGCACCCTCTTCGGACGTAGGAAGTCGGGTAGATCAGCAGAGGTCATGTGAGTACCGAATCACGCGGGAAGGACCAAACAGTTAGTTGCATGCATGCATTGAGCCACGGCGTTTAGGGGGGAATTTTGCATTTAATGGTAATGACTATACGGCATGCGGCACACTTGGCATTGGCAAGCGAAAAGAAAACGGATATCTTTCTAGAAGAGGGCGCGGTCATCCCCCCTCCTTCAGCATGTTGGAATTTGGGTCGGCATAGAAGACTTGTGCCGAAGATTGGTTGCCTGTCCGAGACAAATCGCAATGTCTCGCCAAGTTGTAGAGTAGATGCCGAGAAGCACCTAAAAAGGCTCAATATTTTTCCTTGTGCAAACCATGGGTGCCGTGACTTTGAAACAGGCCTACTGAGACTGCGAGGTGAACAGGGCGTCGCCGTTCACGAGGCCGAGGGGACAAGGCATGCGACGAGTTTGATGATGATGGATCAAACCATGGATTGGGGTTTCTGTAGCAATCTAGTCTGAAACCTGTCCCAAAATACTGCTCATCCCGCGACAGAACCTATAGGCCTGCCTGCTATTCTCTATCGTTGCGAACAGCTCTCTAATGATGCCGTCAACTCCCGAATGCCGCCGTCGCACCTTCCGTCCGCACTAAAGGTTTGTATGAGGCTCAAAATACTTTCGAGGCCACGAAGCCTGAGAAATCTCGAGATCCCGTCTTCCCCGCCTCAAACCCACCAACGCCGGTAATGCTCGCCATTTTCAAAGGATTGAAACGCCGTCGTTTTTGATTGAAATCATGTGTGCTCTTGCCTGAACCGCCTGACCCATGTCCGATACGTGCTTTGTGGTATCGTTGCCTCGTCCATGATTCCAAGGCCTGTTGTTCGTTCCGCCTCCTACTTCTCGTGAAACGCACTGGCGATGGATGGAAAGGTCTCATTTGGCGGCGGGCTCGGCGACGGAGAAGTTGGGGGTGCCCTTTGCGTAACGGGCGACGTACTGCTTGGCCTGCTTCTCGAACTCGGGGCGGTTGTTCTTGTACTCGTCGGCGATGCGGGTCTCGAGGGGGTCGTCGGGCTGGGGCTCGGCGAGGAGGCTGCGCAGGGCCTCGAGGACGGCAGCGAGCTTAGTGGCAGGCTTCCAGTTCTCGGACTTGAGCATGCCCATGCAGATATTGCCGGCGGCATCGTTCGTGATATTAGGGTGGTAGATGCGGGTGGCGAACTTGACGACGGGGGCTTTGAAGGGGTAGTCCCGGGGCAGGTCGACGAGGACGGCGAAGACGCCGCCGGCGTAGGGGCTGTCTTCGGGGCCGGCAAGGGTGACGTGCCAGGTGTGCAGGTCAGAGTCGCGGGCGAGGGAGATGGTCATGCCATCGGGTGGGGAGGCGGTGATCTCGGTGAGTTCCTGGCGGTTGGTCGTGGCGGTTAGCTTCGTTTGCTTCGGTCTAGGTTTGGGGAGGGGTTCGGGGAGCGGGATGAGGAGGGGCAGATGTTGGAGCTTGCACATCATACCTTGGCGATGCGCTTGCTGGCCATGATGGGCAATGTGGTTTGTTTCGTTTGAGGTTTGGTGATGTTGGAGGAGAGCTAGCGTGATCGACGAGCTTTGCTGGAGGAGGAGCTGGTAACCGTCAAGGTTGGAAGCTCTTGATCAGCAAAGGGATGGTGGGTCGGCGAAAGATCGAGAGCTTCTGGCCGACGTCGATCAAAGGGGAACCGTTCAAAATGACCGGGAAATGAATCCTGAAGTGACGGGTTGTACGAGCGTTGGGATTCGTTGTGGTGCCGACGACGAATTGTTTGCGGCTGGTTTGGTTTGCAGGAGGGAGCAATCAGCTTGACGTCTCGGCCGATGGCGGGGTAGCTGCCTTTAAGGCCTTGGTGGGGGTGAGGTCAGAATCACGGCAAGGCAGTCGCAGCCCGGGGTGCTGGGAGGGAGGATTGGCGCTCAGCGAGCGTGGTGAGTAAACTGCCTTAGAAAGAACATTACGAAAGTGGGGCAAGGTCGCCCATAGCGTCCCTGGCAGTGGTTCACTCAAAGGCAGCGCCAGGAACGACAGACATCTACGAAGAGGTTGGAACAGATTGCTCACTGTCGAACACCATCCCCTCCTCATCCACGATCGAGCACACTACTCAACAAAATCCACGAGTGATGTGTTATCTGAAAAAAAAGAAAAAAAAATGCGTCTGAGTTTACTTACCAAGAAAAGCACTGCTAGCGGCTCTCGTTCGAAGAGAGTCTGGAAGCCATCTATAGCCGACATGCTATTTAGAGGTTGAGCATCGCGAGCTCAATAATCAACGACCTCGGCTTCAAAGGAGGACCGGACAGGTTAGCCGTTGCAACGTCCAGAGATACATGACATGACCTCAGCCCAAGTGCTTCCGAGGCACGTCTTCTTGCACCGTCAAACAGCTCCAGGAAGTATGGCAGATGGGGCGAGACAGAATTGGGCATGCACAAGGTTCGCGCCAGTCGGCGCAGCCCGACTCTGAGCCGGAGATCTGTCCAAATCTCCAAGATCCCCCGAGATCCCTAAACTCTCTGTCGAACTCTCGACCATGGTTGCTGCATGTCAGGGGCAACGTCTGTCCCTTCTCTCCAAATGAGGGGATAGGGCACGCGAGCCAGACGCTGATGTGGTTGCGTGGCTTGCTTGCGAGGCACCGACACGGCCGGGGCCATGGAAAGACAGGCCGGGCACGTTTTGCATGTCCTGATGGGGTAATTGCTTACTGTTTACCACCTCGGATCGTGCAAGATGATAGACTCTGGCGAGTTTAGACGAGAAAAACTTCCGTCAACGCCATGTTGGTTGTGTTGGCGGTGTCGGCTCCCTCTTTTGACCTGACAGGGACGTTCTTATTTCCGACGCAATCTCAGCAGGGCCCACCCGGTCAGGAAGCCAATGCTGTACGATAGTGTAGACAGCTCCTGGGGGAAGTGAGGGAGACATGTGAGCTCGAACCCGATGTCAGCTTGACTTGTCTGGTGCGTCCCCTAGTCAGTGGTCCGCCGACCGGATGGCGGAAGCAGAAGTACACTAAGAGAGACGCTGCCAGCTTCTGCCTGCAATGCAACATGCAGTACAGATAGTTAGCGGATGATCTCTTGGCCAGGGTTCCTTGGGCTTGCATCCTCTGTAATGCCCGGCCCCCCTAGGCTGCTTAGGAATGGTCTCTGACAATGAAGAAAGCCCAGAGTCTCAACAGAACCGCCTCGAGCCCGCAGATGGCCAGTCAGGACTAGCACGTGTATCGTCAGCTTCGGTGGTCTCTCAAGCAGCAAAGACACACCGAAACAAGGGGGCCGGCAAGGCACATTCCTCAGTGAGGTTCTGGGCAGTCATCGAGGTGGCTGAAGGACCGGAGCGGAGGAAAAGTCGCGCTCTGCCGACGCCTAGAGGATCTCGGGGATTGACAGCAACCGAGAGCCCCGATAACCCCGGGCGGGCTGGGTCGCCCACCGCCCGCAGTGACGGATTGGTTGTTACCTAGCAATCATCGAAGATGGACCATGGATCAATGGATCGCTAACAGCCAACGCGCGAACGCGGATGCGGATGCGGAAGCGGCCGGGCTCAGCCACCAGTCAGAAGCCCGGAATACGACGCTATTCCTGCACCCTTCGTAATTTTCTCTGTCTCTCTTATTCTCACTAGTGGTCCCTGGAGGAGTGGTCCAGGATAGCTGAACAGCCAAAGGCTCTGTTCAATCCGCGTTGCGCCTCCTTTCCCCAAATTGCGCTTTTCCTGAGATGCTCACATAGCTACGTCAACAACAACTCGAGTACCGAGTACAACCGCGCCTGTCGTTTCGCCGAGCTACCCGTCCTTCTAGTGTACCCATTCTACCGCCCGCCTCTGCGTTTGACACGCACAACACAACTCACCCTACACACGCACCCATCTCCATCCCATCCCATCCATCTATCAAACCCCGTCCCATCCCTCGACCGGTGGACTCGCCGGCGCATAAACGAGAAGCCCTTAGCTCCAGCTCTAGGAACCCATCCGAGGCCGGTCAGTCGACTGCCGCCGCCGCCCCCCGCCTAAACATCCCTCCCCTCGTGCCCCGCGCCACACAGCGAGCAACCAAGTAGAGCTGGGTCTGGAATTTTGCTCCCTCATGCTTACAAGGCCGAATACGTGTGTCCCAGTTTGATGAGCTGTACACACTTGCGCACATACGCACACGCACACCTCTGACCCCGACACCGCCCACCTCAACTCACTCCCCTTACCTGTCAATGACGGCCCTTGCGAACGACTTGTCCGTCTGACGCTACTTGTGTCTCCAGGCCTCGCGGACTCTTCAGTACGTGCACCCCTGCTTGTTCAGCTGGAGCTCATTCGTCGTCGCTTAACTTGGCCTTGCACTACATGTACTCTACCATGCCTTGACCTGTCTTGCTCTCCTTCTCACTACATTCCCCATGCAGTTCTCTTACCTTCACTGCTAATCTGGCAACTCGTCCTCCACCAACAGCAGCCGGGTTTTCATCATCGGTAAAGCTCACTCAGCCTTGCTTGCCCATGACACCCAGCACATCTCACCTCCCTCTCGCCTGAGCTTCCCTTTCAGCATAGACCGACCCCACCGGCACGAATCTGTTGTTGTGCAGTAACGAGGTTGACCGCTTTCGGCTCTCAAGTTCCCCATCTCTCACTTTTAGCCTCACCTCTTTGTCTCTTGACCTTCCGGAGAGCCATTTATCGCACCTCGTGCCCATTTTAATTCCCACCACGGGTTGCCACAACCGCAGTGAAGCTCCGGACAAGGACCCTTCACTAGGCGTCATCGGCTAAGACGTCACTCTCTCGCCAATCGGCAGCTCAGATTCGGATCCTCGACCCGTGTTTCAGCGGCCACGTCTGTCGCCTGGGATCCTCGCCTCTTGTCAGCGACTCGCCGGAGCACTTCCGGTTACCAGCGGACCTCGCAACTCCGAAGCCCCGACTCAGCAGCGGCAAAAAAAAAAAAGGGCACGGGACAGCTTGTCTTTCTCTCAATTGAGATCGACCACGTTTTGGATACTCAATTCTCAGCCCTCATCACCCTTCACAATGAGCAGACTGGGCTCATGGTTCCGCTCGTCGGCCAAGGGGAGCAGCAATGCAAGCCCGGCCTCGTCGTCGGTCAACCTCTCCTCCAAGGAGCTGACCGCCAAGGAAATGGCCGATATCGAGGATGCGATGACGGCCGCGGCCTTCATTATGAACGACGACATTGATGGCGCCGAAGAGCGTCTGCGCAAGGGCGACTCGGCCTTTCACCAGCTGGGCTTGTCGATGACGACATTTCTCCGCTCCGTCCTGGGCTTTGAGAAGGAGGTCATGAACGAGGCCTCAAAACGGCTGGCCGACACCGAGGCCAAGGCGTGGGCGGACTACAAGAAGGCCGAACGTGAGGGACACGCCACGAGCAGCAGGATTTACCCGGCAGGGACCGAGTTCCTGCTCATCCACGCCGAGTCGCAGCTCATGGCGGCCGTCGTGGCCGTTCTCCACGAAAGTCTGACCGAGGCCCTCAAGGGCTTCTACAAGCTGCGCAAGGCGTTTGTCACGCTCGACGGCATCATGATGCAGGAGGCCAAGGCGTTGGAGAAGGACAAGGGGAAGGCGGACCCGCCCCCGCTGCGGCAACGGCTGAGCGAGGAGAAGATGCCCGGCAGCTTTGACGACGAAGAGTTTGTCGACCTGGACCGCAACGACGACAGCGACGCCGAGTTCGTCGACGCCAGCGAGGTGCCCAAGTCGGGGTCCGAGACGCCGGCGGACAAGAAGGCGAACGGCTCGGCGCCGGAGACGGCGGCTCAGGAGCTGGCCGCGCTGGACCTGAACTCGGGCACGTCGACGCCCGCCTCGGGCGACGCGAAGCTGGCGCCCCTGCAGGTGTCGTCGCAGATGGCCGAGGACTCGGACGCCGATCCCGGTGTTTTCTCCAACCCCGTGGACGCCTTCATCCACAGCGGCGCCAACATGTGCTTTGGCATGCTCCTCTTCATGCTCAGCATGGTCCCGCCCGCCTTCTCCCGCCTGCTGTACGTCGTCGGCTTCCGTGGTGACCGCGAGCGCGGCGTGCGCATGCTGTGGAAGAGCACCGAGTTCGACAACCTCAACGGCGCCGTTTCGGGCCTCATCCTCCTCGGCTACTACAACGGCCTTATGGGCCAGGCGGACATTACGCCGGCCGAGCGGGACTTTGACGCCGACGCCGAGATGGTCGGGTACCCGGCCAAGAAGTGCGAGGCGCTGCTGGCGTCGATGCGGACGCGGTACCCGGACTCGCGCCTGTGGCGCGTCGAGGAGTCCCGCGTCATGGCGCAGCAGCGCCGGCTCGCCGACGCGATTCAGCTGCTCACGACGGGCCAGGAGTCCAAGATGCGCCAGGTGACGGCGCTCAACTGCTTCGAGCTGGGGCTCGCCGCCATGTCGCACCAGGACTGGGAGCTGATGCAGAAGACGTTCCTGCGCTGCCTCGAGCTCAACGACTGGAGCCACACGCTGTACTACTACATGGCCGGGTGCGCGGAGCTCGAGCTCTACCGCGACGCGTTCCACGCCGCGAACAAGGACGAGGACGAGATGCGCCGGCGGAAGAAGAAGGCCGAGGAGCTGTTCCGCAAGGCGCCCACGGTGGCCGGGCGCAAAAAGTTCATGGCGCGCCAGCTGCCGTTCGACACCTTCATCACGCGCAAGATCCAGAAGTGGGAGGAGCGCGCCAAGGAGTTCAAGGTCGACCTGGCGGACGCCGTGGCCGTCAGCCCCGCGCAGGAGATGGTCAACCTGTGGAACGGCACCAAGAGGATGAACGACGAGGAGCTGCACCAGTCGGCCAGGAGCCTGGGCTGGGAGCGGTGCACCCTGCCGGCCGAGGTGCTGGACAAGGTCAAGAAGACCCCGACGAGGCTTCCATCCGGTCCATCAGCCTGGCGGCCATCTTCAGGACCCTCGGACGGTTCGAGGAGGCAAGGACCATTCTCCAGACTGAGGTCTTGAACGCAGACAGGTAAGCTGCCCCCCTTTCTTCTTTGCCAGGAGGCATCCCGAAGCTAACAACAACGCAGAGCCGCATTCAAGGGCCCCACAAAGGACGAGTACACGATGCCCATGGCGCACTACGAGATGGCGGCCGTGGCCTGGTTCGAGGGGTGCCAGCCGGAGAAGCGCACGGCGACGGCGGACGAGCCGACGGACGCCGAGGGCCAGGCCAAGGCCGTGGCGGACTACCGCAAGAAGAAGACGGCCGAGTGCCAGGAGTGGCTCGACAAGGTCGTCGCGTGGGAGGCCTTCGTCTTCGACGCCAGGCTGGGCATGCGCGTGCAGGCGGCGCTGGAGACGCTCAAGTGGTTCAAGCGGAAGAACGCATGGGCATAGAAGGGGCGAGTTCAGACGACAAGGGAGCCCTTTGGGCGCATTTCCGGATCCAGGCCCTTTACGCGCGGGGGGGTGATGAGAGCGGGGGGGGTTGTAGACTTTTGTTTTCGTCGGTATATATATATATATATACTTAGACGCCGTTGACTATGGGGGTATCCTCGGAAAGAACATGTAACAAGAAAAACTACTGCATTTTACCGCCAGACCAAAACAAAGCCATTTCCGTTTGCAACCAAACGAGACGAGCGGGCACCGCCCACCCCTCTCAACCGCTCTTCTTGGCCCTGCGACCCCGGCCTTTCTTGAGCTCCTGGATCCCGTCCTGCAAGAACCCGGCGCCGCTGCCGGCAGCCCTCTCCCCGCGTTCCTTGACGCGGTGCTTGTCCGCCTCGGCGCGCATGTCGTCGACGACGTCCTGCCCCTGGCTCGTCCCGTGCGCCCAGTCCAGCACCCCCACGCGCCGTAGTTCCCGGCCCCCCGCCGGCGTAGTGGATCGCCGTGCGGCGCGTGATGCCGCCCATGACGATGCCCGGGACGACGCTGTACCCGGACATGGCCATGGTCTCCTCGACGGTGCAGAAGCCGACGAACAGGAAGTACGTCAGCAGGTGCGGGCGCAGGGCCACGGCGGGGAGGAAGACGGGCGCGACGCGGTGCAGGAGGAAGGGGAGCGGGTGGTCGGCGAAGAGCATCAGCGAGAAGGGCGGCGCGGCGCGGGCGTGGGCGTACGAGGCGTGCAGCTTGGCGAGGCGGCCACCGCGGCGGGCGTGGAGGAGGCGCGTGTGGAGGTAGTAGGTCAGGACCTCGCGGGCGGCGACGAGGAGGGCGATGTGCTTGAGGAGCTGGAAGGGCAGGGGCAGGGCGGTGGAGGCGCGGAAGAGGGGTTCGCGGAAGTAGGAGGCCCAGGCGAGGCTCACGCCGCCCTCGACGCCGGCGGCCAGGGCGAGGTTGAAGAGGGCCAGCAGTAGGGTCCGGAGGAGGGTGGGGCCGTGGGTGGGCGGGAGGGCGGAGGCGCCGGCGGTCTTGATGGACTCGGCGATGGAGGGGATGAGGGTGTCGAAGAGGAGGAAGACGAGGGAGGGGAGCAGCCAGAGGACGAGGCGGAGGGCGAGGACGCCGACGAGTTGGACCTTGAGGGGGCCGTGGGAGAGGACGAGGGTCGTCCAGGTCATGTAGAAGAAGAGGAGGTTGAGGGAGGTCGTCCAGGAGGTTACCGAGGGGGCGAGGAAGTAGGAGACGATCGGGAGGGAGAGAAGGATGTCCATGTTGAGGTTTGGTTGTTGGTTCCTGGGCTTGTGGTATTGAAGTGAGATGGCGGATGAGTGAAGCGGCAGCGACTGAGCTGGGTATAAGTGAGCCGCGGATACTGGAAGGGCTGGTGTTCAGCGAACAGCTCAAAACCGAGGTGTTCAAATTATCCAAGGGCAAACGTAACAAAAGATTCTACGACTCGCAAAAAAAAAAAAAAAAACCCCTCCTTGTATTTGCGACAGAACCGGGCCGTTGGATATTGCAAGGACGTGGACAAACAAGCATCGAGGCGCACGTTGCCAGCCATGACGTAGGACGGTCGCATGGGTGCGCAGAGTGCTGCGTCCCACCTGGGACTAGCGCCAGAGCTGTACCAAACAGGAAGGTTCACAAGTTGGAGGTACGGGACGAGCAGCCTCGAAGAAAAGCAGTGGTAAGCGCATGGATTCCGTTTCAAGCATGTATTGGTATTACCAGAGTGCATTGTCTTGCCAGCGCACGGCCGGTCGGAATACCGACGTCGACACGGAGATGGGGACCCACCAGACCCCGACTCGACGGTCCGGCTCCGGAGGGGGACCTAATCGATGGCGGCATGGCTATCCTCAAGGGGGCTAAACTTTGCATCACGCCGTCTACACCTCCAGCTTTACATGGAACTCGGTCATGGCTCGTTTCCTGGAAGACGGGAAAAGTAAAAAAGCAATAAGGAAGGCGGGAAAAAAATCAAGGGAAAACCCCTGGTCAGATGTAAACACAAACTGGGCGTTGCACAAAACACAAAAGAACGCAGCAGCCCATCCACAAACCAAACTCTAGCCGGCAGCGGGCCCAGCAGCCAAAGTACCGCGGAAACTTATGGAGCCCCCCCAAAGGCCACCCAACGAGCGATCTCGATGTAAGACACACGCACACCGCAACCTCGCAGCCCCATCGTGCCCACAAGTCGAGAAACCCCCTCCCCCTGGCGTCAAGGCAACCTAGTCCCAAACAGGGCATCTTCTCTTCAACAATCAGCAATCAGGCGAAGTGCCAGAGTGGTTAATGGGTGTGCCTCGAAAGCACATGGCTTCGGTCGCGCAAGTTCGAATCTTGTCTTCGTCGATCTCTTTTGCCTTTTTTGTCGGGCTGGGGTGTCTGTTCGAGTTGATGGTTGTTTCCCTTGGACAAGGGATTAGGCGTTGCATCGGCACTGCTGCTTTTTGGTGTTTCTACCAACCCGACTCCCACTGAACAGCCCAGGGTGTTGATTGTATTCGCCGACGAGACATCCACGTCCAACGTCAACTCATTAGTGTCTTGACTTGTACAATGTAACTAATCGAGCATCACACACTGAATCCCGTCTACTCGTATTCTTGGTTTTTCGCCTGCGAAACTAGTGCACTCGGCTCTTCGTGGCCCAGCATCACAACTAGGGTTCCTACACCGACGAGGTTCCGCGCCGGTTGCTCTGTACTTAATACAAAATCGTTCAGTGACATCACAACCTTCAAGACCTACCGGGCAGTCAGCACAAACCCACACTCGAAAAAAGGACAAAACGTTGTGAAGTCCACAAAGGAGATCATATTAACACATTACTCGGCGTCTGCCCGCGATCCGCAACGCGCGTGGCAGCCCGATGCTGTACTACTACTACTATATACTGCATGCAAAAAGCCTGTGCAAACACCACTGCCGGCACTTCTCATAAAATTTCCCAGTTCGCCGCCGGTCCTGGTCTTTATCCGCGGCTTCGTCCACCCAAAGCTCGCAATCTCCCCAGGACACGTCCGCCCATCCCAGAAGCCTCCAGACGCGCTCGACGCCGATGCTGTACAAAAGTGGTATTCGACACAAGAAATCATACATGGCCGCCGCCTCGACGTATTATAAAAGTTCCCCCCTACGTGGGTGTGGATATAAAGCAAAGCGTAGGTAAAAATCGTAAATGGATCAAGGTCGTTCAAAAGATGTCCGAAACATGGACTGACTGCCAAAGCGGCTCCGATCGGCGGTCATCTCCAACAATCGCCGCGTCAGACTCGCATCTCCGCCTCACCGCGTCCCGGTCTTCCGTCCGCGGTCGTCCTTCTTGGTGGCACGCAGCCAGTCGTCCCATTCCTTGCTAATCTCCATGAGCACGGCGCCCATGACACTGGCGCTGGCCATCAGGCCGTGGCCCTCGCCCTCGAGAACGCGGACCTCGCACCGCTTCATCGTCTTCCCGAGCCACTTGACGTTCTCAACCGGCACACGCGTGTCGCGGCTGCCGTGGTGGATCACGACGGGCCGTGTAATGTCAACATATCGGAAACCAATGGTGTGCCTGCGTTCCAAGCAGACCAGCAGATCGACGGCGGGATTGGCGCCCGTCGTCGCCAGCTCCCAGATGGCATGCGTCAGCCTGCCGTCGTAGATGGTCTGGCGCTCCTTGTCCATCAGCGCGTCCGACGCGGCGGCCAGGATCTGCGCATCGGCATCAAAGTGCCCCTGCGCCGAGGCCGTACCATTCGGTCGAATCCTGTCCATGTTCTCCATGGCCGTCGGCGCTGGTCTTCCTGACAGGTCGTCGCCGGTGCTGGTGTGGTCGTACAGGCCCAGGTTTTCCCTGTCGAGGTGGGGCGTCGTGTCTCGCTTGCTCCCTTGCGTCGCTGGGGTGTCCCGGCCAGTTGTCACAGTGGACTTGCGCTTGTTCCGTTTGGGGGTCTTTGGTAGCGAACTCGTAATGGAGCTGCTCGTTGCCGACATGAAAGAGCTATTGGCAGCCTTCAAGAAGGTCGCGGGGAGCGCCCGCAAGATCCGTTGCGAAGTCGGAATCGCGTTGGTCGGCGGGAGTGCCTGTGACGTGCCAAACACGTTCATCTGCGAAGGTGGGATCCACGGCGCAAGCAGATGGATCTTGCCACGGATGTGCTGGGGCATCCGGAGGGCAGTCGCCAGCGCGTAAATGGCGCCGGCGGAGTGGGCGAGTATGGAAAACTTTGTAATCTTCAGGGCCTGGCAAATGGCGTAAACGTCGTCGGGCCAGCTGAGCGGCGTCGCGGTTCCGTCAGCGTACGCCTCGCTGTCGCCCACGCCGGGCCTGTCGGGGGTAATGAGACGCAGCTTCAGCGTCAACGCGAGCTCGTCGTAGAATCCCGTGATGTATCTCGTCAGCCCCATGCCCACGCAGCAAAAGACAGCAGAGCCGTCTGAGTCTCCCACTTCGGAAAAGGAAATGACCCGGCCCGTCTGCGGGTGTCGGATCTTTTGCGACAGTCGAGGAGAGCACAGATACGACTCGACCGCGTCGTCAACGGAGTCTGCACTGCGAGGGCGCTCGTACCCGGCGGGCATGCTGTTGCGGGTGTCTGGCGATGCTGCGGCCGAGCTCCGTGACCGGGCTGGCTCCTCTCCCTTGGGAGCCAATGGCTGCGAGAGCCGCTTGAGCCTGGAACTGCTGCGCTTCAGCTTGAGGGTTTCGCCTGCGTCCGCCACATCGCGCGCCGATTTCCGTCTGTTTCGGTCGGCCATCAGTTCGTCGCGGCGACGGCCCTGAGCCACAGCCGGGAACGGCGCGCCGTCTTCGATGTCCTCCTCAACCAACGGTCCGGTTGTCGCCCGGAAGTCTTCCGTGTGTCTGGACTGGAACAATGGACGGCTGAAAGACCTCATGGACGGATCGGCCGAGACCCTCGCCAAGTCATTCTCGGAGGCGTGGCGAGCCAAGTATTTCCGCCGCGATGCCTCGCCCGACAAGGTCTGCTCCTCGCCCTCGAATATGATGTCGTTGTTGCTGTTGGCGCTCTCTCTCTTGGACCGCGAGGATCTCACCGATCCTCTCTTCGCGTTGGCCCCCGTCTTGAAAAGCGACGAATCGCGCGTGGGGATCGATCTGGGACTGGCGGTTGGATCCAGGCTCGAGTTCGGGCTCGCCATCTCGTGCTTGCGGGGGCGTTCCCGCGTGGGTGTTTCCAGGGGGTGGTGGGCGGGCTCTTCGCGAATGGGCGTCTCGGCGAGGAAGGGGTCTGGTCGGAGGGTGGCGGTCGTGAAGCTGTTGGAACTACGTTCGCCGATGCTCGCGCGCTTCTTTTCTTCCTTTTCTCGTAGCCGCTCCTTGGAACTCATGTACATCAAGCCCCTGTGGCTTCTGCCCTGCTTCCTGCCCCAGCTGTCGAGCGAGCCTTGTCGCCTGAGTTCCGGGGTTGGCGCGGAACCGCGTTCTATCGAAAGATTGCCTATACTGTGGGCATCGTCCCGCGATCCAAAGGAGCCTTTCGACGAGGGCCGCGAGGTATTCCGCAAGAGGGACTTGAGGCCACCGGAGGCGTCGCGAGCAGGGGATTTGGGAGCGGTCAAGGGCGACAAGCCAGAGGGCGGTTTGGCGGTGCGGATGACGGGGGCGGCAGCAGCGACTTCGTCAAGGGAGACGTCGTCCGTTCGGAGGTTCTCGGTCGAGGGTTGCTGGAAGGCGCCGTAGTCGACGCCGAAGCTGCCTTGGCGAGGGGTTATGGGGACGGCCAAGGTCGGTGGGCTGCGCTCAAAATGCTGGTCGGCTGGCTGGGATATCACGGACAGGCTGGTGATGAGGGAAGAGATGACCTCGGGCGAGCTGGGAACGGCGTCGGCAGCAGCGCGGCGGGACGGAGGTGGGAGAGAGCGCCGAGGCGGGTGAGGTTCAGGGGTTTGTGGGTTTCGATAGCGGTGGGGGATAGGGGGTATTGTGTTTGGATCGTGGTGGCTGTCCATGGTGACGAACGGAAAGAGGGAGGAGGCGGGCAATCGACTGGCGGGCTGCACGACGACGGACGACGGCACAGGGGCCAGCCTCAGGATTTCTCAGGAGAGGGCACGGAACCGTTGCTACCGGCGTAGCGGGTGGCAGGAGGAGGCAAGGACCGCACACTGCAGACGACTGCTGCAGGATCGAGTAGCAGCGAGGGAGTCGTACAGAGGGAGTACTTCGTTCGTACAAACAAGCCAGCCCCAGGAGGGTCCGGGTGACTGCGACCGTGACTGGCCCACCAGGGGAAAAATCAATGGGAACTGCTGAGCTTAGGGCGGCCGCGGACCCCCCTCCTTTACGGTGCTTCAATCGGGAGCCGGGCGACACCACAAGCGTAGGATTGTGGGAATTGTTGCTTCTGGAATCAGCGGCAGGCCGCGGTTGATGGCCCTGTAGCGGTCGCTAGCACGCGTAGCGGAGAGGCAGGGCGTGGCCAAGCCAAACAAATGTGTCGGCACAGGCACGCACGTACGCACGGGGCAGGGTTGGTGCAGGTACGCGGCGCGGTAGATTGGGCGTGGTCAGATATAGGATAGGGACGTTGACGGACGAGGAAAGGCGCGGCGAAGGATGGTGGAGAGGACCAGAAAACCGAGCGAGGAAGGGCGCGTCCAGCGTCCAGTAGCAGCAGGGTCCGGCGTGCCTCTGGGATCATGCAGGGTGACCAGCGGCGGCGGCGGCGGCGTCGTCGTCGCACAAAAAAAAAGCCAAGTAGCTGCAAGGTACTGGGTGCGTACTGCAGCGTCACCAGTGTGCCGTGTCGATGGAGTGAGGGGACTGAAGGTATGGGTATAGCGGGTTCGTATGCAATGCGTTGCCGCAGCTGCAGGCAGGGCGAAGCGGAGCGCGTTGGGATGGTGTCTCTATCTCCTGGGCGGGTTTGTCTCGACTTGTCTCGACGTCTCGCGTTGATGGACCGAGAGAGGAACTCATGGGAAGGGGACCGTGCTCTCTCCCTTTTCTTCTTTGTCGGGAAAGTGCTGCGTCTGTCCTTTTTGGGGAATCTTGTCTGTCACCTTTCCTTGCTCTCCGTTGGGCTGGATTAGACGATCAAGAGAGGGGAGGGGTGCGCGTGTGTGGCGGATAGACGGTTGGCACCCTCCAAAGTCGAGGCAGAGTCGCTTGGCTGGTTGTTGGTTGGGCTTGGACTTGGACTTGTCGTCTTGGTTGCTTGGAGCGACTGACAGGCGGATATTTCTTGCTTCTTTTTTATTTTTGCCCGCCTTTGCTGAATCGGGGATGGACTCGGTGGAGAGCGAGGGAGGGAGGATCTGTTCGAAAGAGAGGGGGTGGTCGGACGGGGAAAGGAAGAAAAGGAAAACGTGATGGAAGCGCAGGAAGACGTGGGAAAGCAAGAAAGACTCAGGGTCGCATGGACGACGGGGGGGACGGCGGCCTAAACGGCGCAAGGCACGGAAGGGCAGTGCGTGGCGTTGCCCGTCGGGGGGTCGTGAAGAAGGAGCCGGCGCGAAGGGTGACAACTGGGAAATGGACGGGAGCACGATTCGGGCCCTATGGAAATTGGCGATGGCGCTTCGTCTCACTTCACACCGCAAGGTACAGAGTGATAATGTTGGGGTCCAGCTGCTGCTGCTGCTGCTGCTGCGTATGGTGGCTGGCGACTGGAGAAGGCGTCTTCACACGGCTGCCGGTAATAATTATTAGCCCGCCAGAATAACATTAATCGATGACCGAACTCGTCGCGCGCCCACACCCCCCTTTTGCGCTGCAAAGTCACGTCCGTCTCCTTCGTTGCATTAAAGAAAGGGTTGCGCGGTACGACATAACCAGGGACAGCCGTGCAATGCTGCGTGCACATCACACAGGACCGCCGAAGCAGACAACGGACGGATCGACGAATCAATACGCCTGCGCGCGAATGAAAAAGAAGATTAATCGAGCCCAGGGGAATGGGAGAGGACGGAGCGCAGATGGAGCGCAGGGATGGTGCGAGATTGGATTGGACGGGATAGGTAGAAGACCGGACGGGACGGGATTAGGCAAGAAAAAAAGGAGACGAGAAGGTAAGGCAGGCAAGCAGGGTAGGGAGGGATGGGATATGACGAAGGCACGGAAGGTGGATTGGATGGCTTTGGATTGGGATTTGGATTGGGAAGGTAGGAAGGGGTCCGTGAACAGCGGACCGGACGCCCGTTCAATATGGCAACTACACCTCTTTCCCCCGTGACCTACCAACCTACCAACTGGTGACCCTGTGAAACGCTGAGGAAGAGGGAGAGAGAGCCGACAATCTCGGAGAATAAGGACGGCAAGAAACCTGACGAGGCCGAGGAAAACGACGAGAAGAAACTCACCAACGACAGGGGAAAAAAACAAAAAAACACAACAAAAAAAAATGTCCCCAGCCAACCCCTCCAGTTGCAAATCCCAATCCAGGCGCACGGGACCCAAGGAGCGGGGGGGGGGGGGGGGGGGGGGGGGGGGGGCTGTCAACAGGGGCGCTCTGAGCCAGAATGTTGGCAGAAAAAAGACCCGAAGGAAGCACCGGTTGCGCCCAAGCCCCGATTGCCAACGCCCGCAACGTGGACGACGATGTTGACGCTTTGGGGGAGGGGGTTCGATGTCGTCTGTCTGTCGTCTGTCTGCCGGCCACGAGACCAAACCCTGCATGACAGGCACGTCAGCTTGGACCCCCTACACCCGGCAGACCGTTTGCTCCGGCCCCAAGGGAAACAGACAACAACATTCAACAACAAACAACACAGCGGCAGCGGCAGTCGACAACGCCGGGCAATGACCACCACGTTCCTGACGGTCCAAGGGTTCGACTTGGCCCCCCCTCCCCCACCTGGTCCCGAGCTCCGGGCATTGGCCAATCCAAGCTGCAGGGCCGTGGTCCCCTCTTGCGCGGCCCGGTGCGGATACCTAGAGGGGGCCCTGTTGGTGGGACAAGGGACGGGAGCGGGGACCAGCACCCGAGGCGGTGGGTTGCAGGAGCTTCGAGCTGGGCAAGGCCGAGAGAGAATATGCGTGAAGATGGAGGCAGCAAACAAAGCGACGGAGGGCAAACCGCTTGGTATGACGCCAGAGGCACCAGGCAGGCAGGCTTTGTTCCAGCCGGATCTCTTGACCACGCGGTGGAGGGGGAGGGGGGCTTCCGGGGCGCGCCGGGGCCTTTCGGCTGCCGAGACTGCGCCGGACAGAAGAGGATCCGGAGAAAGCCAACCATGGAATCAACGAAAGATTGCCGACTCACCCATGCGTAAGCAATGTGCTTTGAACGACGCCCCGGTATGCGAGGCGGTATATGCGATGAATGACCAACGGAGTGAAACCTGGTTTGAGCGGCCGGAGGGCGCGAGGGGGGCACGTCGTGCGTAGGCGATTTCGTCCAAGTCGCGCGAGATTCTGAGACGCGCTGATGCAGCGCTCGACGTCGAAGAGAGCGGACGGCGACGTCGGGACCTCCCTATATACCATCCCACTCCTCACTGGGGCCCTGCAGCGACATGTGAGGGGGTTCCGTCTGCCATCCTCTCCCCCCTCGGTGTCTCGTCCCACAAGGCGCCCATCCCTTAGCTGCATCGTCCTGGCTGCCCGACGGCGCGCCGCGTATGGTCATCTCCCGCGTCCCTACGCCGCACTACGCCCTGCGCATGCAGATGTCTCACTGGGGGTCCCGACCAACGAAACGCGACGCACACGTCGGAGAGCAGACGGGCTTGCCCCGACCTTGCGGATGTTGTCGTGCTCACCCAGCTCGCCCAGCTTGGCTGCATGCCGCGCGACGGCCTCGACATCGTTTGGAGCTCCAGATCGTGAGCACATCTCTAGAACCTGCCGGCAGCAACGTGTCGAAGCAGCCTTTACAAAAGAGTGAACGCTGAGCCTCGCACCCCATCATGTGAAAGACCCGAGATGCCCGCTGCCGACCAAGGCAAGCTAAGCTGCACCTGTCAATCAAATCGAGAGGTCGTGGTGTCTCCCGGATGTGCAACATCGCGCCGGCAGCGTCACACGTCGCACCCCGCTTCGGTAGCGAGTTCGATCACCACAGACAGTAAGCCCAGCGGCCACCATACCGACGCCGTGTTCATGCTATCAACTCCCATCCATCGCAAGTAAGCCGAGTCACGCGTGCGCAGTGCTAGCTGACCCGGCATTTTCGGCCGCACTCGCAGAATATCATCGTGATGGCGGGCAGTTTCCTGTAGAGTTCGTTGCACGGGGATCGGCGCGCCCCCTGTCTGAAGGCTGTCTCGCTACCAAAAGCAAGAAAATGGGCGGACGGGCCCGTATCGACACCTATGTGTGATTCGGGTTACGAGGCCACTCCACGCCGTCCGCAAGGGGGTCCTTATTATGTTTCCATGTCGATAAACCGGGCCAGGATCGTTGAGGGATGTTGTACGTGGTAGTACCTATCCAAGGCCAAGGTAAGGAGCTACTTGACTAAGCAATCAGCTCCCCTTTGTGGAAAGTCATCGGCAGGGTACAGTCATCACGTCACTTCAAGCATATAAACAATCACAGGCGAATAGTTGGGAACCAATCATGAGGTGGCCGATTTTCTCATTACCTCGCCCAGACGAGGGCTCAAGCCGGTCGAGGGCCGATCCGCTAGGGAAAGCCCCGACGAAGTAGATCGTCAAGATATCTATCCATCGCCAGCTATATCGCAAAAGCAGAAACCGATGCAGACCGCGCGTACCGTCCTCCAGAAAAAAAATCAATCACCCAGGGACAAAATGAGATCCTCAAAACATGTGTCAAGCTTGTCCATTCTGACATGTTTTGTTTGTTGCGTGGGAGATGTTCCGTTTTTTGTTGTGTGTTGTTGTGGGTTTGGCGTGGCGAGCCAAGAGAGAAAGAGGGGGCCGTATGAAGCGTCCGAGCCTGTTGTTCCTTGGACGTTGTTGATTGTACAGGATTGCCTCCCCCCTTTCTGTGTTCTCGGCCTGCCCTGGAGTCGAGGGCGGGCACATCCCGTGTTGCCTCTCGACATCCGTATATCAAGGAGAAAGACAATGACAGGAAAAACACAGTCTGTATGGTTGCTGGCACCATGCTGATGTGTGCCCCCGGTATGTCTAATACCGAATGAAAACGCCAGGTTCCTTTCAAAGGAGAGATGAGAGTTGTGAAGAGTTGCACCGCCCCCGTGGGCTAGGTCCCCAAGAAGGTCGAGTATTTGTCAAGTGACCAAGCTTGGTGCTGGGGGTGGTGTCTTTTTTTTATTTGTCGTTTTTGTGTTTTTGGAAAAAAAAAATCAAAAGGCAGCAAGTTTCTCTCGCTTCGTTTATCCTCTCTTTTCTCTCTGATGAGCCGTGAGACTTCCGTTCGCCGCCACCTACGAGTGAACGTGGAGCAGGTACTAGCCAAGTCTCAGAGGGTGAAACGCCAGTGATGGGGGAGAACAAAATCGCCAAGGCCTGCGTGCTGTAGTCCTGTATCGGGCATCTTCTTGGCCCAGGGATGCTGAAGAGGAACAAGTGTGAAAGAAGAGCGGGAGGAGTGTTCGTTTGCGGTGGGTATTAATCCTCTCCGGCTCCGTTAAAACCACCAGAAAGGTATTCGGCCAACCTCGGTGAGAAGTGGAGATGGGTTTTCCAAGAAAGAAAAGACAGCTCCCGAATGGTGTTTTTCCAATCTGGTGTGGGAGAGAGGGGAGAAAGTGACGTGCCAGCAAAACGAGAAATCAGACCTCCTTGGGATCGCGGTTCTCATACAACCTCCTTTCCATTGTGATGCAATTCCCCGAAGGCCAAAAAGGACCAAATGATACAAGAGCAAAAAAACAGCTCGTGGTTTAACGCCGTGGTGATACCATGCTCGCTTTATAATTGCACATGTGTTTTTGAGACGTCCGGTCCGAGTCAACTCGAAGGCCGGCGTTCAACAAAAAAAAACCTCTCAGACGGTCTTGGGTGTTCGCGCGTTACTGTGGTCGATAACGTCGTCGAGGTGGTTGCACATGGCCACGAACAGGTCGAAGAAAAGCTTGCTGCCGCCTTGCTCCATCTCGGCCTGCATGGTTCCGCTCCTCTTGAATGTCTTGCGACACCGGATGATCAGGGCGAGGTAGTGAGCGCGCAGCCGCGAGTCCGAGTCGGGGGTGTGGGCGTAGGCGTACTGGGCGGAGCGCAAGATGGTGCCGACGTCGATGCCGGTCTGCAGGCCCTGCTTGCGCAGAGCCAGGCGCTTGAGCTCCTCAAGCCCGTACCGCTCCGCGGCACAGTAGATGACGGTGTCGCGGAGGATGTTCTGCTCGCAGCTCGCGACGTAGATTGTCGCCTCACTCGGCGTGTTTGCCGTTGTGGGTGTGGGGGGCATGGCGGCTGCGCGGCCACCTCTGTTGTATTCGGCGGGGTTGGGGGAGGTTTGAGGAGTTCCTCTAACAGCGTCCTCGAGCTCCCAAGAGTTGCGGTGCCTGTTGTGCATGAGGCGGGGGTAGTAGTCACCCTTGTAGAGGTACTCGAGAACGGAGGAGAAGATCTCGGGTTCTTCGTCAGGGAGGGAGATCCTCTTGCTCTGCGACTCAAAGAACTGTCCCCGGCAGGCGGCCTCGAAGAAGGGCGACTGGAAGAGGACGTCTTCGTGAGCGGCGAACAGCCGGCCCTCTCGGCCGACGGTCAGAGTGACGATGGGCGAGGGGGCCACGGACTTGTTGGCCGCCTTGGCCGACTTTGTCTGTTGCGGCGCGGGGACGGCCGGCGGGGCCATGGCGGGTCTGTTGTCCGTCACGGACTGTTGCATCTTCGACATTTTCTGGGGGTCCCGGATCGAGCTCGACTTCTTCAGCCTCGACGTCTTGTCGACGCGGACGTTGGGGTCTTGCGACCTGAACGTGCGCTTGAACAACGACATGACGGCTGTCGGTTGTGGTAAAGAGGGGTGGGATCTGAAGAAGTTTATGTTGTCGTAGACGTTTGTTGTGGTAGGGAATGTGAACTCGAATGGGGACGATAGAGAGTGAAAGACAAGAAACCTGGATCGATAGAGGACGCGTTGCCCAGGGTCCTTATATGCCTTTGTCTCTGAGATAGGAAGACTTGTAGAGAGTGACGAAGAGAGCGAATAGAGGAGAAGGGGGAATGACGAAGGAGGGCGAGGAGGACGAGGGGGGGTGGTGGTTCGGAGGGGGGGAGAGAGCGTGAGTGAGAGAAGTGAGGGACGAGTGACACACAAAAAGATTGACTGGGGGTCCGGGGTGGGAGATGTCTCCTATGGAGAAGGGATTCAGTAACGAACGACCCAAGGAGATATTCCCAACTGCAACTTTGCGACCCTTTTTTGGTTGTGAGTGAAGGGGGGGGAGGGGGAAAACCAGAGGGAAGAGGGGTGGATGCGGAGGGGGACCCTTCTTATTTATAGCGTGCCGTGAAGTTGGTGATGTTTTTCCCGCGCCCCGACTCTTTACCTCTTCTTCGGAGGCGTGTCATTGGCTGCCGCCAGCCCAACCGCCGCATTTTTTTTGGAGTGGTGCCCAGGCAGGTAGTGCGTTGGTGAAGAGCCGCACCATGATAGGACAGAGGCACGGTAACCCAAGGTACACACCTCGAGGTAGGCGGGACAATGACAGGGTAGACGGGCTGGCGCGCGTTGCTGACGTTGGAACCTCTTCTGAACGTCTGTGAACGCTGTTTGGCGGGAAAGCCTACAGGCGACAGCAGGAGAACCGGGCAGACATGGACAGCCCAGGCAGGCATCGCCGCCTAACGCCTACCAGTATGGAACGCCAGTGACTTCACTGGAGGTACATGGAGTGAGGCACTCGGGATCGAGGAGGGACACCTCCCGATTCGACTCGACTCTGTACAAGTCACAATGGTACCGTACCTCCTCCTAGCACATGCGAGGGTACGTACCTACCTTATCCGCCAACCGCCAGCGCCTCTCTCCAACCGGGGGAGCAGCCGCTAACGCGCACCTAATTCCCATTTGCCTTAACACAGAGAACACTGCCCGGACAGTGGGCTGAACCAACTCAGCCAGGCCAAGGAGGGGGAGGTATCGGTACGAAGTGGAGGCGGCCTGACGGCCCCTGAACGGTCACCGGTCCTGGCTCCTGGGGCCAGACCAGACCTCCCCCCCTTCCGTCCCTCCTCCGATCCCCGAGACGGCTCCCGCCCGGTGCGTTGGCAGCAAAAAGGTACATCTGCCATGTACCTCACCTCGTCTTCCCAGGGGGGGGGGGCGTTGCGTCGGGAATGGCGGCCCAAGGTCTTCGACCGCAAGACACCTCACCATCGTCGCATGCGTTGTCGCCAGTCGCGCACGTGAGGGCGTCGCAACGCGGGGCTCGCTGAATTGCGGAAGTTGGCTTCTCGTTTCCCTCATCGACGCCTCAGGACTTCCCCGCGACACCTTACAACGACCCTCGTAGACGCTGAGAGAAGTCGCGAGAAGGGCGGCCGAGACGCTGCTTGATGGTGTCATTGGCCGATGCCCCATGCCGAGTACTGATACCCCGAGCGCCCAACAAAGATTCGTGCTCGATCAGGTACCCGGGCCAATTTGTGCCAAACTGCCAACTCATCGGCGGCTCAACCTCTGCCGTTCCGGTTGGTGTGTTTGTCGTGTGGGCTTGCTGCGCATGGTTGCCATGGTTGCTCTCTACGTTCGTCCTTGCAGGATCTGGAAGCTCGAGACGATGCAACTCGCTCCCCTCATCGACTGTCTAGTTTGTCTTCATCCTGAATGGCCCGGGACTGCTCAGACACTCGGGATTGGATAATGTCTCAGGCCTTCATCGATACCTCACGAGACCTCGAGACCTGAACTTGCGTGTAGATGCCTTACGACGCAGTCCGTTGCCTCTGTTCACTGCCTTCACTGCCTTTTCCACGACTGAGAGCCCGTTGGCTTCAACCTTCCTCGACTTGGTGCCTTAACATTGGTCTCATTAGCGCCAGCAGAACGCTCCGTAACCTCATCGTCTCAATAGTTTCACTAGCCGCAGCCTAAATCATCCCAACTCTCCTCGAGCCGCATGAACGACGCCTCTCTGACAGTCAGGCATTCCGTTGCTTGCTTTCGGCCTCAACTTCTAGATTCCTCGTCGTCTCGACCCCCTTCAAACGCGAGAATGAGCCCAACACCCCGAACCCCCCCCCCCCCCCCCCCCCCCCCCAGCTGATCCCTAGACCCATGAAACCCCTCCTCGGACAAAATCATATCGTCGACTTCTGGGCCCCTCGAGATTGGCGTATGCCGCTAGTCGGGCAGATTCAGGCACAAAACCGCCCTCGCCAATCATCAAGAGCCACCAGCACCCCGTCCCGCTCGCTCGCCCACCCCCAATCCCTGCCCTCCACCAATCTTCACTGTCGGCGAGCCCAGTGACCTGCATCACCGCTCAACACCGCTCCTTGCCCCGTTGCCATCGTACTCCCCTCCCGTCCCGTCCCGTCATCGCCCATGATACCATTACCTGGCATCGTTAGTCGTGGGCTTCCCTTTCCAGCAATCACGATGCATTCGTCCCACAAACATGGCACCTCGGCTCGGCAATAGGTATTGCGTGTTGGAACTCATGATGTTCTAGGTTATTTTGGTACTCGTATGTTCACCCTCCCTGTCCCTCCACCGCCTCGAGGGGTACCTTACACCCTCATCGACTCTAGCCTGATGCGTGCCTTATCGCTCCTGCAATCTGAGGCATCTGCCCAGGTACTTAACCACCGCACTTGGCCAAGCCCGATGGAACCGGCCGCCACCGCCGTCCTCACCGCCCGACGCATGCCCCGTTCATCTCCGACAAGATCCGTCTGGACCGAAAGTCCCTCACTGGCCCGCTACCGCGGCAGCGGCGGCAACCCGTCTCGTATGGGCAGCTCGTGCAATGTTCTCTCGCATACCAATGAGACCGTACATGAACGCATACACTGGCCAGCAAGTCAGCATCGTCTCGCCCAAGGTCACAAGGTACTGGGGAACCCACTGATGGGAGCAAGGATGACAAATCCAATCGACGATGCCACCACGGCCTCGCGGGATCCGACCTCCTTCTCGTTCAGCCAGTAAAAGGCATCGGCACCAGTCTCGAGCTTGCCGATGGCTGCCCAACCGAGATAGAGACCCGCGAAGAAGATGACGCCCAAAGTGTGTGCGCCGACCGCCTACCGGATTCAGTTTTGTTAGCACACGTTGTTGCATCCATGCCCGAGACCACTCACAAAGGGACGCTTGATACTGTTGAGATAGAATATCTCAAAGAGAGAGATGATGGATGTGATGCCGAACAGGTTGAGAATGACGAAAGCTTTGAACCAGCCCTTGCCAAAGATCTCTGTGACTAACATTGGTTCGTCAGATTGGTCAACAACATTAGGATGCGACAACTTACAGGGTTCGTGTGGCCCGTTCTCGTGAACATCCTCCAAGCGAGTCCATTCGTAGCCCAAGGAGTCCCCAATCATGTAGGACACGGCCGAGCCTCCAGATGGCTGAGGTTGGGGCGGCTCGCCAGTGCTCTTGTCATCATGCTCCAGTGTTACGAACCAGTAGACGACGGTGTTCATGAATGTGAAAACAGTAGCGATGGTATAAAACATGGTGAAGTAGAACTGCTTGCGAAGGCTGGTCATGTCATAGGGCAACGACAGTGCTCTCAATGCCCAGTATTCCCAGCCAGTGCGGGTTTCCTCGATGTGCGGATGGTAGAGATGGGTGTACGTCCAGCCCTGAAAGCAAGCCCTGGGTTAGCAGGATGGCCTCGTCAAATCTAACGGCGTTGGTGGGCGTACCAGAACAACCGCGTGGTAGGCCAGGAGCAACGAGAAGGTGACGACGGAGAAGTCAAAGACGACACGCCAATTCGAGTACGGGGACTCTTGACGTAGTTTGTAGTCGAGGACCATGGCGCCGACAGCAGTCAGGTAGGCGACGACGCCACCTCGGACCCAGCACAAGAGGTTCTGGGGAAGACATCGCCAGGGCGAATGGCATGCTCGGAGAAAAGCAGGCTGAAGAACAAGGTCAGTCGAGGTCAGACGCGCACCAGAGCAGCGACTGAGCGACGTACATGGTCTTGGATTTGACCGTACGAGGCGGGCGTTGGCAACCCGTGAGCATCGTCCAAGTCGGCGTGCCCGTGGAGCAAAGGGGTGGTGACGGAGGCGTCCATCACGATGAGTAGCAATGGTCGGCAGAAGATAGACGAGGATCGACGAGGTTGCTGATATGGAAAAGAAGATGCTTTGAGTAAGGGATCCTTGAAGGCTGGGGGAGAAAAAGACTGTTGATCGGCGACCACCGAGAAATGAAGCCAAGGAAGAGACTGAGAGAGGGATGTCAGGTTGACAAGTGGGGGACGGGACATGGACTTGAAGGAAGAGGGAAGTGGAAGATGATCAGGGAAGCAGCGCTACTTCTTGCTTGTTCATGATCAACCGTGACTGTCGTTGGTGACTATGGCCTTCGCCGAAGGAAGGTAGGCCAGGTGGTAGCCTTTGGAAAGAGTGACATCTCCGAGACGTTTCCCTGTTGTGCCTTCTCGCGATGGGCATGCGAAGCATATTTGCTTCATTCGCATTCCGAAAAGGTAGCAGGCACAACTGGCTATCGAAAAGAAAGCCAACCACTGTGTTTGTTCACGGTGTGGAAGGGAACTATGGAAAGAAGCATGTCTACCGAACATTCCTCCCCCCTCTAGTATATATAACACATCTGCAATTGTACTGTAGAAGTAGTCATTGTATTGTCCTCCAAGTGGGGAAACTGCGCTTTTGCGACGAGATGCAGCTTGATGTTTGCACTTTTTTAGACTGCTGCAGAACGATAGGGCCGTAGCGCTTAGAGCTTACGGTTGTCGGAAGCTACTGGTTTTCCACAACATGCATCTTCACGACATTATTAAGAAAATTAAAAACAGCCCGAGTCACTCTCCTAAAGCCGCCCTATGCTGATTGCTGTGAACCTTCCAGAAGAGGAGAGTAACCAGGAAGACAAGAGAGGTTGGCAACAAGGGGGAAGAAGGACCGGTGTGCGTACGAAAGTTAGCGGAAGCTGGAAGCTTGGAACGCAACTTTCAATAAGAGGTGGTCTGTGCGCGAGCTTCAACCGCGGGCAACGAAGGCTGGGAACGATAAGATAAGAGGCGGTACGTACTCCTCCATCTCCATTGACACGTTCCCAATCGTCAAGAGTGCAGTTGGCCTGTGCTGTTGCTGATGCTCCAGCTGTTGCGTTGCTGGCCAGAACTCCAAACTCCACGCTCCAAATAAGCTTCCAACGTCGCGATTTAACAACACCTCTTGTCGGAACAACCACCACCAACACAACCGCAGTCTGCACTTGACAATCCATCCGACATCATGTTGTCAAGCCTTGCCAACCCGCGCCAGGCTGCGTCGCAGCTGCTTAACTTCGCGCTCATCCTCTCCACAGCCTTCATGGTGCGTCCCACCCCGTTTCTCCGAATACCTTCACGCTTCGTGATCCGTCGCTGACAGCCGGCGCAGATGTGGAAGGGTCTTTCCGTTATTTCCGATTCTCCCAGTCCGATCGTCGTTGTTCTCAGTGGCTCAATGGAGCCTGCGTTCCAGAGAGGAGACCTCCTTTTCCTATGGAACCGCAACCTCGTCCAAGAAACCGAAGTCGGCGAGATCGTTGTCTACGAAGTGAAGGGAAAGAACATTCCCATTGTTCACAGGGTGGTCCGGAAGTTTGGTGCAGGGTTCGTACTACAAGACCTAATTCGTTCCATGACTTGGTTTTCGTCCTGGACAACTAGCTGACCCCTACAGACCCGACGCGAAGCTCTTGACCAAAGGCGACAACAACCAAGGAAGCGACGAAGAGGTACGCACCAAGCGCCTAGCCAAAGAAAAAAAAATAAAAAGCATACTAACCATGATGTAGTTGTACGCCAAGGGCCAGGACTTCCTTGTGCGAAAGGACATCATCGGTAGCGTTGTCGCATACATCCCCTTCGTTGGCTACGTAACGATCCTCCTCTCCGAATACCCCTGGTTGAAGACGGCGATGTTGGGTATCATGGGTCTGGTTGTGGTTTTGCAGAGGGAGTAGGCTTGCGGTTATAGCTGGGCGAAAATTCCATACCTCGTTTCGACATTGCCATACGGACCACCATCGAGCATGCGTTCCCAAATTGCTAACGCGCGAGAAGACCGACGTGATCCCGAGCCAGCGTGTAGGGGGTTAACTGCGTTTGGGCCGTAGTAGAGGACCGGAGCCCGAGTCGTTGAGCTTGGATATGTATTTGCTGCGCAAGAGAGACGCCATTCGAGGGTCCATCCGTCGGTATAGCAAGTTGTCTTCTCCAGTTATGACCCGTACCCGAAGGCTTTAGCCGGGTCTCGTGTGGCATTTCAATGGGGAGGTATTGTTGTCTCTAGGCAGCCAGCGGCTCTGCTGGCAGGGTTCTCGTAAAGGCCCACATGAGCCAAAGTCCTGGCCCAATAGCGAGGCCGTGATCTCCGCTGCCAACTGATTTTAGCCAGGGGGCATTTGCCGTTCTTGGTACGCGATTACTACCGCGCCGCATGCCTGTCTCATGCCAGTGGCCGTTTGAGCGGCACAGTCGTGCGATAAAATGAGGTCGAAAAATCCTTCGCCCAACTTGAGCTCCTGGCTGCATCTCTCGCTTCTTCGCCAACTGCGGCAGTACCGTCACTCATTATCTTGTCTCTCGTTTTGGAAAGCTTTCCACCAACTGTTAAGGGCTGCTTTCACGACAGTCTTGCGGCGTTCCACTGTTCACTTACACCCGGAGCTCACTCGTTTGCTCCCGCCATGCCTAGTCAGTCGCAGCACGGCATGCCCAGTGTGACGGAAGGATACGTGCCGTATGAAAACCAAGGTGCCCGGCAGTCAAGTCTGTACAACAGGCCATGGCACATCGCCAAGGTTGCTATTCGTGGCTGCAACATCGCCTCTAGTGCCATAATCATTGGCATTACTGTCCACAGTTTGATATACCTGTATTGGAGCCCCTACTTGCTCTGGTTCAGCGCGATCCCGGTAAGTGACTTCAAACATCAATGATGGAGAGAACCCCCGTTTACTGACTTCCTTGGTGTAGGCTGCCTTTGCCGTCTGCTGGGACGTGTCCGAGCTAATCACCGTCTGCGCGAGAGGAGGCAGGATAGGAATTCACCCCGGTGCACACGTCGGCCTGCACTTGCTCTTCTGGCTTATTTTCGCGACGGCAATCGTCTGCGAATCACTTAATCTTTACTTTATTGGTTACTACGGTGATGGGTTCATTGCCACGCAGCAGCACGTGGCGTTGGCGTTCACCTGTCTGTTGTTGTAAGTGCACGCTGTCCGTCCTGGAGGCTCAAGGACGTGGTTTCTAACAGGTGCTGATAGGATCAACCACTTCACCCTCTTCGTCCGAGCCTGCATCGAAACTCACCAACGCAACACCCGGCCTCCCATCTACATGGTCCCCGTCAACATGCCGGCACCAATGCAGCCCGCCGGATCGTATGCGCCCTCCCCGTTCCCGCCGCAGCAGGAGAAGGGGCAGATGACTGGTGCGAATGCCCCGACAGATACGACGACACAGCCCGCGGCGGACGGGACGTACTACGGCCCCGGAAGCCGGGTTTGAGGAGGATGGCGGGCTGTGATCGGCGACTGAAGCGGACACTTTGGTTGGTAACGTATGATACCCAGTGGTCGGATCCCGAGTTTTGATTTGCGAGACTGGAGCGTGCTGCAAAGGGCTCCGTACCAAAGCATACTTAATTGTAATTGAACATAAAAAAACACCCCCAATCCTGTGTATGGTGCTCTTGTCTTTACCTTAATCTGGCTTGCTCCATAAGCCTTATGAGAATGTGCCGCATGGGTGCCGTCCCTGGCTTCCATGTTGCGTGATCTGTACTTTGCCCGAGTCTTCAAGGTCTTATGGAATCCTCCAGCACGGCCTGCAACTCCACGGTAGATATGACCCCAGCCTCGGCGAACCGGAGTTAGAAGAGGTATTAACTGCTCGGTTTTAGTAATAATAGCATGAGGCTATGCGATGACCTCCGCTACCTCCGCCAGCTTCCGCCATAACTCCATCGACGTTGCCAGTCGGCAATACTGGAACATGGGGATTGAAGCGCAAGAATGTAAGATGCGCAAAATCATTGCGATTGCGATTGCGAAGAAGCGATCCATCGTTTCGAAGAGGCTGGCGAGACTATCGAGCCGGCAATTTATGTGGCGGATTTCCGCAGTGGGCGGAGCATGATGCTTGGCTCTAAACACATCGCAACTCTAGCGGAGGTGTCAAGATGTGAGTTGCAGGGATGTCAAGTTTTGAATTTAGTCATTGTCGATCCCAGAAGAACCACATTTGGAGAGTTGGACCTAAGAGTTGAGGATAGCCATAAGATATGATATATAAGGCCCGGTCTGCCGCATCGTAAGGAGCAGGCAAGTGGAACATCATTGAGCACTGAACTCCTTTCTACATACTACACTTACTGTACCGACAACACAACAGCTCTGCATCAACAAAATGTCCTCCAACCAGGAACCCATTGGCCAATGGGTAGAGAAGTGGAATCAACTGGTCTTCTTCCAGCCAGACGACCAACTCTCTGCCAAGACCCTCCAGGAAACGCTTCATCCTGAAACGACCGTCAAGTGAGTACCAGGCATCTTAAAGCTCTTCTGCAAAACTACTGACTCTGAGGTACTGCAAGAATCAACCATGACGTCCACGACATCAAGGGATTGACAGGAGGCGTCCAGTGGGTCCGTACCGCGATGGAGACCACTCTGGAGAGCAACGAGGAGCTTGTGGCGTGGAACGCTCCGGACGGGCTGGGCGGCTCAGTCGCGCACCTTACCAAGTTCTCGTCGAAAGACAAGGCCTCGGGCAAGGTGACCAAGAAGACTAGCCTGGTTACTACGATTGTCAAGGCAGTTGACGGCAAGAGGTTGGTCTCGGAGCTGATTGAGGTTGAGGTTGAGACGTAGACGAGCTCTAGCAATTGCTACCGTGTCATTGCTATGGCAACACTATCAATATGGTATATCTTATTCCCACTGCACGTCAAAGTCCTTGAACTGAACCTCAAGATTGCCCTTTGCATCCTTCGCTGGCCGGGCGGCAAGAGCGCCGACTGTCAAGTTCCAGTCCTTGCCCGAGGCGTCGTCGTCTCCGTACACCCAGCAAATCTCACGCAGCGGCTCCTTGGTGCCGTCCTGCTTCACGTAGTACACCCAGAGCCCCAAGCCGAGTTGGTCTTGGGCCTTCTCGACGAGCACAGTGATGGTCTTGGTGTCTTCGAAGGCGGCGAGTGGGACGATGCTCCAGTCGGCCCAGTGGTGGCAGGATACGGTGCTGATCTGCGGGGTGCCGTTGTAGTACTCCAGGCCCGTCTTGATCCACCTCCGCTCGCGGCCGGAGAGGGAGTCGAATGTGAGGATAAGACCTCCTTGGTCGTATTGCTCGGTCCAGTCTGCAGAGAAGGTGATTTTGGCGGATTTGAATTGGCTCAATGACTTGGTCGGGACGGCCTTGGTGGGGGCTGTGATGGTTAGCATGGATATCTGAGGTATTCATTGGGGCAATGTTACCGTTGTAGACATTGTGGGAAGGGGGCTTCTTCCAGACGTCGGTGTCGGGAGGGGCAGAAAGGGTAAAGGACTCGAGAGACATGATGAGTGAGATGGCAGCGGCAAATAGAATGAGACAAGGATGATGTGATGCGTGAGAAGCTCAACTGTGCTCCACGATCGAGTCAGAAGTTCAAGGTGCGGGTGTCGAGGTTTATATAGGCTGAATCACGAACAGCTGCGTGGCTACTTCCTTGAACAACAATGTCGGTAGTGCGAGTGGTGTGAGCTGAGTTGACGCGGGTTGCCCCGCATTTGACGAACACCACGATGTATCAGTTACCAGACCAAACCAAGGAAGCATGCAGGGCCCCTTTGGCTGGGCACCTGAGGCGGTCCCCTGGGCCGAAAATCCGCACGTGCAAGGCGGCCAAAAGCAATGCGATTTGACGTTTGTACATGTGCTGTAGAATGTATTACGTCGACCTGCGCGATTGGGTTCGCGACGATGCCAGTAATACTTGGACCGGAGCTTGACAATTAAGAATATGGATATGGTAACGTGCCGGGCGCGGGGTAGAGATACGAAAAGACTACAAAGATACTCCTTATACATAGTTATGAAGCCTCTCAGTGGGATATCACTGTCATCTCCAAGTATCGCGTGACGATTACGGGGCAGAAAATTACTGATCGGAGCAACTTTCACCGAGCGAATGCTCGCCTAGGCCTCGACGCCGCGGGGGAGATGTCCGAGGTGACCCGGGCAGGTCTTCACGACGCGGGGCAGAGCAGCGGCGGTGCGGCCCAGAAGTGACTCGGCCCACAGGGAAGTGAGAGGATTGGATGGCTACGCCACGGTTGCCTTGGAGTCCCCGTCGGAACGCGGAGTCCTGAGTTGAATCTTAGTTGGCTTGCGCTGAGTGGTTCCCGATGCGGTAGTAGTCCCAACATCACGGCGAGAATTTCTCAAAGAGCGACTGCTTGTGAAGAATTAGTCAAAAAGCGTCAGAAACAACGAAACTGGCCATGCAAGGCCGCTCAAGTGCTCTGGACTGCTCCGAAAAACACACGTACAATTGCACGGCTTGTGAGTCGAGGGAGGCTCGAACCGTCGGCTTCAGTAGAAATGAGAGAAAAGTGGGCATTCCCTTTTCGGAGGTACATACTACGCAGTATCTACTAAGGTAGGTAGGTATGCATGCAAAGGGCCATCGGAGATTTGACTCAGCAGAATTTGGCCGCCTTGGTCCCCTTGGTCCCCCACCCAGGTCCGAACTCTGGCTTTGTCTGCGCGCGGCTGATTCACTCTCGCCCCTCGAAGCAAACGTGCACCTCCCCCCGCTCGACCATCTCGTCGCCGACCCCACTAGTTTTTCCATTCCTCGCTTCATTCCGTCCACCACCAGTATCCCTCTGCAGAGATACCACCAACAGCGTCCAGGGTTGTCTTCAATTCACTTACACTCCATTCGTCGACGTCCTCACCATTGCCCGCGTCACCGAACGCGCAAAATCCCACGCAACAAGCCGCGTTTTCCATACCCTTGGCCTCCGCCGTCCGGAGTGCAAGCAGACTGGCTGTGCCTACTTGCTTGGTGCCGGAGAAAGGGGACGGGTTTCGAGACCATCAACGCCTTCGCATTCTCTTTCCATCAACATCCCCCCCGCCTATTTTTTTTTTGCAAAGACCCTCCTCGCGTTTGGACAAACTCCTCAAGAAAAAATCTTAAAAAAATCTTGACACACGACTGCCATTCCTCCGAGGGGCTACGACACCGGCACGATGTCGTCCTTTCTCACACCCACGAAGAAGTCCCAGAAGCCGACGGTGGGAAAGTCGAAGCCGTTCCAACCCCCGAACCGTATTCGAGCCATTCGAGAACAAGCCGAACGCCAGCAGGCAAACGCAGCTGCCGCCGCCGCTAATGCTGTCGCCCAGGCACAACTGAACCGCTCCAGAGCCCCGACGGTCGCCGTGTCGAACCGCCCGCAATGCCCAAACAAAACCTGTGTCAAGCCCAACGTCGTCGACGGCGTTTGCCAGACCTGTGGTCGAGTTGCCGACGACAGCAACATCGTCGCCGAAGTACAGTTTGGTGAAACCTCTTCGGGTGCCGCCATGGTCCAGGGAAGCTACATTGCCGCCGACCAGGCCGGAGTGCGGACAATGGGCCCTGCGTTCCGCCGCGTTGGTGGCTCCGACGATCGAGAAAAGTCCATCCGCGAGGCTCGCTCCTTGATGCAGGGTTACGCCCAGCGACTGAACCTCAGCGACAACACTGTCAATACCGCCGTCCAGGTATTCAAACTTGCATCTCAGGCCAACTTTGTCCAAGGTCGCACGCTTGTGATGGTTGCCGCCGTCTGCCTTTACACTGCTTGCCGTACCGAGCGCCCTTGCAAGATCATGCTCATCGATCTTGCCGACCTCACGCAGATCAATGTCTTCAAGCTCGGCCGAGCCTTCAAAGCCCTGAACAGAGTTGTGTACATTTTTGGCAACGGAGAGGCCCCAGTGTTCCCTGAAGACATCCTGTTCAGGCTCGCCTCCAAGCTCGAGTTCAAGCACATGACCAACAGGGTCGCTGAAGATGCTGTCCGCCTCGTCCATCGCATGAAGCAGGACTGGATCGTCATGGGCCGTCGCCCTTCCGGTATTTGCGGTGCTTGTTTACTCATAGCCGCTAGAATGCACAATTTCCGGCGCACGACCAGAGAAGTCGTGTACGTCGTTAAAGTCACGACACATACTATACAAGAGCGTCTTCAGGAGTTCAATGTTACTGAGGCTAGTAAGATGACGGTGGAGGATTTTCTGTCACAGGATTTCAGCTCCAGTTCGCATGACCCACCTTCATTCTACAAAGGCACAGAGGCTTGGCAGAAGCAGCAGGAGGAGCTGGGTAAGAAGCGGAAGCGCAAGCTTACAGATGAGGGCGACAACACCAGAGCCACACCAGCACCTTCGCTCCCACCCCCCGATTTGTCTGCGGCTCCCGCCGTCGAGTACCGCCGAGACAAGGACGGCTTCATCATCCCTCCACTCCCCTCTCAGATCGCTCAGGACGAGCCGGCCCTCCGAGACACGAACAGCACCCAGCATCTTGAGGGCTTGGCGGAAGAGTTTGGCGATGCAGAGAAGCAGAGTGAAGAGTCGTCACAGCAAGATGGCAACAGCAAGAACGGACGCCAGCCGAAGCCTTCCCTGCCCATCGACAATGAGTGGGAGGAGGACGAGGCCCAGATGGAGGAACAGATCTCGGAGATCATGAACGACCCCGAAACGTACGAGCATGCCAAGGCTTTCAGTAATGCTGAGCAGCGTGCCCGCATCCACTCCATCTGGGCACTCCAGCAGCAGCCCAACAAGGCCGTATCGATGGCACCGGAAGTTGGCGAAGACGAGTTTGCCGATGACCCGGAGGTGTTGAACTGCATGTTGACCCCCGAGGAGATCAAAATCAAGGAACTGCTATGGGTCAACGAGAACAAGGACTGGTTGCGTCAGTCGCAGGAGCGCCTATTCAGAAAAAAGCTTGAAGAGAAGAAACCCAAAAAGGACCGCAAGCGGAAGAAGCGCCCACGTATCGGCGAGGGTCAGACGACTCCTGCTAGCACGCCCGGTGAGGCGGCAGTCAATGTCATGAAGGAGCGAGGCTTCTCGAAGCGCATCAACTACGATGCCATCCGGCAGATGTTTGACGTGCAAGACAAAGGAGACCCGGGATCCCGGCCGGAGAGTGAAGCCGCCAGCCGTCCGACCAGCAAGGCGCCTAGCGTGGTTGACGAGGCCATCCATGAAGAGGAAGAGATTGAACCTCTTGAGGGTGAAGAGTACGAGCATCAGGATGATGAGTTTGGCGGCGGAGACGACTACGACATGGGCGACGAGTCTCACATGTACGATGAGGACGATCAGGGGATGGAAGACGAGGACGACGATGACGACGACTTTGGACTGAATGATGACGACGAGTGAGCGCAGTCCGTTGATAAACGTCGTGTCATCTGCTGGCCCGGCAAACACCAAGGAGGGCGGCGTAGTTGTATTTAGATACCCCAAGGGCCCCCAAGTATGCCGGGGCTTCGCTTGGCTGTAGGCCAGCATGAATGCTTGTGTCAAATGGATAGAGCATCTTTAGACCAGCGAAACAACACTGCAGACTTTCTCTTTTGAATACTCGCTCCCGTAGCTGTATTTGAATGTGTTTTTGACAGGAACGTTCTTGTTGCGTTGTGTACGTCCTGATGTGCCAGTCTATTGTGCCCCCGTGCTCCAATCATTCAGAGAGTCAATCCTGAGCATCTGAGCAGGCGCTTACGGCACCAGTTACTTGTGCCCGTTGTCTTTCGAGAGGCAGGCAATAGGTGCGCGTCGAAACAGAAAGCCTCATGAGTCTGAAACGCTGCCGATATAACCTGCAGATCAGTAAGCTCAGAGAAGGTATGAGTTATTGGCTACGGTTTAGGTTGCCGGAAACATGGGAGCAGTCGTCTGGTGGCCTAGGGTGCTATTAGTGTTGAGTATGCCACTCTGTGTTACTGCATGGTGTGCACCCTAACAGCGAGAAGTGATAGTCGGATAGCCGTGATTTGTGAGTTGCCCCAGACTTACAAACCATGACTCGACTTCATCGAAGCGGAATCGAATCCGTATAGTGTAATTTCATCTCGGTTCAGTGCAAGGTTAGCTGGCCAGGACTGAGTTTCGGACCGGGTAGGCGGCGAGCCATCCCGGCTTTAGTCCGCATGTTCTCATAAACTATCTACCCCTACAAACGGCCTGGTCGGCTGTCTTTGTTCAACGTTTGACTTGTCTTTTGGGGCCAGATCTGGACATCACGTTGGCGGTATACAAACCCTACCGTCATCGTTGTTCCAGAGCTGACCTCAAAAGATGATCAAGCCAACTCCACAGCCCCGCAGGGTGACAAGAGAGAGGGATCATCTTGCTGGCTCTATCAGTTGTCTGGTCTGTCAATTTGATTGCATTGACTGCGCAGCTAGTCAGGCTATCATTGTGGTAGCCGGGGTTCCTCTGGGCGAAGTCTAAGGGAGTCCCGTAGACACCAATTTCCACGCCCTGTCACTTGTGACACTCTCCACAGTCCCTGCCCAAGAGCAACAAGCCTCACCAGATGAAGCAAACACCCAAGAGCATGGCTTTTGACTGAGTAATATACACGTGATTGCATTTGATGTCACCAGTCTTAAACATTCCATTCATTTACTGCGGTGATCATTCAGGTCTCTTCCATTGCGGCTTTTGTAGGCTACCGGTTAGTATCAGTTGCCCAAGCTTACTTAGTACGCGCCTGTATGATCTTCAGCTAAATACACGCTTGAACTACACAAAAATTGCATAGAAACCGATAGCCTTTAAGATACCGCATCTCTCCTGTGAGGTGCTTGTTTTACTTACCTACTTCTTTTCATATTTGTTCTACTTCTACCTTAGCCAGTCGCACACAGTAGGACATCTTTCACCATGCCATCAATTAGTTCCTGTACGCAAACGAAAACGCGCCTCTGTCAAAAAGTAACCAGTGGAGAGAGTTTCTGAGAGTCCGTGTCACTCCACTGTAAATGCAAACAAGTACTAGCACCCTTGGCCTCAGCGATATGCAGCCTCTCTACTGTTCCCAATCGTACTGGTTCAGTAGTCCTGCCAACCTTGTCAACAACTACGTGACGCAATGGCAAAAAATCGAAAAAGCTATCGACCGAACTGGGACTCGAACCCAGAACCTCTACCACCGGAAAGTAGCTCGCTACCATTGCGACATCCGGCCTTTGATGATTAAAGCTCGCGTTTGATTAGTATATAAACATAGAGCCCAACAGCGGGCTAGCTATGAATAGTTTACACCTCAGGTGTAGGACGTGTGGATAACAGCGTCCGACCAGACGGGCCGCATCCTAGTGTTGTGTTCTTTTTTACGAGCGGGCCTACCGCAAGCTACAGTCATAGTCCGTATGGTCCGCGAATGGCTCGACACCAGTCAGAATCAACATCACGCATCACGAACCAGGACAGACGCGACCCAGGCGGTACACAGGTCTTCCATGAAGATGAAGTTGACCATTGCTACGATCTTCAGCGCTTGGAAGGGACTACATGTAATCCGGACTGACACCGCTTTAAGCTGATCGCTCGTTCCGACTCATGCATTTGGATTGCCGCAGATATTGAGTGGAAATGCTCGAACCCAGCGGTGCTCAATAGTGTGGTTGGTGGGAACGAAACCTCTTCCTGAAGTTTTGACAGCACAGCACGCCAGATCGCCTAATTTGACATTGAAATCACCCTCACAAAACGTCGGGTCACAACGCTAGGGTCCGCGCTGGAAAGATACAAGCGCATCAATGATGAGCTTCTTACAGATGCTGCCTTCGCGCCCAAGACTTATACTGTGCGGCTGTTGCAGGGTGTCTTCCGCTCTGCATCCAGCCATTCCTCTGGCGACTCGCAGTCGTCACTTCCTTACAAGCTCAAGATTATTTTCGACAAGTCACCGTACCCACCAGAGAACGAGTGGAAGGACAAAAGTGGGGGACCAGAGGCGATCAAGTTCTGGGAGTGGACAGAGTTTTGTAGTGGGAAGTTGTCTGCTGAGGAGAATAGCGGGGTGTTCTCTGGTTGTGTCAGCAGTTGAGAATACCGAAAGATTCAGTCGATTGTGAATAGAGGCAGATCAATTCTAGCTAAGGGTTAGGCTTATTCCACAATGCCATTTTTCCAGCCGGGGTTCCATCCCCTGTGTGAATAAAGTCCTTACCCGGGACAGCGGGTATCTTCCTGAAGCCGATGTAGGAATGCATAGAAATCGAGAACGACTGTGATGCCTGTCGAGATCTCCTCCAGCTGCTCTCCTACTACGTCTGGTATCAAGGTTCATGGCAGAGATTTAGGTAGAAGTCACTCTTGTACCCTGGCGTCGCGTAGTCATTGACAAAAACACACTGAGGCGAATTAGACTTCTTGGCAACAGACGAGTCAGAGATCAGCATATCATTCTGATCTGTGAAGAGGTAGGCGACTACTTGAAAAGACCAATTGTACGCTCATTTATGTCAGGATCTCAATTGGCGTTCCCCGCTGCGCGCGACGGCCAGATGAAAGAGAGCAAACCAGTTGCTCATTACTCCCTTGATTTTCATGCCGACGATTCGACTTTCGCCGGAACGGCCAAAAAGAAGATGGAGCTGCCACCGGACCATCCCAAGCTCAAGCTCATCCGACACGATCATCCGACAAGGTGAAAGCTCGGAAGAACCATTGGCCCTTGTCCAAAAAGGCTAAAAAGCCGCCGGCACGCACCAACCATGATGTCCGGTGCACCTCTCAGCTCGCCTCGCCAGTTGTCCTCCGAGCGAAATGGAGGCTTTATGCCAACGCCAGCCTGTGGGTACGACCCAATGGTGGTTGCTTTCGCACCTCACTAACGTTGGGGTCGTCACATCGGCAGGCACTTTGCATGAGGGGTTGAGGGCTGATCAGCGGGTTGTTCAGGGGGACGACGACAGGAACCTGGGGTAAGACCCCTGCGCTCCTCGGCTCGAAGAGATCGGAGAACTCCCTGGGGGCATGTGTTCGCGATGCATTGTGTTTGTTTTCGTGGGAACTGAGCAGGAGTTTCGGCCGAGGACATGTGAAGCTTCGAGGTTTCCGGAATTGAGAGGGCGCGATCACACGTCGGATCCGCCTAGAGGTGGTAATTGAGTGTCCTCAGGCGATGTGTTTGCGGGGAAAGATGACATTGATGGAAGGTCGCCGAGCGTTATGGTGTTATTATAGGTGGAGAGCTTGTGGTGGTGATCAGGCTAGTATGGCGGTAGATGTGTTGATGGCAGGCGTGATGTTCTGGGATCGTGAGATTTAGAGTATAAAAGGCCATTGGGATCGCTGGCTGTGGTGAGAAGACCTGGAATTTTCAGCAGCTTGAGTTTCAGATCTTGCAGTAGTCGCTCATCAAACCAAGCGACATCTACTTCAGTTCACAAAGACCCCCGCCACCATGCTCCTGAAGTTCTCCCTCCTTGGCCTCTTCGCCACCTCTGTTCTCGCGGACGGCGCCGCCATCGTGGCCGCAATGGACGAAATCGCGGCACAGAACACGGAGCTGGGCGACACCATCGCCTCTTGGAATGGCGGGCTCTTTGGCACGCTGCCCATCATTGTCGACTCGACCAAGCTGCTCATAAAAATCAACAACGCCACTGGCGTCGCCGAGGATTCAGCCCAGCTCAACGCCCTCGAAGCCATCACCGTCGCGCAGTCGACGCAGACGCTTGCCGGCGGCGTCGAGACCACACTTGGCAATGTCGTCGACGCGAAGCTAAAGTTCGACAGGCTCTTGCTAAGCCCCATCATCTTGTTGAACCTCAAGCAGGAGAAGAGCGCGACGGACAAGTTCAGCGCGGCGGTTGTTGAGAAGGTCCCCGAGGCATTGAAGGGTGCAGCTGAGACTTTGGTTGGGAGGATTGATACGGCATTCAATAATGCTATTGCTACTTACAGCTGAGCGGTGTTTCATGAGTGTTCAGTTGAATGAGGAGTGCAAAGTCAGAAGCCTAGTATGATAAGACTGTGTGGTGTAAATGACGAGATGATAATCACTTCGGGTTTGTTAGTGGATGACGAATACCTTCTTGTGCATAATCAAGAGTCCCTAATGCAGAAGCAAAACATTGTCATCTGAGTCTCTGCCTGCTGAGGCGAATAACATTGCAACGAAAGTCGAGTTCAGCGATTGCTGACCGGCGTCATGGTCAGTCGGCAGCGGCACGACAAGCATGAATCAGCAGGGAAAACGTTATTGAATATCATGATTTTCAATGATACGAAACTAGGAAACAAGATCGTCAAACACCTCAAGCCATACTGGGACCAGAGGGGAATTCCTTCCACAACTTCCAAGATCCATCGGCCACATGGGGCTGACGCCGTTCGCCGGGCTATCTCCTGACACTGGCCTTGGCCAAGCATCCGTAGCTTTTGTACTTTTGTGCTTTTGTCTACCGTCATTCCCGTCGAGTTGACGGGCCATTGCAAGAATGTGTAACATAGAAAATCAAGGTCAGTCAGAACCAAGTGTATGAGGCCAGGGATGACAAGTGCCCTTTTGCTTCAGGGCCAGCATGCCACGCCATCCTCAACCGTTTTGTGTCGGGCATGTCGGGTAAGCCAGATGCTGCACCACCATGCTAGATGTGCAACAAGTTAACGTCCGAGATGCTGCGATGGCGCTTATGGCCAATGGGTATCTCGCTGGATGCTTTGCGTTTCTGCGACATGGACTCGAGGGGGCTCCGGGCGAGGTCACGCATCTGTTTTTTAGACCGCCGGAGGGGTGTCAGGGGAACCGCCGCCGTCTCGAAGCGGTCCGACTTGAGGCCGCGCAGAGCAGTGTAGTTGTAAGGACTGCTGAGGGCGAGGGAGTCCTGTGTGGCTTTGTCGCTTAGAATGAGTCGCTGGTTGATCTGGTCGCGACGGAAAGCCCCCACGTTGTTGGCGTTGATGTGCGAATGCAGGTCCACATCGCTCGAGGCGGTACGTGGCCGGGCAGGCGTAGAGCCCAGATGGTCGCCGTCCCACTGGTTTTCCTCGTCTTCATCGCCAGAGGAGTGGTTTTCGTCAAATTCAATAAAGTCGCTGATGTTAAGTGACTTCTCCACCTCATCGTCTTCTTCCTCTTCGTCAAAGCCGGCATCCGAGCTCTCGTCGGCAGTGTTGGGTTCCGAGGGGAAAGGGAAGAAGGCCTCGGCAGGCCCCATGGCTTGGGTATTGAGGTAGTCACCAAAGGTGTTGGACGAGAACATAGCGCTCATCATGATCTGGGCAGAGCTGCTGAGCATGGGGGAGTTCTGGTTCTCATCAATGGGAGCCAGGTACTGGAAATTGAACTGCTCAGGGGACAGATCAAGCTGGCGGCGACGGTGGGGAGTAAAGATCATCATCTTGCGGGATATGGGATTAACGACAGCAATGGGCTTTCGCTCAGAGTTGTCGAGGTTGAAGCGACCAACACGTGGCTGTCCGCGTTCGCCCTTGACCGGGAGGTCCGTGTCGGAGTCGTCCCACTGGTCAACGGGCGGCTCGGGACGCTTTATCTTGCGGCGGACGACAGGTTCCGGCTCATCTTCTTCAGTGGTATCACCATCAGCTAGTTGGGCAGTGTTAGCAATCACAGCTTCTTCAGTCCTAGTCACAGAGCGTAAACTCACTCTCATAGCCGTCTAGCTCTTGGGTTTCCTCAAAAGCTGCGACCGGAGTGGGTATCTCAGAGACTTCGCCAGCTGTCATAGGGGTCGCGATGGGCGTATCGTCGTCGCCGAGCTCCTGAATCACAGCCTCAACATCCGATTCGGCGTCAGGAGCGTATCCATAGGCTCCGTGGTAGTCGCCGTGGTAGTCCCAAAAAGAGTTTGAGTTTTCAGACTCGTCATTTTCATCATCATTTTCGATCTCGCGGCGGAAGGCCGGATCGAGGGAGCTCTGATCAACAAAGATGTCAGGGAAGAAGTCGGCGTGGTCATCCTCGGTGTCGGTGGATTCAGAATCACTTGAGGGAACATCAAAGCGAACGTGCCGTTCGACTGACCGGTGATGGTGGTCAGAAGCCGCACTCTCATCAATCTCGGACATGATGCCGTCCCAACTGGCGCTGTCCTCAACATCGGCAGCACCATCTTCGTCGTCGTCTTGCTCCTGATCGTCTTCGTCTTCGTCATCATCGTCCTCTTCTTCTTGAACGATGGGCGGCCGAGGGGGCTCGGGATGCTGGGGGGTAGCAGCACCTCGTGTAGGATATGTTCCTCCTCGGCCGCATCAACATCCTCCTCGTCATCGTCAGAAGAATCGCTAATATCTTCGACTGCGGAGTAGCCTCCATCATCGGACAAATCAAAAGACGAGGAAGATGTGATGGAGTCGCGACGCTTTGCCGCCTTGCGAGAAGCCACAGAGGACTTGTTGCGAACGTTGCGAGACATTGTAGTAATGATGCAGGGGGTGAAACCCAATGCGGTAGTGTTTGGTAGGGGGGGTTCCGTCTAGAGAAACGGCGTGGATGGTTGCCGTATGTGTGCCGAATGTGTTGTGGCAATGTCGTGTGTATACTTCTTGCTTGTTTGCGTCTGGTCGTATAGTATGCGCCCTATGTGTTCTCATGAAGGTGTTCGGGTCGAAGGGAGAGAGGTGGTTGGAGTGGGCGTAATAGGGAGCCGTGGAGGTCGGGAGAGGTGGATGTGAAGATATTTTCTTCGGGCGGATAGGCTTCTCGTAGCCCGGTGAATAGTGGGCTTGGTGGTCGATCCGGGTGAAATCAGATACAGGCTTCCGTCAATGGGCCAGAACCGTCCCGTTGGAGGGCTCCGGACAGTGAAAGCCTGGGTTGGACTTCGTCGAAAACAAGAAGGGATTGAATGTCTCGATGGGCTGCTGGACTGCAGAGGTGCCCAGCGCAGGCACCTCCGCAGTGGGCGTTTACAGCTCAGCGAAAGCGGCGGACATGATTCTCGACGAAGTGTGGTGTTGGGTTCTAGGGGTGTTCCTTTGAAAAGGTGTAGGGCGACTTCGTTGTCTCGTGGAATTGGATTTGGGTTGGTGTTGGTTGAGGTGGGAAAGAGAGGAAAAAGGGAATGGAAGGGACGAGGCACCGGGATTCCGAAAATAATATGGCTCCCCCAGGCGCCGCCCCGTTCTTGCGTCTTGGTGCTCCACACCCAATCGATTTTTTTTTTTTTTGTCCCCTTCCTGCTCGCCCAGACTTTTTTTTCTTCCTTCTCGAAGTCCCCCGTTTGGTGGGGTCTCGAGGTGTGGGAATCTGGCATTGTCTGGTTCGCTTAAAGTGGGTAGCGAGGATAATCTAACCGCATTCGGCGCGCCGTCACCGCCTTTTCGCGGTCTGTTCTCCCCCTGACGCCTGCAACAGATGCCCTGCAGACGCTGAAAACCCGCTGGAGATGCACCGTCATTAGTGGATCGGACTGCTAAACTGTGGAGGAAAGGGCCCTGTGTGGAAAAGCCTGGCACCTGCAAGTCAATTCCCCTCTCTTCCAGGTTCGAATCGGCCTCACCTTACCAAACCACATCTGCCCCTCCTTGCGTTTGTGTCACCTCACTTGGCCCGTCCGTCCAACGTCTGGTTTCTTGACCCAGCCCAGGCCAGCGAGAAATCACCCCTCCATCTGTCGTCACCCGTCAGGCTGGTCCAGATCGAGATGGGGATAGGCTGATCATGCCTCCATTATGGCAGGTTTAATATCTGGCTTTTTCCTCGTGACCCGCTGAGCGTTTCTTGGGCACTGCAGCCTCAAAGTAGTCTTAACGATCCAGAGCATCAACCGCTGGCCATAATAGAAAGGGGAGGTGGTCTTGTTCACCGTACCGTCCCGTCGACACATCATCATCCTTCCATGGACGGCGGCAACGGTGCCAGCTGCACCAGCCAGCGGGAGCAAGAGGCGCAGCGAGTGGGTGGCCGGTGCAGATTCAAATATATTGTGGATCCTCCAGCGTCGAGCTTCCCAGTCTCAATTGTGATATCTCCCACTCACATTGGACTGCACCGACAGTACCTCTCCACCAACGTCCACGTCTCCAGCTTGAGGCCCGGCCCACTGTTTGCCTTGCATACGTAGGATTAGAACATGCGGAATGGGTAGGCGGTCTCCTGATTCGCCTCGACTTCCACGTCCATTTGTTCGAGGGCAGAAGGACTCCAGGAGGCGAGGGGCAATCGAGGGGCCAACTCATCATTCTGCCTCCCTATGCAAACAACCGCTTGGGCACACCGTAGTTTCAGTCATCAAATCTGTCATCTAGATTGGGCACTCTGCTAAGCAGCCGAGTTACTGAAGTTAACTCTAGAAGCAATCATCCCTTAGGCTCACGAAACACACGTTCATCTAGTCACGTAGCTATTGGAATATTTGTCAGATACAGACATTAATAGCCAACAGGAAAAAAAAAAACCGAGAGAAAAAAAAGACAAGCTCCGACGGGCGGACCCATACTCGTGCGGATGCTCGGCGCTGGCCGTCTACTTCTGGAACCCAATCCAACTACATAGTACATTCCCATCCAAAGGGACCATGGCCTCATTCTAAATTTTTAGCCAGTCATGCAGGAGTCATTGGGATCAGCCTTGGGCGGCACTGGCCCCCGTTGTCTGGCCTCTTGTCATTCATGACTCACTGACCCAAAGTGAGGGGTTGTCAAGCCGGGTGATGCCTGCGCTAGGCCTCACCCATTTGACTTTGAGCCTTTGTAAAAACTTTGGCCGAGAGACAGGCTGAGGTACCGGTAGCATCGACATGGAACTCAGGGACAAAAAAGGGGAGAGGGCTAGAGCTGACGGAGTTGTCTGCCCTTGAGGCAAACACCACGGCAGAGGAGGTGTTTGGCCAAACGTACCTTATGCTTTGGGTGTTATCTCACCGTGACTCTACGCCGGCCATGGTGTGGCCTGACTCAAAGTCAAGATGAGAGAGGATGATGCTGCCATACTCAGGAACAAAGGCACTGCTTTGCCTGACCAGTCGGGTCGTATTGTAGTCTCACAGGCGTTGGCTTACCTTGGCTGCCTAGCTTCGAGAAGGATGCTTCGGGTTTGCCCGTGCCCACTGCTCGAGCGAAAAAAAGAAGAAAGGAAAAAAAAGGGGAGGTGAGGTTGGATCGGGAGTCTGCGGTTTGTTCCCCATCGGTCGGAGCTGGCGCCACACCATACTCGATCCCCGCCGGGCACAAGCCCCACTCAGGACTGTGTCTCAGTGGGGAGCACCGTGCAGAACGTGGCGGGGTGAAAAGGTTCCCGCCAGGAGGAGGCACGTCCCGCTGTCCTCCCCTTATCTAATCGATACCTTATCATCACAGCCAAGCCGTCGCTTATCTTATCGTTCGTTGCCTGGCCATCAAAGTAAACAAGGATTGTGTCTCTGGCCATTTCAACATTCGCGCCCCGGACCCAGCTCAGTCAACTTCGACCAAGGGCAGTATCACCAACACGACCGACGTGCCTCGCCCAACAGAAATCGTCGCTAACACCATCAATTCGTTATCTGCGACCCATCCTCACAGCTCTCTATGATGGATTCCTCATCACAAAAGTCCGCGAACCTCTTCCAGGTGTACCTGCGTTTGCGACCGCCCCCAGCTGGCGCAGCTTCTTCCGATCGGTTTTTGGACGTTGAGGAGTGTGATGGAGACTCACATCCCTCCCATATCACCCTCAACCCGCCAAACGATCGCAAACGCTCAACCGAGAAGTTCGCCTTCACCAGAGTCTTCGAGGAAGACGCTACTCAGCTTGACGTCTTTCAGTGCACAGGAGTCGCGTCGCTTGTCGAGGGCGTCTTGGCTCCCCATGGGGGTCACGGCACTGATGCCTTGATAGCTACTTTAGGTGTCACTGGTTCTGGAAAGGTAAATAGGTGTTCATGGCTCCCTTTTGTAGGTAGTATGACTGACTTCCTAACAGTCGCATACCATTCTCGGTTCACGCACAACACGAGGCATGACGCAACTCGCTCTTGACGTTGTCTTCCGATCCATTGGCTCCAACATGTATGATTCCCCGAGTCTTGAAGGCTCTCTTCAAGCCTCCGACGTTTCCGACGCCACCATTATCTCAGCACCATACTTTCTCGAGACTGTGTTTACCGACTTTGGTTCATCCCGTGGAGGAGGATCAAGAGCGGGAACGCCAATACTTGTAGGATACCCCCTTTTTTCTTTCGACCCCCATTTCCCACGTTCCAGACGCCGTGAGAGACAAAGGCAGTCACAGTTGGCGCTCACTCTGGGAGGTGTACGTTTGTTGCCATTAACTCCAGACTGCCCGCGGCGTGAGCAACGCGATGCCTCGACGCCAGTGCTAGGAGAGCCTCTTCGGCATCAAGATCATGCGCAAGGGCACTTCATAACTATGACCACTGCATCCAGAATTAAGAGCGTTGCTAAAACTCCAGCTAAGGGCGAACACTATCCTCCACCGACCCCTCGACGAAATCTCCAGCGACCTTCGGCTCTTCCTTCATCCCCCGATATCAGCGCTGTCAATGTGTCATCTGATCCCGAATCGGATTATGCCGTCGTACTGTCTATGTACGAGGTATATAATGACAAGATCTATGACCTTTTGACTCCACCTATCAAATCCAATGCTACGAAAGAGTATCGGCGACGGCCTCTGCTCTTCAAGCCGACGGAACATTCAGCTGATAGGAAGGTGGTTGCTGGTCTGAAGAAGATTGCGTGCACTAACATGAAGGAAGCTATCATGGTGTTAGAAGCTGGCTTACATGAACGCCAAGTGGCTGGGACTGGCAGCAACAGCGTGTCATCGCGCAGCCATGGTTTCTTTTGTGTCGAGGTAAAGAAACGAGCCAAGACCGGAAGAAATCGCGCCTGGGCGGGCAACACCTTGACTATCGTCGATCTCGCTGGCAGCGAGCGCGCTCGGGATGCAAAGACTCAGGGTGCAACTCTCGCTGAGGCTGGCAAGATCAATGAGAGTCTCATGTATCTGGGGCAATGCCTACAGGCGCAAAGTGGTATGGGCAGTAACAGCAAGGTACGTCGGATTGCAAGAGCTACACTGAATCACGGAAGTCTAACTGTCATCCTCTAGCCCACTGTGATGCCTTTCCGCCAGTGCAAGATGACCGAACTGCTCTTTTCCAATTCCTTTTCCGCGACATCCTCCACAGGTGTTGTGCCTCGCCGGAATGCTCAGCGAGGAGTCATGATCGTGACTGCTGACGCACACGGTGACGTCAATGCGACTTCGCAAATTCTGAGATACAGCGCCCTGGCGAGAGAAGTAACGATTCCTCGCATCCCCAGCATCACCTCGACCCTGCTGGCAGATACACCTTCAACTTCGCATCCGCCATCGGGGATGAGGTCTCCTGATCTTCCCCACCAGCGGCGAGGCTTTTTCGGCCATGGATCATCGGGACATCGCAATTTTTCGCCAGTCTCTGACAATGGAGACAGGGTTCTGATGGAGCATGCTGCGCTGGAGATTGCTCGGATGCAAGAAGAGATTACGAATCTGCACATCGAGCTTGATCACGAACGCGAAGCGAGGGTATCTGCCGAGGCACATCTTCTTAGCATGGAAGATAGACTGCTGGAGCTGGAGCAGACAGTGCGCGAGGATTGCATGGCCGAATTCGACGCTCGCTTCGAGATGGAGCTGGCCCGTTGGAAAGCGACACTGGCCGCCGAGCAGGAGAAGGGAGAAGAGCACTGGGATCGGAAGATGGAGCTCTTCGAGAAGGGCCTTGGTGTCACTTTGGCGGAAGATGACATTGCCGGCGAAGACAAGGAAAACTTGCTGGTCGAGGACCTCGAGGACGAGAACGAGAGACTTCGGCGCGAAAATGAGATTCTGAAACGTGAGCTAGCGGCAAGAAGCCCTTCCAAGCGTAAGCCTCTCCAGGAACGAGACGACTTTGGTGGCCGCAAAGCAGGTGCCGGCGTCAGCAATCTGGGTCGGAAGATGGAACAGCTGCGCGTCAGCAACGAGAGCACAACCAGCACCGGCAATTCGGGAAGCCCAAAGAAGATGCGGAAGTTCGCAACGAAGCGCTGGGAGACGGCTGCTGACGATGAGTTTTGATTAACTGGTTTACACAATACTCTTGTGGAGTTGTTCGCGCCGGTCGGTTGCGCTTGATTTCTCGGTATATACCCATGTTTGACCACGCATCAGTTCTTTGCAAGGGGGTTATGGCGTTCAGGATGAAACGGTTTAGTAGACAACGACTGGAAGACTAGATCACGTACGACACTAATCAAATGCGTTCTCAAATGTTTGGTGTCCGGTCTAAGCCAGACTCTTCTATTCTGGACCTTCATTGCGTCCTTGGCCCCGTCCTCGTCTATTGTTTGTTTTTCATGATTTCTCTTCGTCTTGGGCTTCGGATTGATAGATGCTCTGCCCTGGGCTCTGTTTTCGGTTCCCTCACAGCTGTCAACAGATTCAATTAAGCAGGGGATCCTGAGGCTGTACCAGCCGTTCACTTGACGCTGGCCCTTTAGGCACACCAAACGAAACCATGCTCCCACTCCCAAGTCTACAGCAAAGTCCCGATGACGTTCTAATTTTGAACTCGAGTAAACGAACATCATTAGTTGTACAACGACACAACAATGGCAACACGACCCCAGTTCCTCAAGATGCCAGTTAGCCCTCCTCGGCATCCATGTCGTCGTGGCGCCGCTTTCCACCACCGCCACCCGCACCGCCTCTCTTTCCCTTGAGCGTCGACCCCTTCTTGCCCTTCGCCTCCATGAGATTCTTCATCTCCATTCTGGCATGTCTCTGCGCTTCTTCAACCCGATTTTGGAACACCATGACCTCTTCCTTCTGCGTCGGGTACTCATCCAGCTTTTTGCCCAGAGCAGCCTCAATGCGCAACCATATCTCGAGGTCGTATTGTGTAACAAGACTGAGGGCGATACCGGATTTTCCAGCACGTGCCGTCCGGCCTATGCGATGCACATGCGTCTTTGAATCCTGTGAGCTCGTTAGATGTGGTCGTTCTTGTTCAAGGCCGAGCAAGTGTTTGATGGGGAGGGAGGAGCCAAGGCTGAGTTGTAGGAAGGCTAAGACATCCCATGGGGAGAAGGGCGATGGCGGATTGACAAGGGTAAAAAGCCAACATCCAGTTTTGCTGGAAGTGTGCCAAAGTGCCCTTCGGATTTCCCGCCGAGCGTGAGTTGGCATCGTACATGGAGTGGTTGGGTGACCCGGTCCCAACGCCATTGGCGATTTCCCACCAACGAAGATTCGAAAATCTGAATCGTCCAGTACTGATGTCACCTCGCCAAACGACAGGATATTGCACACAGCCACTGCGGTCTGCAAAGAGCCTGATGGGCCAGACATCTTCCCTTCCCTAATAAGACAGCACGTACCTGAGCCAAATCATGGTTGATTACGACATCTACGAGGGGATGTCGAGTCCTCGAGCAGCCACGTCAGTGGCTACTAGAATTGATCTCTCACCAGCGCGGAACTTGTTGAGGGCACCGAGACGGGCCGTCTGGTTCAGTTGGCCGTGGAGAGGAATGGCACCGAAACCCAGAGTTCGGAGCAAAATGGCCAGTCTTTGCGTTTCAGTGACTGTCCTTGTGAATACAACTAGTTTCTGACCAGTAAACTCATTGGCGAGATAGATAAGATAAGTATCTTTGTGCTGGTGGGGTATGAAGAGGTAGTACTGCAGGAGCGTCGAGACGGTCTGGTACTTGTTGGAGCTGATGCTGACGCGGACAGGATCGCGCAAACTGGCTCTTTGGAGGCTCTCGATCTTGGAGCTCATGGTCGCGGAGAAGAGGAATGTTCTGCGTTCACGAGGGATGAACTTGAGAATCTTGTCGATGCTGGGACCAAAGTCCATGTCCAGCAGCCGGTCAGCCTCGTCCATGACGAGGTATTTCAGAGACCGCAAGGAGAACCCTTTCGTTTTTTCGAGATGATCTACCAGTCTTCCAGGTGTTGCCACGATAACGTGTGGCTTTTTGCCTAGGGCGATGGCTTGAGCAACCTGTGAGTCATGTTCAGTATGTCTTGCCTATAATCAGACTTGACAAACAGGATGGAAACTGTCAAAAAGGAAAAGACCGCAGGTGATTGAGTCGTGCCGGGCTCAGCAGAATACTCAGCGCGAGCACCATCCCTGAGGAGTAAGTTTTCAACTTCCTTGTAAGAGGTAGCCTTATGCTCGCACACCTTGGCAGACACTTGTTGGCCAACAGGGTTGTGATGGTGGCGCTGGCAATAACCATCGAGAGTAGGAGAGGCCGCAAATCATACGTGGTGGCTTGTAGTAACGATAAAGCAGCGCAAGGTAGCAGATCAAAAACAAGAGAAACTTGGAAAAAGACGGAAGAGAAATGGGAAGGTTTACCCTAGGCAGTGTTAGAAAAAACATTTGAGAGGAGATTTGGGGGGTAGGTGAGGCTTACATATCCAGACCACCCACAATCACTGCTGTTCTGAGCGAGATCAAGCTGCCAAGGGCCTCAAATTGCTGACCGATCTGAGCCGCCAGTTCTCTCGTGGGTGCCAGTACCAATCCGAAAAATGCTTGGGGCTTTTCCAAGAGAGCCTGGATCACCGGCAGCGCGAACTAGACATCCCATACGTTAGCTTCTTTGCCAGAATGTACTGATGTCTCCATAGAGTCCCCCAAGCTTGAGTTAGCCGACACCCTTCGCCAAGGCGATGAAGGTGCAAAGAAAGTATCGTGGTGGGGCAAGGTAATGGGAACCTCGATCGATCGTTTCCTTCGCGAGACTCTCAGACTGGTCGAGAACACTTGGATAGACCCTCAAGCCTTGGAATGCAAAAGAGAGATGTAGTATGTACTAACCGCCGCCGTCTTTCCTGAACCAGTTTCGGCCAGGCCGATGATGTCGCGATTCGCCAGGGCATGTGGGATCGATTGAGCCTGAATGGGGGTGGGTTTCGTGTATCCGAGATTGGCGCATGCGTCGCAAAGCGAGTCAACGACTCCCTAAGGTGAGGTTAGACAGATTCACCAAGGACGGAAGACAAGGTTGTAAGAGTGACCTACGAGATCCTTGAAGCTCTTTGTGACCTCCTCCGAGGCGTTGGCAGTAATACCGCCCTCAACGTCGGGCTCGGAAGCAGCTGATGAAGCTGGAGACGACTCCCTCTCGGTAACGCGAGACTCCTTGACAGCGGAGTTCTTGTGCGACACCTTTTGTCGCTTTGAAGAAGGCATTTTCGTCAAGAGATGCTTGTGTTGCGGTTCGGCGCAAAAAAAAGTGAAGCTGAGAACTGCCAGTGCAAAAAGTTAGCAGGTGGGCGCGATGACATCCCGCGCCTGGGGGAAAGTTTTTAGTGGAGAATTGCTCTTATCAGCACGTGCCTGCTGTTTTTGGGTCTTATCGCCGCCGCCCCGCCAAAAAATTTCCTGCACAGAGAGACAGTCTCGTCTCGCCCAGGCCCAGATCTTCCCAGCTGCGGATTCTGGAACCTCGACAACCTATTCGACGTCAAGATTTTCCACCCAACTCAATCGACCCCGAAACCCGCCCAAAATGGCGCGTAAAAGAGTCAAGAAGAGGACGCATGTCGGCGCCAACAATCCGGCTACCGTTGCCGAAAACCATGGCTCCAAGGACCCCAAGAGTATGGTCATCCGCATTGGCGCTGGTGAGGTCGGCTCCAGCGTCAGTCAACTCGCCGCCGATTTCCGAAAGGTCATGGAACCAGGAACTGCGGCACGCTTGAAGGAGCGCAGAGCAAACCGATTGAAGGACTACGTCGTCATGACCGGACCCCTTGGCGTTACCCACCTTATGCTCTTCTCCCGCTCCGAAAGTGGCAACACCAACCTGCGCGTTGCCCTCACGCCTCGTGGTCCGACATTGAACTTCCGAGTTGAGAAGTACTCCCTCTGCAAGGATGTTCAGAAGGCCCAGAGACGCCCGAAGGGCAGCGGCAAGGAGCAGCTTGCGCCTCCTCTGGTACGAGCCCCCAGTCTGTGGTTATGTCGAGCATTTACTAACTTGCTGTAGCTGGTTATGAACAACTTCCACACGCCTGATGCCAACGCCACTTCTAAGGTGCCCAAGCATCTGGAATCTCTAGTGACCTCGGTGTGGTCCAGCGTCTTTCCTCCTTTGAACCCGAATGCGACCCCCCTCAGCAAGATCAAGCGAACGTTACTGCTCAACCGCGAGAAGGACCCGGAAAACGAAGGATCTTTCATCATCAACCTCAGACACTACGCCATCACCACACGCTCTACAGGCATTTCGAGACCGTTACGGAGACTTGAAAAGGCTGAGAAGCTGTTGGCCTCCAAGACAAACGGAAAGGGCGGCGTACCGAACCTGGGAAAGCTCGAGGACATTGCCGATTTCCTTCAAGGAGGGGAGAACGGTGATGGATATCTTACGGACGCTACGAGCGGCAGTGAGATCGATAGCGATGCTGAGGTTGAGGTCAAGGAGCAGAAGGCTCAGAAGATTAAGAAGAGCGCTGCACCCGTCGACGACGAAGCCGCAGAGGAAGACGACGCTGTCGAGAAGCGTGCCGTCAAGCTGGTCGAATTGGGACCGCGCATGCGTTTGCGTTTGACCAAGGTCGAAGAAGGCTTGTGCTCTGGCAAGGTCATGTGGCACGAGTATGTCCACAAAACCAAGGAGGAAGTCAAGGAATTGGAAAAGCGCTGGGAGAAGAGGCAGCAAGAGAAGGAGGCCCGCAAGAAACAACAGAGGGAGAACGTTGAGAAGAAGCGGAAAGCCAAAGCCGAGAAGGGCGATGCTGCGGACGACGACAGTGATGTTGACATGGACTATGACGAGTTTGACAGCGAGGGCCTGGAGGGTGATGCTGAATACAAGGTCAATGAGGGTATGGAGGACACTGGGGAATGGGAGGATGAGGAAGACGAGATTGCCAACGGCTGAAGGAGCCGGTGAAGATAGCCTGCGGGCACCTTTCGTAGATAATACCCCAGAAATGGCATATTCTCAATTGTCACTTGAGCCAACTGGCAGCGTTAAATCCGATCATTAATAAGGCCTTGCCATTTCTACATAGCCCATGAATCGATTTCGTAGAATTCCGGACGCCACACCCGTTGAACATGGATTGCAACACCGAGTTGTTCGGTGACGATCCAAGCCGGTATGAAAGTTCTAGGATACCATCTTGAGGCCTCTCAGCATACGTGAGTTCCCGTAGAGGTGTCTAGCATACCTCCCGCACCAAGTGTGGCCATGCGTTTCCGTTTTTCTTTGTTCTCGAAACACTTGATCAACCCCGTGTTCCAGAAACAAGAAACACCAAAAGAAGATATTGATTGTGTTGAGGTCGTTGTCAAGCATCAGGCGAACATTACGGTCGACGCGAAACTTTGGTCCTCGAGATAGTGGGTAGCAGCACAGCTGCTAACCCTTCTGCCAAAACAGTAACAGCAGTGCCATCGTAGTGGACGAAAAGACAGACAGGCTGCCTGATTGAGGTTTGCTAATTCCGATGGCAGCGTACTTCGCTGTGTTGGCTATGAGACTCATCCTCTTGAATTACCTCCGACAGATCAAACAACATCAGGATATGATACTTCTGCCTGTGTGCTTCAATATGACTGACACAATTGAAGACACTGTCGACTGGTTGATCAAAGAGGAAGTGATTAGGGTTACAGCAGGCACAGCCGATAAGTCGGTACCAAAGTCGAGTATTGAGATGTGGTTTTTGTATGCAGTTGAAGTATTGAGTGAAGGACTTAATGAAAAGGGACATTCAGGCACCATGAAGTCACCTTTCGTGGACTTGCTAGATTTTTATATGCAGCATTGAACCAACATGAATAATTTTAGACTGCAATGATTCACTCATGCATCAATGTCTGTCGAGCTGTATATATGTAAGCTGCGGTCACAAATTTGGTCCGTATAAGTGAGGAAGGGGTGGTGGTGGAAGCCTCTCTCTTGTCTCATCTGGTGATCCAAGTTAGGTATCTCAATTTAGGTATATCGATTGAGGCAATGTCGTCGGTTATGCTTGGTCCTGTCCCCATCCTGCATGCATAGTCCCACAATGGGGCAAGCAAGTGCTGAGCCAGATGCGTTGTTGCTCCGCTTTCGGAAGTAGTCTCAACTATGACCCCCCTAGTGCGCAACCTTCAGTACCACTAATCATGAAATAATTGGCGTGTGACGTCCGACAGTGCAGAACGAGTGAAGCCCTAAGAATGCTCTTCTGTCGCCTGAAACCTATTCCCTATGCGCATCGATGGATAAGAGCTTGAAACCAACAGAACCACCTTTGTTTAATCCTAGTTGCTTAGCCTGCATCACTGCGAAGAGCCCATTGATCAAGTCTTAGAGCCCCATATTGACGTTCTTTCGAATCCAATACTGTGTGCTCTGCGCCTTCAACTTGAGTTACCCTTCAGCGCCAACTCGTCCATCGATATGTCTGATGTTTCAACCAAGTACGGACCCGAGGTCCAAAAAGTCACCGCAGACACACCCATACAGGATATCGTCTACCTCCTCAAGCGCGACGGTGGTGTTTTTGTCAGGAACCTCATCTCTGTCGCAGACGTTGAGAAGGCCTACGAGGAGTGCCGAGAACGCCTGGAGAATGATGTTGAATGGAACGGCTCTTTTTTCCCCAGTAGGTTCCGAGACAACCCACAGACGAATGGTCAAGAGCCGGAAGCACAAACTTCACATGGACCCTGCTGCTGATGTTGCACCTGCTCTCAGAGCAGACACAGCGGGCATCAGCCCTACTGGCTATCAGCCCTACCTATGCCAAGACACAAGTAATGAATCCCGTCTACCAGCAGGTGTGCGACCACTTCCTAACCACCCGAAGTTGGTTCTGGTGGGGGAACGAAAAGAAGGAGTCGGTGTCCAAGCCTTATGTTCACTCATGCACAGCCATGAGAATCGGGCCCGGTGGTGAAGCTCAGCCTCTGCACCGGGACGATTACATCAGCCACAACTACCACCAGGAAGTAGACAGCTGGGATGACGAGCGGGACAGGAATCGAGAGACAGCCATAGGCTTGTTCGTGGCGGGGAGCAAAGTCACCAAGGAGAATGGAGGCACTCAGTTCATCCCTCGAAGTCATCTTTGGTAAGTGAAAACGATGGAAGGCCACAATTGGAGTGCAGCAGGGCTCTCCTGGATTGTGGTCTGCTCTGAAGTTTTGGCATTGATATGCGGACTGCTAATTACGGTTTTTTCTGTTGGCAGGGGTACCGACCGGAACGTGCCGCCTCGGGTCGAAGACTGCATCTACGCTGAGATGGAAAAAGGCGATGCCTTCATTATGCTAGCCTCTGCTTACCATGCTGGAGGCCACAACACAACAAAGGACGAGAAGCGGTTGATGTTTGCTACTTTTTCAACCCGGGGGTTCTTGCGACAGGAAGAAAATCAGTTCCTGTCGGTTCCTCAAAGTATTGCTTCGCAATATGATCGACCGCTTCAGGACTTCATGGGATATGCTATAAGCGAACCGGCATGTGGATATGTCGAACAGTTAGATCCAATTTTCATACTGAGGCCTGAATTGAAGGGCGATGGGCATCCGACGGACTTTTGAGGAAGAAACACGATTTGATCCCATAGCTAAGTCCCCGGCGGAAGGCATCGTGGTGTAAAATTTAGGAAGGTCTAATTCCGTGTCAATTCTTTCAATTTACAAGCCCAATTTTTAAACTAAGATAAATAAATCATCTCTCTTCAATTATGTGACTTTCCATGCCCATTGTCCATTTGCGAATCAAGTGATGCATCTGCGATGATCTGAGTGGTTGAGGAGATACATAGAGAAGTATGTTGTATCTTTCTTTGGTAACACCTAGCGAATAGATCATTGTATTTGAGCCTGTCCAGGAGTTCTTGGGAAATGCAGTAAGCATGCTGTACTAAACACATCTCGAAAGCGGGGTGTACAGCGGCGTGAGACACGCCATCAGGATCCGGCTTGCAGCCACGCGGAATTCAAATTCCTTTAGTCATGGCCCCACTAGTGTGTGCCGACCCAAGTGTCTTTATCATCACCAGGGCACTGATACTTCAACTTCCACCTGACCGGCCCTTGTCAACTGAATGCTTGCGAAGTTGATGATAGCCTTGTTTGCAAGAGTTGCACAGAAATCTAATAATATCCTTGAAAATGGGTATGCCAAGGGGCTCCAGAGCTGTAAGAAAAGGTTGGTCGGACTTGCTTTCCCTTCCTTTGTTTTTTCCCTTAGTCGTGCCGAAGCTGTCCAAGGCAGCGCACAGTCAGCGGCTGGTTCTTGGACCCAGACAGGAAGAACCCAACCCTTCAGGCTCGACATCTGCATTCCTCGTTGCGAGTGGTGTATTTCCTGTTTGTACCTCGACTCAGCTCTAACTCTCCCCACCATCATTCACAGACCCAGCTTGTGGAACTTGCCGAAAGAAGTGCCGCAAGTGTGACCGTACTCGTCCCATCTGTAACCGGTGCAGGTTGAAGGGCCTTCATTGTGAGGGCTATCCTCCACGTTTTCAATTTTGCGACTCATTATCTACATCAACGTCGGACGCAGCCATTGGAGAAGGAGCTCCGGAGCCTGACCAGCCCTTACCACCACACGAGCCTATCCAAGTTCCAACTCAGAGTTCCCCAGCTTCGGCCGAAGACTTGGTATCTTCTGATCGTCGAAGCCATGAGAGCTTTCCGCCGCACACTACGTCGCTTGGCGCTTCATCGACATCCCCTCAAGATCGCTCGCTCAGTGCTCCATCACCAGTAACAATCATCGGCCACCCTGCCGCTGAAGTACTTGCAAACAACAGTCAGCAGTTGCTCGCCTACTGTAGGTCCATTGCCAGATACTTTCCATGTTCCAGCCAATGAGCATTGGCCCTGACCTTCGAAATGCAGTCGACTTGAATTTGAGCCCTCATTTAGCTATCGCCGTCGATGGGATGGACAACCCCTTTCGAAAACACGTGTTACCTCTCGCCTATCAACATATTGGTGTACTACACGCCGTACTTGGACTTACCGCTTGCCATCTACACATGGCACCATCGGGTGCCGCTCATGTCGACATGGCGACCGCCCTACAACATCGGGTCGCTGCTCTAAAAGTCCTTGGCTCACTCCTTATCAAAGAAGAGGTTCAAGGACTGACTGCCACCGAAGACGAGGTGGTGCTTGCTATAGTTTTGTTGCTAGTCCTCCATGACGTAAGTTAAACCTATCCAAGTCTCTTAGCCTGTTCGGGTCCATATATCGATGATTACGCGTTCGATGTCCACGCGTTAAGCCGGTTCTAGATATGCGAATTTGGGATATCATCTCATGCCGTTCATCTTACTGGAGTATCATTTCTCTGTGGAAGGGTTGCGTCGTCTTCTTTAGTGTCAAAGCGATCTGCGGCGACCATGTTCTTTTTGTCGGCACTCTCTTGGTATGATTAGAAATGACTTTGTGGCTTCGAGACTACTAATCCCCCGACTTCTAGGTTGGATGTGCTAAGGGGCTTCAGCGGCGCAGAAAAACTCACCTACTCGGAAGACGTTCGAAAATGCGTTGCGAAAACCACCAACACACAAGCTGGATTGCATACTCTAGTTGGCTGTCCGCCAGAAATATTCTACCGCATTGGAATTGTCATTGCGGCAGCAAAGTGCCAATTAGAGGGACGTTTGTCTGTTGCCGAATTCCACATCGCGTTAGGAGACGCCCAAACATTCCTCCGTGGAATGGATTTGGAACAGATAGAGTACCCAACTGCGCACCCCGAATGGAAGCAGCTTGCGGAGGCATATCGGCATGCCTGTCTTCTTAGGATGATGCGTTGGCCAGACACATTTTCAATACCTTGCGAAGACGAGAGAATCAGAACCTCTGTTCTAGCCATATTGGAATGTTGTGCTAATGTGCCAATGGGCTCTCCTTTCTATAAGCGGTTACTATTCCCAGTATTTCTTGCTGCAACCGACACGTCCATTCGCCATGAAATACATTATGCCAACCTATGCATCGGCGAGATAAGGCGGTCAACCGGGTTCAAGCATGCTGCTATGATGGAGGTTCTCGAAGGGGTATGGGAAGAGAGAAAACGAAAGACCCGAGGGTGGATAAACGTTCCTTGGATGGAATTTGTGAGCCAGATACCTTGATAAAACAGCGGTTGCTGACGACACTAACTTCTCGACAGACCTGTTCTGAAAGTATGAGGCAGCAACACGCTTATCTGTTCTTTTGATTTAAATGTCCTTTGTCGTCGTGTATTAGCGGTTACTGAAGAGATGGAACTGCGGATACGCCAAGGGCCTCTTCAGTAACAGTGACCGGCTAGCAAAGAGCATAGAATCTAAGCAAACGTCCAGAATTCCCCCTGCTACCTTTTATTAACATCAAATATAATTAAATGAAACCATAAATCATGAAAAGATAAGAGTGTGACACGGGGTATAGCCGCGAACAGGCATGGAGGTTTCCAAAGCAGATACAAGACTTTTTATTCAGTGATACCCAAGTTCTCATCAACTCGATTAGTAAAATTAACGATCACTAAACAAGAGAATCATGGTAAGGCCTAGTAAGACTGCTTGGCCTAAAGCACTTAGCAGTACAGAGCGGACTGGTCATCCTGCAAGCTCCTGTGTACCAACGAGTGTACAGCTAGCAGACGGTCAGCCAAAATCACACCCAAGCCTTGTTGAATTTACGCTGATCGTGCCACCATCACCCAAGACCAGAAAGCATTGTTCCTGCCCATGCAGAAACGATCGTAGCTATCAAAATGAAAAGAAATCTAGAAAACTCGGCGCTGTGATGCAGTTGGTTACAAGAACAATAAGCTACTCATGTAGTCTTGGCTGGCCAAATGGAAAGTTCTTCACTTGTTAGACCATATATGCCATTGGAATCCTTTAAATGTAACAGCGAAGCAAACAAAAGAGACGATAATGGTCAGCTGTAAAAGCATGTTGATAACATTCAGATAGGGGAAGACAATTAATTCCGTTAAAGAGTGGCTTCTGGTGTCAGCGAACGGATTAGCGAATGCGATTCGGGTTGCTTTTGGTTCCCTCATAAAATAGGGAAACACTGGTGTCTTTCTAAACACCGGTTCCCTCGGATGTGGATCGGCAACTAAGAGATTGAATGAACCCACGAAATGTAGGCATGAATAGACAATACCAGGTTTTGATCACCAGACGACCTTTAGGTTGCCTACTTCTGACTGAATTGTAATGTTCAGATATCTAAAAATCTTGCTCCAAGCGTTGTCAGAGCCAGCTGTTCGGTCTCCTCGGCACAAAAGCTGAACTTTCCTTGCCAAGGGCTGGCTTTCTTAGTCTTGCTTTTGCCTGCGCACACAGTACTATAGGGCTCTCAAACTTGTTAGGTGGAGAAAAAGTACATAGCTGCTCGCTTGTGTGTAAATTGCTCTCGAGTCAATATCGTTAGTAGACACAAGAAACCATAAGACAAGGCTCTAAGACATATCCACAATGTGTATGCGCGCAACTGAAGTCCGTGACCGAGATAACCAGGAGACAAGGAGAAAGGGGCTTCGCACTGCAGTAAAAGGGGCCCTAAACTGAGAGTTTTGGGAGCATAGTCCGATCCCCGCGTCAGGGATATCGTCAATAAGAAGATTTCTACAACTATCAAGAGCAAGTCTATACAGAAATAGGCTAGTGTATATGCCCCAGCTACCACTTCCTTCTTTCCATAAAAGACATATACATATATGTCCAAAGGAATTTCTCACTCTACTCATTAAATAAGTCCAAATCATCCCCCCATAAAGGTCATCATGAAGATTACCAAACTGATTGGCCTTCTTTACTTGTAAGCTACCATGTTGATGTGGAAGTGTTAAAAGTGGCCCAGTGAACGAAGCTAACATGATGATTTCAGTGCTGGTGGCGTCGTTGCTGATCTATACTGCTTTTGTGCCTGTGGAAAACGACATGGAATGAATCTAGTATAGGATGCCTTCGTAAGTAGAATGGACATTTCGGTTTGAGCTGAGGCAAATTATGGGAGCAGTGGGAGTTTAATACAACCATCACGGCGTACGCCTGTGACAGATACTCCAAACGCGCAACACTGGTCTGAAGAAATGGGACTCGTGCCCACACTGTGAGAGGTTCTATGACTCATTCCGGGAAATCACTAACAAATGACCAGGCAAAATGGATGAGCACACTGTGGATAGCGATTATAGAACACCCTCATGCTTTTCCTTCAGATAGCACCTGAGTGGTGATGAATTCGATTACTACTGCGGTCTTGAGGGACTGCAGGGCTACTGCTCAAACAAGTGATAGGCTGTACTTATGTGTCATTGATAGTGTTGAAGTTAAAATATTACCAAGCTATCTGGACTCTCGTATATTCAGGGTGTAAGCATCTAGATCCTGGACTTTAACCAAATTTCCCTGGTTATTGCTTGTTGTTATGTTGCGACCCACTGCGCTGTCTCCGAACAAGACCCCGCTCCTAGCCATACGAGGTGCTCGCAATTGACCATTGAGGAGTTTAGAGCGTTGCAGACGCTGGTTCTTACCCCCAGCCCCCCCCCAAAGCGGCTCGTGCTGGATTGCCGATTCGCGAGTGCAACACTGCGCTCACCCATGCCCAAGTGCCCCAAGTCAAATTTCACCTCGACAGCATCGTTAATGACCCATGGCCTCTCAAAGCGAACCGTAATATTTTCCTAAGGACTCTCCGGTACTAACTGTCATGATCGAGTCGGCAGCCGGCAAATATCGAATAGGCGCATCTCAAAACCCATCTCTCGACCACATTGATCACGGAGCGCCTGCAGGCTCGACCTTGAAAGCCTCGGCCGCCTCACGTAGCGGCGCCATCGGATCTGCCGGAGAAACCACAGGGATCTAACCAACAACTGCGGCGAATACGACACCGACAACATCACCCAAATTGTTGTCCGTGATTGTACGCAGTAGGCCTGGATTGATGGAGCCCCCACCGATTCTCGAACGCGCCCTAGGATTTCCCAACAAGTGCGGTCGACATAATAATAATCAAGTGTAAATTCCGAAACCTCGTTATCAATCGCAGAACATACTTGACGAACGAGTGCCGCTGGGCTTAAGGTACGATGATTCTGGAAAGAAGCAGTTAGTGTCCAGGCACTAGAAAAAATCGCAAGAACGCTTGGGATTAGCATTGGTCTACATTACCTTTACCTCTTCATTCTGACCCTTCGAGCTGTTGTCGACCACGCTTGATAATACAGCATTGCTAGAGGGTTCTACTTTTCTCATACATCCGCTTTTTTCGAGAATTAAATTAATAACCTCGGCGTTCAGCCCTCTTGAATCCGAATCAACTGCGATTCTGGGAGCAAAAGACATCGAGCAGATGCCCTTGAACTTCATGTAGCGGATACCGGCCTTTGACGTCGTCACACGTTTGCTGTTGTTTCGTTTTTGTACCCACTGCGCCGCTGACACTCCTTTGGACAAACCAAAGTTCTTGAAGTAAGCGTCCGGGGACTTGGGGGGATCTCCAACGAAGAAAGTTGAGTTGCCCTGGGACTCAAGCATCAGGTCAAGAACACTCCAGTTGTATCTACTGGCGAGGAGACCCTCCTGTTGCACAGCTTGGTAGAGCTGGATGCCGTGCATGATGTTGCCTGGCTTCGCGGCGTACTCAATGCCGGCACGGTGAAACAGTACCCGAACGTAGTGCAGATGCAGGCCAAAGTACATTGGATGATGCTCCAAGAAGTTGGATCGCCTATCCTGAAGCCCCGAGGCAATGCGTATCGCATTGAAGGAATCTTTACCGGGATCCCACATCGTGGCCAACTTGTGGCAATCCTGCATATTTTCCTTGACGGTAGCTTCTCGATTGCCGAGGTGACGCAAAGCCTTGCTGACACTGTCCGCGATAGATCCTATGAATCTTTGGAAGTCTTTCTCACTATTCCGCACAAAGGGACCGAGAAATTTGAGGACGTCAAGGTACACCTGCGCCGCGAAGCAAAGCCATACTGGGATCTTGCGGGTTTCCAGCATCGTCTTTAGCCCTTTGGTGAATTCGTCGTGAACTGGAACTGCCCTCAGTAATTGAAAGAGCAAAGCTTGGTCTACAAAGACTTCGAGAAGCGCTGCTTTATCCTCTTGCCATCGCTCACGGTTGTTTCTGGCTCGAATCGCATCATCGTACCAGCCGAACTTCCCATTATAGGTAGGGAGATCGGTAACCTTACTATTGAAAGAGTTGAGAAGGCTGAAAGTATTAAAACAAAGCTCGGAGCCGTCTTGGTAACACTTGTAATTGAAGTCGTCGCCAAAATTCTCTTTTTCAAGAGGATCTAATCCTCGTGCTGCACAGGCGGCTTCATAAAACATGTGAATAGCACCCATGGCACCTTCAAGTTTTTCCATGGCAGGTGCTATGCCCTGTTCCATGTTGCGTGCGAGTTGGAGAGCAGTGTTGGTAGCCACCGAGACAGCAGCTAGGTCTACGCTGCCCTTTTTGTACTCGCTCCACAACTCAAGTATTTCATCCTGAAGTTGAGCAAGATCTTTGAGGAACGCGGTGTAGATGAAAAGAGCTTCAGTCACGGAGTCATCCTCCTCAGCAACGTACTCTGCAAGGGCTTGCGCAGGGCGGTCGATATCGGGGGCTGCCAGAAAACTCTGAGACGGTTCGTAGAAGTTCAACGCGTCAAACATGTTCTTCGGTCCGTTGCCGTTTTTGGAGTCGGTTGTACCACTGTGGCTGATCCTGCTTGCGGCGTCTTTCAGGCCAGATACATCGAACTTATCAACGTGTGGCTTGAAAGCCTCACGAACCCGTTCCAGAACAGTGACAAAGAAGACATGTTTCTTATCACTGTGGAACTCTTGGAACCTCCGGATTCCTCCTAGTAAGCTGGAGAAGCGCCTACGAGTTTCAATGACCCAATTCAGGGCTGAAGCAAAGTATTCAGGGACGTTGAAAGGATCTGAGAGCTTTTCAGAGATGAAATGAGCCAGCGGTACAAACTCCCTTATGGCGATAACACGGTTGGGCCTGACTTCCGGGAGAAGCACAGAATTCTCGAGAACTTGATGTTTCTTGGTCTCCTTTCGTGCTTTGCCTTTCAATCTTTGAGAGCTGGGTTTTGATGGTGTCGCTGTGACAGGCTGGTTCAGGGGTTTGGTATAGCCGAAGCTTACGGCGGTGGTGGCCAACCAGGACGCGACGACATCGGTGTCATGCTTTTAGTTCTGGTAGGTTGACGTAATTTCAGAAGGTACTATCTTGAACGGTTGGAGCTGGCTTGAAGGTTCGTATTTCCTTTTGCCGTACAGATAGCTTTTAGTATTGTCAGAGATGGCGTTGAAGGGGTTGAAATAAAAGAAAATCAGCGGAGAAGTCCGAGTAATGGGACAGGGGTGGTCCAAAACTCAACTCTATGGGTACAAAACTCAAGACTGACTTGCAGCGATATATCAATTGACCTATTAAATCCTTTCAAATGAAACTTGGGTTACGATTGATAACGAACATTAATAGGGCATGAAGAGAAACCAAGTTCGCAAGGATCCGGTATGAACCCGTCTATTCTTAGTCTTGCTTAGAATAGTTCTGTCTATGCCACCAATCAGGACTGGAAACGAGCGGAAGTCCACTTTCCATGAAATGAGCCAAGGAACCCAGAGAATTCTATGTCGTTCCTAGTATGGCACACATCGACCTCTACGGACATACCGCGCAAGATACCCGAAAGCTAGTGGGGTTTCTTGGAAATTCGACCGTAATTCTCCAACAGTAACACTCCCTTGTCTCAATGGCTTTGGTACAACCAAAACATGACCACATTGAAAATTGAATCTAACGTGCTAAACCTTTGTTCGTAATTGTATCTAGCCATTTCGTCAAAAATAGGCATAGTCCGATGTTATGTAGCCATCTTACAGGTTTGCATCCATAGTGTGCTTAATACCAGGCTCTACTTTTTACTAACGCGGTATCCCGGCCAATGTGTTAAAACAAAGCGAAACCAAGCTTTATCTAGTTCGCCGATTGTAGGATTCATTTACACCACGCAGTAAAGTATGTGGTATCTGACGATACTACTATTGGACATAAGACATTCTTATGTCTCGCTGGGTTGCAACATGCAAACTCGAGCGACTTGGGTTTGTCAAAATATCATCTCGCCCCAAATCCAAAGTTCCCTCTATACTGTTGCTGATATCTGTCTGACGTTGATAGGCTCAATCCGCTTAAGACTCACTCGGAAGATGGGCCATATCTCTCGCCCTTCTCCTTCATTGGCTCTCAAGGTCGGATCCGCAGCTCCCACCACTAGTGCAGCCAAAATTGAGAAGTCATCCCGCGCACAACTGCTAGTGCTTACACCTCCCCCGCAGTGCGGCTCGTCAGATGATCTCTTGCTATAATAACGTCTCGAATTCTTCTCTGATACATAGGCTGGCCACTGTAATCCATTTGCATTCAGTGACCACGATAGAAAAGCAACCGCGCGGCAGCCGCGTTCCATCAAATTATCTTAAATTGTTACACAGTCTCCCGCATCAGTGTAACATGAAGCTTATCGTTGCCGGAGCCAGCGGGTACGTTGGTACGGAGCTAATCCGCCAAGGCCTTCGTGTGCCCGCAATCACCAGCATCGTTGCTCTAGCTCGCCGAAAGGTCGAAACGCCAGCAAATTTAGACACAGGCTCCGATGTCACAAAACTCAAGTGGGTCGTCATCGAAACATACGACATGTATTCCGATGAAGTAAGGCAAGAATTCGCCACTGCTGATGCCTGTATTTGGTATGTTTCCTGCTTGATGGTCTTAGAATTGTTAATACAACTGTGGAGGTTCTTCCCCCTTAACGAATATCGATGTAACTTGCTGACCCTGGCCAATATTCCCGTCGCCTAGGACTGTGGCCATTACACCGAACAAATCCACGTTGTATGAATGGAGCGAAGTTCGCCGAGTCTGTCATGAATCTCCCATTGCCGGCTTCCAGGCAATGCTGGAAGCCCGTGGCTTTGCAGGAAACGGCAAAAAAACAACACATCCTTTCAGATTCATATACATGAGCGGTGCAAAGACTGAGCGGGACCAGAGCAAAACCCCCAGTTTCAAGCCGATGTATTGTCTTTTACGAGTGAGTATACAGACGTGTTTCTCATCTTGTTCTCTAATTGTGTGTCAGAAACTGAACTGATTCATGGTCATCCAGGGAGAAACAGAGACAGCAATCCTGGCGCTTGCAAAGAAGCACAGCACACAAACCGAGGCGTGCATAGTGAAGCCTGGCCTCATCATAGCCCCTAATGATGTGCTCAAGACCGCTCTCAGCTTTGCTTTGAAGTGGATGGTTTCTCTGCCTAGTATTGGATTGCGGGAGATTTCGGCTGCAATGCTCAACCAGTCAATCAATGGATTCGAAATGGACACTATCGAAAACAGCGACTTAGTCAGAATGGGACAGGATAATTCTTAGAAGGCCGTGAACTTGCGTATGGCCTGGTATTCCTTCATAGTATACGTTGCGTTGTGTCAAATTTTACTGTTTTCAATTATGGTGTCTCGTCAACTTCGAGGCTCGAGAAGCAATAATGGCACATGTTCGAAACGCGAATGAATCCTTTGAGCTCGTTAAGGAGAGAGAGAGAGCAACGGTTATAAAAAACAACATGGCATTAAATAGTGCTGCAAAAATGATGCCGTTGGATGCTACCCGCAATTAACGCTCTATGTCACAAGTGACATACAGCTTAAGATATCATAAAAGGAAACCCCATTTACAAAAACTTGACAGACTCTGCTTTCTCGTACGCGTAAGGTACACTTGGTGTCTTCCATTCCGGGGTTGTCTCTGACTCTCCCTCGAACTTTACCACGGGTCTCAGGATAGTCAATCGCTTCTTGTCGAATGTGCTGCCATCGAAGCTCTGGAACCAATCACCATCAGGCTTCAAGTAGTCGCCAAGGACCTTCTTCCATCCATTCCAGACAGTGACTAGAAGGTCCAGGACGTGATGAGCTCCTCTCATTTCACCCCACTGGAAGCGCTGCTTGCATTCCTCGACCGTGCTTTGGGGGTAAAGGCCGACATCCTCAGTAAGAGCATAAGCGTTTACGCCAGTAAGGCTGGCGTGCGAATAGTAGCTTCCTCCCTCAACCGCACGTCGCTTCAGACCAAGCATAGCGCCGACTGCGCCCAAAACACCAGTCGACATGTCGGAAATGGGCAAACTGGGCAATACAGCCTCGTTGTTGGGCAGGTTCAGCGATTTCCCTGTAACGTAGGCCGATCCAGCTGCAGCATCAGCGATTTGTTGCCAGCCAGGTCGCTCGGCGTAGTATCCGTCAGGGCCGTAGCAGTTCTCAGTCACATAGACAATACCACGACCACGCTCGCCAGCCATCTTCAAGAGATCGTTCAGTCCGAGACCAAATTTGGGCATCTTGTTGATGCGGAAGCCTTGGACGAAGACGTCACACTCAGAGACGAGCGACTTTAGCAGTGCTGCGTCCTTCTCGTTGCGGAGATCGATCGCGATTGTACGCTTGCCGGCATTGAGGGAAAGTTGCATGATGTTGATGTCGGGCAAATGAGGAGGGTTGACGCGGATCACTTCCGCACCATATGCCGCTAGAATGGTTCCAATCTCTGGGCCGGCGATGACGCGGGTCATCTCAATGACCTTGACACCGGCCAAAGGTCGCTTGTCGTTGGGATTCAGAGGTGGGAAAGCAACAGGCGTCGTGGGAACTGCCTGGTCTTGCTTCTTCACGTTAACCAAGGGGTGTCTGCCAAGCGAACGGCCCATTTCAGACTCTCGCCATTGCTTCGGAGTGAAACAGATGCTGCCACAGAACCCATTGATGAGATTTGTCATTTCCATCTTTTCGGGGCTCAGTTTGGCAGTGTGCTGAGCAATATGCGCCGCAGCCTCATCGTTGGACTTGATCGGAGTTGAGGGATCGACACCGATGGAGTGCAAAACCGGCTTAGCGTTCATGCTGCCGTGGAGGGAATACCACACTTCAGGGTTGTTCGTGGGGTACAGTCCAGTTGTGCGATATTTGAGAGCAGTGTCTGTCCAGCCTTGCTCCCAATCAGGTAGGAGGCCCTTAAGCTTGCCCTGCTTGACCATGCTAACCACATCAATGCCATCGAGGAAAACTGTTGCGATGCATCCGAACCAGACTGCTGCATGTGTGGTGTTCACGGTGATTCGTCGCTCTTCGTTATTCAACCCGCGAATGGCCAGAATTTCATCGGCGAGTACACCAGTCATTGCGTGTAGAGCAGCGGCAACAGAGACAGCCTTGATGGGGCCAGGGATGACGGGGTATGACTCTCCAATGAACTTGACCTTGGAGAGCGAGCGCTCATCTTGTGTGAATCCAGGAGTCTGGCTCGCGATGAGACGAAAAATCCGCTGAGTGTCTTCAGGTACCGGTGTAAACGTCTTGTCGGTGAAGGTGCCCGGTCCGTAGACGTCGGGGATCTTTTCTGATGTCATGATAAATGTGTGTTTAAAAAACGACTAAGAACGGACGCCAGGAAGGATGTAGGGGATAACCTGGATGAGGTCTTGATGCTGCAGCTGAAAACGACTGCGAAGGTATGAGTGCAGGATGCCTTTATATGAGAACCCATGCGAGAACAGCATACGCGGAAATAGGCCTTACGTTGCAGTCCATGGTGGGAACGGAGGAAAGGCAATGTTTTCTCGGAGAGCGGTACAGAGCCGCGCGAGGAGATCCCGTTGTCGGAAGAAAGAACCCTACGACCATCACGGGAACAAGCGGTGCGAGGACCGATGGTATGGGTCTGGCCATCGGAGGAGATGGATGACATTTGTCGGCCTTACCGATTGACACCTCATGGAAAACAACATGTTTGCGTCAAGGTCCACTGTTGATCGAAGCACGATGTGACACAAGTGCCGGAGTCCGGAGGTTAGAGGGTTGCAAGGGAAGGCTTCAACAGTTGGCAGGCAAGGGGACCATGACGTCGATCGCGATTGGCAGTAACTTGGTTGTACTCTGTCTCATCATCCCAAGGCATGCCACCTCACGGAACTGACAGAAGTTTTCTGGAGGCTCCATCGGTGGAGACAGAGAGTCAACATTTGGTGATCCGGAGTTAGCGCATGAGTCGTAGACCCGCCACTTGCGCGTTCCGCGCGCGGAATTGAAACCATATTCTCCACAAATAGACTCCGTTCCGGTCTCCACCATCGGCATTACGGGTCCTTGAGCTCTTCGGAGTTTCGAAGTTTTGGTGAGCATCGTCGGTCCGGCTATGCTTCTTTCCTGTTGTAGAAGCCGGTCAAATAACTTGTAAAATTATCCAAGTATTCCTGCACCCCCTCACCCAAAAGCAACCAAAAGTCCAGGTACACATACCGCAAGTGAATGATTCTTCCAAGTTATAAGAGCACGGAACCCTCACGGGACAAGCACTGTGCGTTCTTAGCAATTTCGATTTCTATTTGCAAAAACTTTCTCGTCACGACACGAACTGCTTTGCACTTAGAGCTCAGTCCTTGACCTCATTCAAAGCATACCTCTTATATCGATCACGATTTGTGCCATTATGAGCGAAATTCGAAAGGTCGCCATCATTGGTTGTGGCTCGATAGGGGCCTCGTGGGCGGCCCTCTTCCTGGCCCAAGGCCTCCAAGTGACGGCGTTCGATATCAAACCGGCTACCGAGGCATTCCTCCACAACTTGGTTGCCGACGCATTACCTGTGCTCTCGTCTCTGGGCTTAGTCAAAAACACCAACGCCCATGGATCAGACATACGTTTCACTACCAACATGTCCGAAGCTCTAGCCGACGCAGATTTCGTTCAAGAAAATGGACCTGAAAAGCTGGAGTTCAAGCGCAAACTCTTCAATGATATGGCTGCAATCGTGCGCCCCGACACGATCATTGCGACAAGCAGCAGTGGCTTGACTTGTTCGAGCATACAAGAGGGTATGCACCCGTCGAGCCATCCAGAACGCTGCGTTGTTGGCCATCCTTTCAACCCCCCACATCTCATTCCGCTTGTTGAGGTAGTGGCGGGGAAAAAAACATCGGTAGAAACTGTAGACTGTACGATGAAGTTTTACGACAACATGGGGAAGAAGGCAATCAATGTGAAGAAAGAAGTTGTCGGTCACGTTGCAAACCGTCTTCAAGCTGCTCTGCTGCGAGAGGTCATGCACCTTTTACAGGAAGATGTGGCCGATGTCGAGGACATCGATAAGGCAATGAGTTATGGCCCGGGCCTAAGATGGGGTGTCATGGGCCCTAACTTATTGTTCCATTTGGGAGGCGGTGAAGGAGGCATCAAGTACATGGCGGACCATTTATTGGTGCCGCTGATGTCTTGGTATGCGCCCAAAGACCCTGAGGTGACGGACGAACTGAAGCAAAAGTGGGTTTCGGGAACGATGCAAGCCGTGAATGATAGGGAGTACAGACAGTTGACTAGGCAACGCGACGAGGAGCTGGTCAGGCTGCTAAATGTCCGCAAGGAGTGGGATGGGTTTGCAGATGCCTCCAAGAGTTCGCAGGGCAACGATGATAGCTAGACAAACTAGTAAAATTGATACCAGGTTTTAAGAATGCAGATATATCGGATCACTCGAGCCATGTACTATAACATGACTATGATAGTCTGAAGCTGAATAAAATCCCATCTCGGGCACAGATCTGAAGCACTCGGCGGCAAGAGCATGTGCCGATTTACAAATCTGTAGCGCGCATACACTAGAGAAGAACGTTGCGGTACACTCTGTGGGAGGTAGGATAGGGGGTTGCGGCAAGTATTGACCATCGGGTGCAGATCTGCGCTAAAGTACCATCAACCCTGAATATCTGAAGGTGCGATGCCAAAGTAATCGCTCTACTGACGCGCACCATGTGGACTGGACAGGGGATGACGTCTGGAGGCGGTTCTTCGACCAGGGTCCCATGAGTGCTGAAGGCCGCGGAACGATTTCCGCACACAACTAGTCAAATCCGCAAACTTGACACGGCAGTGGACCTTCGACGGCTGTCGTTCGTCACGGAGACCGAAATGCGAAATACCGACATGATGCGTGCCCCGTATCAATGGCCGGTAGCGGACCAACACACAGTGAGTTCATGGCCAAAAATAAAAGGAGCAAATTTTGTTTGAGTCGCAAGATGGGTCTGCATTTTTTGAAGGGGATCTTGCCATCATGTAGTAGCCACGATTAGATAAAAGAATTCTACTAGACCTAAGAACTGGAATTTTTCTTTCTGCCTTTCGCTAAACGGCATTGCAAGAAATCTTAAAGAACCACAGAAGGGCGGGACTACGTCAACAATAATCATGGGTTCTCAAATTCAACAGCGTCTTTACATCCTCGACACAGATCTGTCACATCCAGACCGCGAGACGCGTCAGGGGCGCATCGTATCATGCATAACCGACGGAAGTGATCTCCGAATACTGGTCGATAACATCTCAACTCTCCCTGACGGTGTCACCATCGACCATGCCAATGGACATATGTACTGGACCAACATGGGATCAAGTTTCAAGACCAACAGCGGCTTTATCGAGCGTGCCAACCTTGATGGGTCAGATCGGCAGGTCATCGTGCCAGCAGGAACGATTGGCGTTTTCACGCCCAAGCAAATTACCATCGCCAAAGCCAGCCGCAAATTATACTGGTGCGACCGTGAGGGCATGAAGGTTATGCGGTCAAACCTCGACGGCTCCGATCTCGAAGTTCTGATTTCAGCGGGTGAAACGGAAGAAGATAGACTGGACCAAAGGAAATGGTGCGTTGGCGTTGGCGTTGATGAGAAACGAGGATTCTTCTACTGGACGCAAAAGGGGTCATCGAAAGGCAATCAAGGTCGAATCTTCCGTTCACCAATCCAAACTCCCCAGGGAAGAAGGAAAGAGTGCATCGAGGTGGTATCTGAGAAGCTTCCTGAGCCCATCGATCTCGAAATAGACGAGGAAGGAGGCATGATCTACTGGACAGATCGTGGAGACCCGCCGTCTGGCAACTCGCTGAATCGGGCAAGCATCAGCGCTGAGGGGCAGCATGAGATATTGGCGATCAGGTTGCACGAGGCAATTGGATTATCTCTGGACCAAAAGGAAGATATGGTGTATGTAACGGATCTTGCTGGCGGAGTCTATGCCGTTGACCTGAAGACGCGGAAGAAGACCATCTTGTTTACAGAGCTGGGTGACATTACGGGCATCGCCTGGGCTTAGGAACAGCCAAAGTCATCATTGCGAAACAATAATAGAGCGATTCCGAAAGAAACTCAAATTATCGTCGAAATCAAATCAACTCCACAAGTTTGCAGATCTAGTGATTTGGGCATTTTGTCGTTCAGAATAGGATAGTCAAAGGGCCCGAGACCCAACTCATACTATGAAAAGCGACTTTAATTATGGTGCTGGGGGGTCAAATGGAGTCCTTTCTCAGGGGCTCCAGCATATTGATACAAAAGTGTGTAAAACTTATTCGTTCTGGGCAATGGTGTGGTGGCTAATATGTGTGCCATCAGATTCACTAACAAAAAGCTTAGTCGCCTGTGACTGTGATACAAACTAGTAAGTCAAAGCACCCACTTTTCGGTCACCCCTGCCTTTCGGCCAGGGTTTTACACTAAAACTACTACTTTTTACTATACTTTTCTAATTATAAGAAATTGAGTTATAATTATGAAAACATTTATATAAGCTTTAGATTTACTTACATTCTATAAAGATAGTATGTATATAAAGATTATTGCTTAGTAATATAGTTAACGTACATATATATTAAGCGGCCTATTATAACAAGTAGCCCGTTTCTTATTACTAAGAAAACCCTTGTTTTTAATTATTTCTTAAAAATCATAATTAGGCTTAAAATTAATAAAAACTTATATTTAAGTTTTAATAAGACTTATGGTACGCAATGGTCGCGAGCGGAGGCGGTGAATCCACGGAGAAAGGTTTCCCTGTATAGGTAGAGACGGCCTCAGGAAATCACCGGGAAATTACAGTGGATCCACCACGCTGTGGTAGTGGGTCTATTTACGTAGTAGCAGTATATCTGCTAAGAATTTGCTATAAATTCTTGGTAGGACCTATTTTTCTAACTACTAGGAATCTATTAGGAAATCCTTAGTAGATTCCTAGTAATTTTTTTATGCTTTAAACGGCTTTAGATAAGAACCTTTTAGTATTTTGTAACTGATTCTTAGTTAACTAAATAAAATAAGAATTATTAATTTTTATATTTATTTTATTTATATAAAAGTATAAAAAGTAATAATATAATATATACACATAGCAAGTCGCTTATTATAGTAAGTTACCTACCTTCTTCTACCCTTTTACCTTTTTTATAAGTTAATTAAACTATAATATAAAAAATTAATTAAAACTACTTATTATTTTCTTTTTTATTACTATCTTAAACTACTTTATAGGTTTATACATTATATCTAGACTTTTTATAATTACTATATCGTTACATATATAGTTTAATACCTTCTATATAACCTTCCTTTTAAAAGTTAATTTTTTTTTAGTATTAATATTACCTTTTTCTACTTATAATGCCTTTGCTTTAGTAGTATTAAGTAACCCTTTAAGACATAGTTAGGTTTTTTTTGTTTTTTAGTGTTTACTTAGTACCTTTATCTTTATATAAAGCTTATAGTTCTTAGCTTTAATAATAGTAAGCCTATAAGTTAATTTACTAATACTTTTAACTTAAAAGTTAATTATTTTATATATTAATATTAATAAACTATTTTAATATACTTATATCTTTTTTTTAAGGGAAATAGTACTTTATATACCCTTTGGTATTATAGTTAATATCTTTATATCTTAAGAGCCTTAGCTATTTAACTATAAGGTTAAAGGTATTAGTGTTTTTAGCTTAAAATCTAATTAAGAAATAATTACTTTAAGGTTAAAAGGTATAAGGCTTATTTATTTAAAATTAGCTTATATATTATTTTTATTTATTAAAGTAAAAAATATTATTTTTAAGGTAAAAAAAAAGTTATTTTTAGTAATATATAAAATTTATATTTATATTATTTTTTTAATTTTTTTATTATATAAGTATTTTAATAAGCTAAAGTACTTAATATTAAGAGGCTAAAGCTTATATAATAAATAAAAAAGTATATAAAAAGTAATAATATTTTATTTTTTATAGTATTTATTAAAGTTAATTAATTTATAGTTATTATAACTATTAAGGATTAAAAGGTAATAAAAGCCTTTTATATAAGTTCTTATATATTAATTAAAGTATTATAGCTAATTTAAGCTAATATTATTTATTATTTATTTATTTTTACTTAAATAAATACGCTATATAATTAAAAATTAGTTATTAGTATACTAAAAGAAAAAGTAATATTTACTTTTTATAATAATATATAAAGGTATTATTTAGCTATTTATAAATATACCTTAAATAATAAAAACCTATTCTTAATTACTAAGCTACTTTATATAAAGCCTTTTTTTATAATTAAATATTATAATAACTTTTATATATAATAGTATTTTTATTAAGAACTTAGTTTTATTAAAATTATAAATATTATTATTAAGTACTTTATATTTTATAATTATATTTTATATAAGTATAAATTAGTTTTATATAATTAGTAGATCTTTAGCTAAGGCCTTTTAATAGTTAATTTAATATTAAAATTATATTTTTAATTTAAGGATATATTATATAAAGTTCTTTGCTTATTAAGGTCTTATATATATCTTATTATATATATTTAGGAGTTAATTAGTTATTTCTTATATGTCTTTTTGTTATAGAGGGAACCTTTAATTAATTAAGTTAATAACTTGTCTAAGAGTTATTTCTTTTTTAGTTATAGTTATTTTTATTAAATTTAGTTATTTTTTGCCTTATATAATACGTCTAGTGCATTAATTATATAGCGTTATTTAGGGGACCTTAAAGGTAAAGGTAGCTGTTTATATAGAAATTTTTAGGTCTTTTTTAAGAGCCTAGATAGTAAAAATAATATGACTTTTAATTAAGGTGGACTATATGTTTATATGTAGAGGAAACTTAGTGTAAAGGTAAAAGAGGTAGAAAGTAGGAATAGTAGGCGACTTACTATGATGAGTAACTCGCTATGTGTAGACGTTAACTGTTTTCTATTTAAAAATAATTATTTTTATAGTACTTAAGCTAATAAAGAAAAATAATAGAGTAAAGGTTTAAGCTTTTTTAATACTTTATAATAACTATATATAATAAAAAGACTAGATACCTTTAGGATTATAGCTATATAAATAAATAATACATTTAGCTTTATTATACTTATCTTCTCTTAGAGAAAAAAAGAAGAGCTAAGAAAAAAAAGACTTTATATAAAACTAAAGATTACCTTATTACCTAATAGTAAAATTAACTTTAATAAGAAAAAGACTTAATTATATAATAATTATATTACTTTTACTTAAAAATACTAAGTAAAGCACTTAAAACTTATTAATTTTAATATGTATAATATATATTAACAATATATTTCTTAAAGGGTAAAAAGAGTATACCTTATATCTATCTATTAACTAAAAATATTATATAACCTATTAACTATAGCCTAAACTAAAGAGTCTAAAAAGAAGAATATTAAAGCTTTAAATATATAACTTTAGTAGTAAATTAATAACCTTACATAAAGTCTTATATATATCTCTTTTAATCTCTATTATATTAAAATATATATTTTTATAAATAACCTATTTATAAATAACTTAGATCTATTATTATACTAGCTAAAAGAATAGCTTATATAATAATAGACTTTTAGATTAAAAAAATATATATACTGAAGTTTAATAAAGTATAAAAGAATTATATAAAGTATACTAATAAGTAAATTATATAAGATAACTAACGTACTCGCATAGCGAGTCGCGGATCATAGCGAGTCGCGCATAGGCTTATCGTACCTTAAAGGGCACTTTTTTAACTATTTTTAAAAAATCTAAATCCTATTTAAAATAGATATAACTTTGTATAGAGGGTTTGATAAGGGTTAAAAACTAGTAAAAAATCTGCTAGAAATTATTATTATACTATAACCCTTAGAAACCTTATCGTTTGCTCTGATAAGGAAGGTTAAGTAGAACTAAGAGTTATAGTATAATAATAATTTCTAGCAGATTTTTCACTAGTTTTTAACCCTTATCAAACCCTCTATACAAAGTTATATCTATTTTGAATAGGATTTAGATTTTTTAAAAATAGTTAAAAAAGTGCTTTTTAAGGTACGATAAGCCTGTGCGTGACTCGCTATGATCTGCGACTCGCTATGCGAGTACGTTATAAGATTTAATAATAAAATATCTTTTAGTATAATACTTACTAAGATCCTTTATATATTATAACTTCTAAGGATTTTAGTTATTATCTATTTAAACTTATAATCTTTATATAAATACCTTATATAACTAGGTATAATAGATAAAAAAGGCTTATAATTAATATTATAAGTCTATATAAGTTATATAAAAAGAAAAAGATCTTAAAAGTAAAATAGATTAATAAGGAAAATAACCTTATTAACGTTTTTACTAAGAAATTACTAAGCTTAGTGCTTAGATAATTAATTATAATAAATATGTTAAAGATTTAAATTAAGGTATATATTAAAAGATTAAAAGAAAACACTTAATAATTAATTTATATAACCTTACTACTATATATAGTTAACTAACTATCTAAAAATAAAACATAACCTTAAAAAGATATCTAATATACTTAACTACTACTAATACTAATCTTAATATTAGATTATACTTTTACTATATCTATAACCTTCTTAAATTACTATATTATATAATTTATCTAACGTACTTGTATAGTAAGTCGTAAATCATAGCGAGTTATACACGTCCACTTCCTTTCTACCTCTCTAACCTTTACACATCTTTCCCTTTATATACAAATATATAATCTACCTTAATTAAAAGTTATATTATCCTTGTTATCTAGGCTCTTATAAAAGACCTAAAAATGCTTATATAAAGAGCTATTTTTACCTTTAAGGTCCTTAAATTAACCTTTTATAACTAATATATAGAACGTGTTATATAAGGTAAAAGATAACTAAATTTAATAAAGATAACTATAACTAAAGAAAAAGTAATTATTAAACAAGTTATTAACTTAATTAATTAAAGGTTTTTTTTATAATAAGAAGATATATAAAAAATAGCTAATTAACTCCTAAATATATATAATAAGACATATATAAGACCTTAATAAGTAAAGAACTTTATATAACATATCCTTAAATTAAAAATGTAATTTTAATATTAAATTAACTATTAAAAGGCCTTAGCTAAGAATCTTATAATTATATAAAGCTAATTTATATTTATATAAAATATAATTTTAAAGTATAAAATACTAAATTATAATATCTATAACTTTAATAAAAATAGTTTTTTAATAAAAATACTATTATATATAAAAGTTATTATAACTTCTAACTATAAGAAAAAGCCTTATATAAAGTAGCTTAATAATTATAAATAGGTTTCTATTATTTAAAGTATATATATAAATAACTAAGTAATAACTTTATATATTATTATAAAAAATAAATATTACTTTTTTTTTTAGTATACTAATAACTAATTTTTAGTTATATAATATATTTATTTAAATAAAAATAAATAAATAATAAATAATATTACTTTAAATTAACTAAAATACTTTAATTAATATATAAAAACTTATATAAAGAGCTTTTATTACCTCTTAATCTTTAATAGTTATAATAGTTATAAATTAATTAACTTTAATAAATCTATTAAAAAATAAAATATTATTACTTTTTATATACTTTTTTATTTATTATATAAGCTTTAGCCTTTTAATATTAAGTACTTTAGCTTATTAAAGTACTTATATAATAAAGAAATTAAGAAAATAATATAAATATAGATTTTATATATTACTAAAAATAACTTTTTTTTTACCTTTAAAGTAGTATTTTTTTATTTTAATAAATAAAAATAATATATAAGCTAGTTTTAAATAAATAAGCCTTATACCTTTTAACCTTAAAGTAGTTATTTTTTAGTTAAATTTTAAGCTAAAAATACTTATACTTTTAACTTTATAGCTAAATAGCTAAAGCTCTTAGGATATAAAAATATTAACTATAATACTAGAAGGTATATAAAGTACTTTTTTAAAAAAAAAAAGATCTAAGTATATTAAAGTAGCTTATTAATATTAATTTATAAAGTAATTAACTTCTAAGCTAAAAGTATTAGTAAGTTAGCTTATAGGCTTATTATTATTAAAGCTAAGAACTATAAGCTTTATATAAGAATAGAAGTACTAAGTAAATATTAAAGGGTAAAAAAGACTAGACTATATCTTAGAGGGTTACTTAATACTACTAAAGTAAAAGCACTATAAGTAGAAAAAAGTAATATTAATACTAAAGGATAGAATAACCCTTAGAAGAAGAGTTATATAAAAGGTATTAAACTATATATATAATAATATAGTAATTACAGAAAGCCTAGATATAACGTATAAACTTATAAAGTAGTTTAGAATAGTAATAAAGAAAGAAATAAAGAGTAGTTTTAATTAATTTTATATATTATAGTTTAATTAACTTAACTAAATTATATATATTACTAAAGATAACTTCTTTTTTGCCTTTAAAGTAACCTTTTTTACTTTAATAAAAAAAAATATATAAGTTAACTTTAAATAAGCTAGCCTTATCCCTTTTAACCTAAAAATAGTTATTTCTTACCTAGATTTTAAGCTAAAAACGCTAACACTATCTAACTTACGCCTAAACAGCTAAGGCTCCTAGAACCTAAAGACACTAACTATAATATATAATACTATATAAAGCTTTATATTACTCAAAAAAAAGATTATGATTTATTAATATACCTTATTAACCTATTTATATAAAGTAGTTAACTTATAAACTAAAAGTATTAATAAGTTAATATATAAACTAGCTTTTATTAAAACTAAGTACTATAAGCTTTATATAATAAACAAGATACTAAATAAACATTAAAGAGCTAAAAAAACCTAGCTATGTCTTAGAGGGTCCCTTAATATAGCTAAAGTAAAGGTAATCTAGGTAAAAAAGAGTGTTATTAATACTAAAAGCAAAAATACGCGTTAAGAGGGGGCTTATATAAAGGGGGTAAAATGCGTAGGTAGCGATATAGCAATTACAGAAAGACTAGACATAACGTACAAACATATTAAGTAGTTTAAGAGACCTCTGAAGAAGAGGATAATAAGTAGTTTTAATTAATTTTGTATAATACTGCTTGATTAACTTACATAAATGGCTAGAGGGTAGGAGGACATGCATCGCTCACTATGATGCGTCGCTCACTATGCATGTACGTTATATATATTTATATTAAAATCTTAAGTATTAAGATTTAGCTCCTGTAGCTATATAATACCCTTAGCTTTTAATATTAATTATTTAGTATATAGTATAGCTAAATCTTTTATAAATTATAATTAGTATATTTATCTACTTATTTATCTATAAATATTTATAGACTTTTAGAGACTAGTGTTAAGCTGTTATAGGAGTTATTAGTGGTTGTGGACCTGGCCGAAAGGCAGGGGTAGGCCGAAAAGTGGGTGATTTGACTTATTCCGAGTTCATGACAGAGATTCTTCCACCATCGTTGAGAAGCATCAGCCCATTGCACAATGAACCGGCCCTGCTGGAAAGATATAGCACGCTACCCGCCATTTCCTCATTGCCGCCAAATCGTCGCACTGGGATGTAGTCTTTATTGTCCAAATCTTCTTCACCTGGATTCCTGGTGGATATTATAGATTCAGACATCTCCGATGGGAAAACCATAAAGCATGAAGGTAAGCAATCTATCTTCCAACTCATTGAACCGGCCTGCGAAAAGGGACAAACTTACAGCCTGGAAGTAGGCCGTTGACACGAATCTCATGTTTCGCAAGGTTTGTACTGGCATGTTTCGTCAGATGCGCGATTGCAGACTTACTACCGGTCTAAGCTGGAGGGCATTGCTTATCCCGGCTGTATGCGGAAACACTGCTGTTGATGATGACCTGACCTTGAATCGAAGGTATACTGGTACCGGCGGTAACAGGAGCACCGAAGCCTCCTTTGAAGGCATTTTTGTTACCTGCGTCAAGGAGTTCCAAGAATGCCAACATAGTGAAGTATACTCCAGTCACATTGACGTGGAAGACCTCAGTGAATTCTTCCATCGACGAATTCTGAAACAAGCGAGTTCGAATATCATGTATCGTCACTTCTGGGTCAAATACAGTCCAAGGTCCTGCGATTCCAGAATTGGCAATCACAAGATTGACGAAGCCTGTTTCTTTCTCGATCAAATCAACGGCAGATTGAAGAGAAGACTTGGAAGTCACATCACAAACAATAGGAGTGATTGACTCATGGTGTGACGCAGCCTGTTCCAATGCGTCCTTTCTTCGGCCAAGTATGTAAACTTTTCTCGCCCCAGCCCCAGACAAGGTCTTCGCCATCCTGAAGCCTATTCCTAAGTAGAATCAATCAGAAAACTTCATAAATTGAGTTACAGAAAACGTACCCGTGGTGCCGCCAGTTACAACAGCCACTATACCATCAACTCGAAAGAGACTACTTGTATCTATTATAGGACGATATCTTCAGTGTTTAGTAACCCAAAAATGAAGATCACAAAATTAAATTTAAATTTAAACAAAGACAAACCCACAGAGCATTTGAAAGAGAAGAAGGCGACCAGAGTGCTGCCAAGATAGGTCATTTTCTCACGTCAGTTATGGCCGCATTAATTCCTAGCCCCATTAAATCCTTTAATTCTGAAATGCCATCAGATTCCATGTGAAGTAAGTCGTAAGGCCTGTAAGAGTTCATATACATGCAAATGATCTGATTAAGTCACATCGTTGTAAAGAACTTCATTGGAAGTAGCTGTGTTAATGTTTCTCTGAAGATAGGATCTTACTCCTTGAGTATTGGAGCTTCAAACCATGGTTTAGTTTTGCCGTACAAGAAAAGCCACCAAATACTGGCCTATTTGAATAAAAAGACGTTTTCTAAAGTTCAATGCAAAAATGCAATTGTGGGGTTAGCGATCGTTCGAGTTTGACTATCCATATGTGAGCGGAGTGACTCCAGTCTTACTTTCGGCAAACAAGCTATAGTTATTTCAAAGAATGGCAAGCTAATTTCTTTGGATAAAAGAAATCATAAAATCAGCATCATTTTAAGTATCACGCTATAGTTCTATAGTCAGCTTGGGTATACTACATAACGGTTTTGGCGCATAATGCTCACCGTTTAATGACGTTAATAATTTGTTTCTACTGCCTTTGTAACCCTAACGTCTAGAAAAGCCCCGGCAGAACACCATATCATGTAAAAAATCGAAAGGTTTCTTCGGTCACCCAAGCCCAAACATAAAGGGCTTTTATTGCGCCAAAGCTTAGTAAAAAGAAGTAAGGGTATGCCATCATTGAGTGCTTTGACCGGCCTTGGGTATCTCTCAGTACTCCAGTCGAAACAAAAGACCTACCTATGGCTTCCTACTGGCTTGGTTGACTGCGAAGGGAAGTAACAGATGAATGATAGCGTGGACAGAAATTTACTTCTGATCTTTCTTATTGAGCATATAAACATCCATTGCAAACTTGGATGACAGGACTTGAAATGATTCAATATAGCAACGTAATAAACTATAAAAGAAGAAGTGTTTTTAGCTAAAAACACACTTGTTTCATAGAGAATTGTGTCATATTTCAATGTAAGTGGGCTAAATACTTGTTGTGGCGGAGATGGAAGCTTCATTTAAGATCACTAACGTAGCCTGCTGCCTCCAAACTTGCACACCGTTGGCCGTTGTGCTAGTTCCTAGTTGAAACCCTTCATGTGAAGTCGGTATACACTCCCTGTTCAAACTCACTGGTCAACTCCTCAAACCTGGCGTCAGCTTGTGAGATGACCTGAGTAAATGTCGTTGCCGCCACGCCCTTGGCCCTGTCAATCCACCAGAATAGATTCGGCCGGCCAGCCCATTGTAACGTCCCCGCAGAGCGCTTTCCAGGGATCTCGTCCATGTAAAGAGGACCGCCTAGCGCGATCTCGATTCGGCCGGCGCCCATGTCGACGGTAGAGCGAAGGGACGCACGCAGCGGGCCCGACAGCAGCTCTTGTAGGTCGTTCGAGTCAACCTTCTGGGGCTTGAAGATCTCATCGACGCTGTTTTCGGATAGGATTGGTTGGCCATCTGCAAGGAGCATTCTGAGAAACTTAGTCCAGTCGCGAGGTGTCGACCAGATGCCGTGACCGCCACAGTCATGGGTGGCTGGGATGTGCGAGAGCCAAGGCCCGCGCTTTAAGCCGTTATCGTCGGTGCGTTCATACATGGCGACGAGACGATCCATCATGTTTGAATGGAGTTCTGGGTGGAAAGTAGTCGAAGACATGCCCAGCGGCTCCCAGATGTTGGCTCGCATGAATTCCTCGAGCGTGGTATGGTTAATCCTCGCGATGGCCTCGCCAGCCCAATCCAGACCAGAGCCATACATCCAACCTTCTCCAGGCTCGAAGAGAAGTGGGAAGGTCTTCATAACTTCCTGTGAGGTGTATTAGAGACCGAATTATCTTCAACGCATGTGGTGAGTTCGACGAAGAAGGAAGGATGGCTTACAAAGTCACTGTCAAAAACGCTGTTGGTCTTGCTATTCTGTCTCGCCCACATTGCAAGTTGGGGGCTTGAATGATAGCCACAGCCGCTCTGATGACTCAAAAGCAACCGAAGCGTGATTGTCTTTGTCCGCGGTTTTGTTCGGCACCGGCCCTCGGAATCAAGGCCGTCGAGGACAGGGAGGGCGCACAGATCTGGTAATACTTGGGCCATGTCATCGTCGAGGGAAATCTGCCGGCGTTCGATACAGATCATGACGGCGACTGTAGTCATGAGTTTGGAGAGGGAGGCCATGCCGTACACCGAGTCGAAGCTAACGGGGGTAGTGGACTCTTGTGATAGCGTACCTTCGGCCAGGGTGTAGAGTTGCTCACCTATGTTAGCTGTTAGTGTGTGCGTCAATTAATTTGACTTGAGCGGCATCTCATTCATAATAACTTACCGTGGTTGTTGACGACAGAGCATACATAGGAGTGCATAACCGGCTTCGGGTCGGCAATGGCTCTCTTGACTGCTTGAGAAAACTTCTCCATCTGAGACCGGGTCGAGATGTCATTGACGCCAGTAGAGCCGTTGAAGCCGTTGATCTTGTGAATTCCATTAATTTTATGAACCTCATCGGCTTTCTGAACTCCGTTGGGCTCTTCATGAGAGGTGCCGTTTGTGGCTACGGCAGGCGCAGTTGCTTCTACCGCGGCCATCGCATTCATATGAGTGTCAAATATAGTTCCTGCTAGGCTCTTGGGTGTGCACGATGGTGCCAGTAGTTGTAGGAACGACATCCCCACGCCGAACTTTTGACTTAGCCAGTGGATCAGCTCGCTACCGGACATGCTATCGAGACCAAAGTGCGAGAAAGGACGACTAATGTCGATTTCCTCAATGGGAATGAACATCAACTTGGCCAACCGCTGCGCGACGGCGTCTGCCAACAAGATGACAGCCTTGTCACGGTTGTCTGGAATATCGGAGAGCAGCAGATCATCGCCGCTGGCATCAGCAGCCGCTGCACCGCCGCTACCAGCAGCAGATCATCGCCGCTGGCATCAGCAGCCGCTGCACCGCCGCTACCAGCAGCCTTTCGTGATTCGAGCGTCGTGACCAGGAGAGCAGAGCGACGGTCCTGCTCAATACGTGTAACTTGTACCATGCTGACGTCGTGCTTCGAGTATTCGACACCGGTGAGGATATGGCCCTGCGTTAGGCTGTCGAAATGCTTCGACTCGGGCTGTGGGTACGTGAAACGTTCAAAGTGACGGATGAACTCTGATTCCTCGGCTTCAATCAGACCGGATCGCAGCAGGTTTTCAGCATATTCGGGCTTGCGGTTCAGCGTGCCCACACCCTTGATTGGGCCCAGAGAGATTGTGGTTGACGGCAGGCCCATGCGGATGCGCTGGCGTGATAGATTGTTCAACACCGCGTTAGATGCCGCGTAGTTGGCCTGCGAGATGTGGCCTACGTAAGTAACCGTTGAACTGGTCATGAAAAAGAAATCGAGGGCCGCGTTGACACTGATCGTGGCATTGTGGAGGTTAAGGGCGCCGTGCACTTTGGGACGGACAGCGGTATTAAATTGCTCCAGGGTCATGGAGTCGAAGAAGGCGTCCTTTTGTGATTGTGATTTTAGTAAAAATCGGCTTGAAGAGACTTTAAGCTCATATTCGAATTGGAGCTTACCTGCAATACCATTGCCGCATGCACAACTCCCTTGAGCGGTCCCATTGAGATGGCTTGAGCCACCGCTCGCTTGACATCCTCTATTTTGGAGACATCACCCTGGATTGTTACCACATTCACGCCTTGGCCTCGGGCTCGGCGACAGAAGGAAGCAATGTCTGGCTTGTTCTCGCTGGACCTGCCCAGAAAGACGAGGTTTTTGGCTCCTCGCTCAATGATAGAGTCTGCCATACTATGGCCCAGGCCACCGTGGCATCCTACCATCAAGTAGCTGTTGTTTCCGTCGATACCATGAGGTTGGAGAGCACCCTTGATTTTTATCCGGTTGGGAGTTGTGCCGTAAGTAAGCACAATCTTGCCTATATGTTGACCTTGGCCAAAATAGCGGAGGGCCATCTCCATCTCCGTGATATGGAATGTGCGGTCCAGCTTGATTGGCTTGATCTTGCCGTCTCGAAGGAGCTTCATCGCATCAGAAAGGAGGCTTTCACTACGTGTTAGTAGCTTCTACTTTGTGCTTCAGATTTAGGGGTATCTCGGGCTGTCTTACCGTGCTGCAATTCTTGGCTTTTCCTCCAACACAAAGTTGAGGTCAAATGAGAAGAAGCTGATGCTTCGGTCAAAAGCATGCAATCCAATATTACCCTTGTCAAGCACGTTTCCACGACCGACGTCAATGAATTTTCCGCAGGGGGCGAGACATTTCAAGCTCTCATGGAATCCAGGACCCGAGATAGCTGACAAGATGACATCGACGCCACGGCCTCGCGTTTGCTTCAGCAGATCGTCTCTGAACTGCAGCGTCCGGGAGTGGAAGATGTGGTCGTCAGGGATCCCACACTTAGAGATGAGATAGTCTCTTTTCTGCTGCGTTCCCACTGTGGCATAAACCTCAGCTCCCACGTACTTAGCATATTGGATTGCTGCCAATCCCAAACCCCCAGTAGCTGCTTGGATCAACACAGTCTCGCCTGCTTCCAGGTGCGCCAGATAGTCTAGTGCATAAAGGGCAGTCCCATGAGCGATACCGACGGTGGCCATTTCGATCAGATCAGCATCGTCGTCGAGCTTCAGGCACTTCTGCGCCGGGCTTCGAAGGAACGTGTCGTAGTGTCCGCGCTCTAGGCAGATGACCTTGTCGCCAGGCTTTAAGTGGGCGACATTGGCTCCCACTCTAGACACGATCCCAGTGCTTTCGTTGCTGGACTTGACACTTTCGAAGTTGCCCATCGCAATAACATAGTCCTATGGTGTTTGAATCAGTAAGGTTCTGTTCTTTCATACTGCACCGGATGTCTGAAATACAAACCTTCATATTCAGTCCGACTGCTTTCACTTCAATTTCGACTTCATCGGCGTTGAGCGCAATCTCACATGTCGGTTTCTCTCGGAAGTACACCGTATCCAGAAGTCCTGGAGTCTCCAATGACAATTGGATGTTGCCAAAATTCGGGAATGCCTGCCCAGTTCTCCCTGGCCCGGTATCGAGACTAAACTCTTCGTTCAGCTGCATGTCGGGTGAGACACGGCTGATGTAGATATTTTCATCCTTAAGGATGAAGTCTGTCTCGCACGTAGCTCTGGATACAGCTGTTGCAACCGTAGTCCACACTTTAACGACTGTTTTCGCAATCAATGGTGTCTTGATGTCGCTGGTATTGTCGATGTCGAGAGTGGCGAACTTGAGATTGTGGGCCGAGTTCTCGTTCATCAGCACAGTGTTGATCCCGTGGGCCATTGCCAGGGCTGGGTTCGTACCCGCCATCAAGTCTCCCCCAGTGACCCAAAGAATGCTTGTCGCTGACGATACGAGTTTTTTCAAGCCCTCGAACTGCTCCGGCAGCATGTCTTTGAGAACTGGAGTTTGTATCTCCTCGAGCACGATGTAGGTACTTTTAGGTCCGTTCAAGAGGTTGAGATGAGAGATGGAATCGAGAGAGTAGTGCAAGATGGTGTCTTTGTCGAGAACTCCTTGCCTCATGATCTCCTCCTCAACAGCTTTACCGAGTGCATTCTGGAGCGATGAATGGACCTATAAACGGTTTCGTCAGGAACATCATTCTTTGAATGCTACTGAAACGGTGATAGGAAGATACTTACGATAACAACACGTTCAACGCCCAGTGCCGCAACCCGATTCAAAGCTCCTCCGATGGTACTGGCGACCATGACGCTTTCCAGGGCCAATGGCTCGGGAAAATCAGTCAAGACCATATCTAGGCCTGCAAATCCAGATATCTTGAGCTGCTGTTCCCATGACGGAAGCGTCCGGAAAGGCCCCAACGATCTATCAGCATCGGCGTCTTCGAGGCACTCCCAGAAGCTTGGTAGCGTGCCAAAGGCAAACTGTACAGGTGTCAGACTGCCAGTCTGTGTGATTTCCAGCATCACGAGTCTGCCTCCTGGCTTTAGAAGGCGGCTGCAGTTCAATAGCAGTTGGTCGGTGTTTGCTGGAGCGTGCATCACATTGGATGCCAGGATGAGATCATACTCGCCGAGCTCGAAGCCCTGCGCTGCGGCGTCAACTGACAGGTTAAACGTCTTGTAGATCATGGGCGGGTACGCGCTGAAAAGCTCCTCGGCCTTCTCGAAGAAAGCTGGTGAGATGTCTGTGAAGGTGTAGTCATGGTAGCGCTTAGCGTGGTGACCAGGCATGTCGCGGTCGAAGGCATTGAGCACATCCAACGCGATGCTGGTGCAGCTACCCGTGCCAGCCCCAACCTCCAACACACGCATTGTGGGATTCTTATGCGCCAGAATGTCTATCACAGACGCCAGGTTCTTGCGCGCCGCATCGTGAATTGAACCGTCGGCGTACACACGCGCCAGGATCTCTGCCTTCACCGCCAGGTCGATGCCCGCCACGGTTCCGTTTAGGATACCAACCATGTTTTGGTAGACAATGGCGTTGAACTCCAGCTGCGGGAAGTCCCCTGGTAATTCAGATAGGAGCTGTTTGATTCGTTGCTCCCGCTGCTGGGGATCGAGGCTCGTGGCGTATTGTTCGCAAAGAGTCATTCGCCCGGCTGCCGCCTCATTCCTGACGTGGCACATCCAGTTATAAAATCCATGAATCCATTTCAGCGACGGGTCGGTGGAAAGCTCATCAAGTCGTACCATCTCTAGTGCGCCGCAGATATACAGGATCGTTACCGTCTCTAGTCGCGTCCGAATGCTGTATACCTCATCTAGGTAGGCTGCTCCTGATGGTGAGTGAAAGTCGCTGTGAAACAAGCGATGTGCTCCGTCTGTGTCCATAAAATCCACGTCCGGCTTCCATTGCATGCGGTAGTATGGTTCGCGTGCAGCCTCTTTGTTCATCTTCTCTTGACTTCCTTGATTCTCAAATTGCCGCCATTTGACATTTCGCGCCGAGATGATCTCAAAGCCGCTCTCGGTGGTCAGAGTCGAGTGCGATCCGCCGCTACGGGCGCCCTCAGTCCACGCAACACTGTCAATGAAGCCTGTCTGGTTTTTCGCCCATGTCGATGGGCTGATTGTCATTTCTTCGATGAATACCGGAATCTGGGTAGCCGCCTCCTTATCCGCGCGGCTAGTATACACGGAAGCCACACGGCCTTGAAGTACGGCATCAATGGTCAAGGGATGAATCGCATAGCGGGACTCATATGGCGTGGTCATCTCGGCTGTCTTGAGAATAGGAGCTCTCGCACGAGCACGTGAAGCATGAGGCAGAACCTCAATCTCATCGATGACGCGGAACAGGGGACCGAAGTCAAAGCCTCTGTATCTTAGACGCTCGTACCAGGCCTCCTTGCCGAAAGTCTGTTCGAAGGTGGGCTCCTCAGTTTCCTTGTTGAAGGGAACCTTTTTCGTCTTCGCCCCATGAACCGGCTCAAACGAAACAATTCCTTGAGCGTGCTCAATCCATTGTCCATCAGTGACGGAACAGATCTTGAATTCGAACCTGTTGGAGGCCGCAGATGCCTCGGTAGGACGTAAGTTGGTCATGATATCTGTAGTCCCGCTGGCAGGAAGCACCAGCGCCGACTTTATCGTGACGGTATGAAGGTGGAACTTGGAATCTTCGAAGTCGAAAGGTGGGCCACCGAGGGCGGTATCCTCGGCAAATTGGGCTGCCGCTTCAACGGCCATGGCGAGGTATGCTGCACCAGGTATGATGAAAGCACTTCCAATCTGCGTTTAGTATTGCCGGCATTAGCTCACAGTTGGATCTTGCTTGCTGACTCCCGACATCAGCCAAGTCTGATGGACTACATACCACATGATCTTTTATCCACGGTACATCCTCCAAACGAAGGTAGTTCCTCCAGATGGGCTCCATGCGATTCCCTCCAGGGAGTCTGCTTCCAATCAGATCATGACGTGGATGAGTGGCGAACTTATAGTCCTGAGTAGCGCGGTTGACAATCAAAGGCTGTGGAGTCTCGTGGTTCCATGGGTACTTGGGGAGATCGATGATAACCTTGGACGGGCGGTACGCGGTATGTCCGTTTACAAGAAGTAGATCCAGAGGATAGCCCTTCAAGAATAGACTGGTTGAAAGCCGTATCATATCGTCTTCGGCATCATGACCACGCTCTAGGGTTTGCTCATAAGTCACTTTGGGAGCAACTCCCAGGCTAGATTTCCAGATCTCTTGGACTTCGGGCGATGAAATGATCTGTTTGATGGGGCCCTTCAGGGCGCTGTGAGGCTGTATGGAAGATTAAATTGTCAGCTGTGGTTCGTAGTTCTTGAAGCTGAAGCTGGATGCCCAGACAACGGAGTGCTTTTGAGAAGCAAGAAAATGAAGAACCATACCCCTATCTCGATTAGGCAGTCCACAAAACGCTCATCTGAGCCGAACTTGAGACCCAGCATGTGCTTCAATGCAGGATCAAAAAGAACTGGACTTTCCAAGTTCTTCTGCCAGTAGTTTCCATCAATGTCACCCTGGTGAAGTTGTGTTACAGTCACGGACGACACCATCACAGGCTTCGGCTCCTTGTGCTTTCCACTCTTGAGATCCACCGCACTGTTACTGAAGCGAGCCGTGGCCTCGAGGATAGCCTTGCTGTAATGAGAACCAACCTCTTTCATGCTGGGAGAGTGGTAAGCTTTTCCACCTGTCTGCAATTTCTTGCATAAGATTGAGCCTTGCTTCAATAACTTGTGAAGAGCATCCATAGGCTTGGGCTTGCCGCTTAGAGTGACGCTCTCTGGTGAATTGACGCACGCCACAACGACATCAGAAGACGCGATATTATTCTCGTAGAGGAGATTTTGAGCATCCTTCGCGCCAAGGGCCACCGCCATCATTGTTCCCGGGGCTTGCGTGAGCATCGCATGTACGCCTCTTAGATAGGCAGCTGTGATGGCGTCCTCGGCAGTAATCAGCCCCGCCGCATAAGCAGCAGCAAGTTCACCAGACGAGTGGCCGATGACAGCTTCAGGCTTGACTCCCCAATCCCACAAGAGATTGACGATTGAAATTTGGATGGCGGTACAAATCGGCTGGGAGAAGGAAACCTCACCAACTCTGCTGGTCTCTTCGGGTTCAAGCAGAATTTCTGCCGAAGAAAGGGGAGTGTCAGTAAATAACAGCCTAAAACAATGGGATAGAAGATCCATATGTTGCCATACCTTCAAGGGTCCATTGTGGTCGCTGTTCCAAGTTCGATAATGCCAAGTTTAGCTTCTTGAATGTCTTTCGCACTGATGGGTAGCTGTCCATCAACTGGCGTCCCATCTCTGGCCACTGAGCACCTTGTCCGGTGAAGACAAAGGCCACGATTGGAGCTCTATCAGTGGCACGGCCAGTTACTGCCTCGCCTATGGCCACTTCTTTCTCGCGACTGATTTCCACCGGAATCATGGCACGGTGGGAGAATCGCGTTCGCCGCGCGACCATGGTGTACAAGAGTTCGTGAATATCATGAATCTGACTGTTGAGAACCTGATTCATGTTCACCAGACTCTTGGACATGGAGTATTCGTCATGTGCCGTAACCGGCAGTAGAAACTTCTTTTGGGTAATCGTGCTGTACGGGTCGACATCGGGCTCTTTGTTGAATGGACTGGAGACACCGACGCTCTTGAAATATTCATCAACGCCGTCAATGACGACATGCCCGTTAGCTCCTCCATATCCGGATGAATTTACCGAGACACGCTTTGCTTTTCCTACTGGCCATGGTGTGTTCTTGGTGACGACAGCCAAAGCGCCTCCTTTGAGGTCCACTGCCATGTTGGTGGGTGTCAGACCAACCTGACCAGCCAAGTCATGCGAAGAACAGAAAACTCACAAGCTGGGTTCAGTTTTTTTACGCCGACTGTACCCGGGATAACTCCGTTCTCCATTGCTAACACCACTTTCATGATGCTCGTGATTGCCGAACACGCCTCACCGTGGCCAACCTGTGGCTTGGTGGAGCCAATGTACAGCGGGTCGTGCCATTCACGATGACGACCAAACACATTGCCGATAGCCGTTGTCTCGATTGGATCTCCTGCAGGGGTACCGGTCCCGTGGCATTCGACGTAACCAACTGAATTATAGTCCAGTGGCCCTGAATGCTCATATGCCTTCCGAATAGATAGCTCTTGAGCGAGAGCACTGGGGAGCGTAATGCCGTTATTTTTACCGTTTCTATAATTGATTATCCCTGTGTCAGCATGATTGTAAGAGACTGAGAACGATGAAAATGTATATTGAATCAGGTCTGCAGCTTACGCGGTTAGCGATGATCCGCGAATGACTCCGCGGATAGGGTCGCCGTCTCGGATCGCATCTGACATGCGCTTCAAATACATGACATTAATGGCTTCTCCTCGGGAGTAACCATCGGCCGAGGCATCGAATGCGTGACACTGAGCAGTTGGAGAAAGGGCACCAATCTGTCCAATAGCAAAGTGATACTCGAGAGTAAGAATCAGATTAACGCCACCGACGAACGCTGCAGGAATTTCACCGTTTCGGAGCGCTTGTAGTGCAAAGTGCAGTGCATACAACGTTGAGGAGCACGCTGTGTCCATGGTAACGCTGAATTAGGCGTAATTAGAAAAGAAGCCTTTCGTCTGATAGCGTAGCAAGCGAACGGGGTGCTACACACCTTGGTCCATGGAGATTGTACATGTAGCTCACGCGGTTGCTCACTGTCGTTCTGCCCATGCCTAGGACAGCCATACCCTCGATTCTCTCGGGCTCCTTAAACGCCAAGGTCTCATAGTCACTGGCAAAATTGCCCACATAGACACCAGTCATGGTACCAGCAACGTCTTCGAGTGTGACGCCTCCGGACTCCAGGCATTCAAAGCAGCATTCAAGTAGCTGACGTTGCTGGGGATCGAGACACAGGGTATCGGAGGAATTCATGCCGAAGAATCCTGCATCAAAGTCCTCAAGGTTATTGGAGATACAGTAGCCCTCTGTGTACCGCATATTTCCAGGCCGCCCTTTTTGGGGATTGTAGAAAGCGGCAGCATTGAAGCGGTTGCCTGGAAAGGGACCTCGTGCGATTTTCTGGCTCATCAAAAGGTCCCAAAATGATTTTGTGTCTTGAATATCGCCAGGAAGGCGACATGCTGTAAAAAAAAACACATTAGTTAGACCCAATGGGAAGTAGGAGATATGGTTGGAGATGAGAAATGGGGGCAAACGTAAAGAAGGAGTCAAATGAGAGGAATGAGAAGAACAACTTGCCCATCCCGACGATTGCAATACCCTCATCTTGAGGATCGTACATCTTTGTCAAGCTTAAACACAATGAATTCGGTAGTAGCAGGTCAAGAGTAAAGAAGATCTGACTATGGACATATGAGTCTAGGTCAATGGATGAAGACTAAATTCCAGGGAGCAAAAGTTGATCAAATTGATGCATCTTATATACTCTGTACATTTTGGACTTGTTCATCACAGTCTCTACTGGAAATGATGACTCTTTCGCTACATGTACGTAGTTACAGGGTGTAAGCACCCTCAAATCGTGTCTTGTACGTTTTTGTTCCTCAATCGTATGGTGTCCACCATGTAAGCGCCCAGGGAGACGTGATGATACCATCTTCAGGTCTTTTGATAAGATGCTTGGTTGGCCAGGAGCACAGCAACCAACAGCCGTCGATAAAGGAGGGAGAAAGCCTCGACTTGGGACACAAGATTTCGATTTCTGACAGTCATATACCATTTTGGTAACAATAGGCGATACTTGTATGCCAGAAAGTGTTGGGAACTTTGGTCTCATTCGTACTGTTGCTAGATCGTCCGACCCGCCAAGGGTGGATTCTCCTGCTCGCATTTGACAGGCAGTAGTGACTGAAATCAACCATAGCGTCTTTGCAGAGACACCCCCTCTTTTCTGCATTCTTAACCACGGCTTCATTCACCTACTACATCTACTTGGCGTTGATGATGTCCGCGCCCGGATTGTGACTTGAACGCAGCTAGGCCCGCGTTGCAATACCCGCCGTGTTGTTATCCGAGACTGCCAATCGCAAGAGCATATATCTACAATATGCATGTTCAGCAATCCTTCTCAATATCAGAGTTCATTTGTCTTCGCTGACTAGACGCGCGGGGCCGGGACCCTCCGTAGGTGGCGTTATGTGACTTTGGGGGCCGAAGGAAGGCCCCGCAGCGACCCGAGCCCGGCGGAGAAACCTGTCAGATTTAGCGTGGCCGGCACACTGCCGCGAGCCAAGGGGACTTTGTGGTCTCAGGGGTACATCAGATAGGTGGGAAGTGTCTCCCACGTTTCAAAGACTGGAGTTCCAATTGGCTTTCGGCACACCAACCGCGCCAGATTGGAGCGGTCGTGAAGAAATTGCTAGATTCCATTGGCTCAGTTATCTTAGCAGGATTCAGCTTGTGGCTCGTTGACAGCACTGTTTACATGTGAGGGGCTCACAACAGATACTGAATCTTTCCAAATCCAGTTCCAACGTTCTTCGCCAGTCTCTTGGCAGCTTTGTATTGACTGTTGCCTAGTTGAAGGGTTCTTCACCCCCCAAACTAAGCTTACGAACCGGTCTATCACATCATATTCCGCCACTGAGGACAGGTTGTACGCGGTCTTAAAGAAGCATGCTAGCCTGCAATAGGAATTTCAGATGGTTATTACGCCTTGGCTTGTAAAGCATTTACCCAAAGAGTGCAAGTTTTGCGGGCGTCCACAGCACGGGGTTCACCGGCTGCCGAATGAAATGATTTGCTTCGTACGCAACTCGGTATCGAGCGTCTTGGCCACCGTGGTGACATGATGGTGCACCCTGCTGCGCCTTTCATATTGGCTTGCCCAAGAGATCCAGATAAGCTTGGATGAGCAACACAAGCTGGAAGGTCTCGCTTTTTGAGAGATAGGACAAATAAAAAGGGTATTCATTTGCTCTGGCTGAAAAAACATTATTTTTTACACGTATCAGAAAGCATAGAAAACATATGCGCAAGTTCTACGTTTGCTGCATTTGGTCGTCAACCTATGAGATCCGCTTAGCATTGAGAGCAACCCTACGCCTAATGGCTGCAGCGAAGCGCAGGGAAAAAAGTGGTTAGGCCTATTCAGGTCTATCTTCATCCATATTCAGGAAAATTGGCGCTGTCCTGTTGATGGTTGATCACCTTAGATGGGAGATGACTATTGTATACTCTCTCACGACTGTTTTCAGTATGTATATCCTTTTACATTGGCCTTGCTAACTATGATGCTAGGTCTATGTGCCTAAGCGTACCTTAGACATAACCTCAGTTGTTTCAGGGTCTATAAAACCCAACTCATGCAAAATCCAGTTTCATAGGCGTGTAAATTCTAGGTTCGGAGCTGCGTTCTCCGCTCTGAAAGTTGGGCTCTTGGTGGCTGTGGTTTATGCAGGTAAGCCGAGGGGTAACGCCCTTGGCACACAAGTTCTTTTTAGCCAAGCTGTTGTAGTATCCACAGGTGAGGGATCGGCAGTGAGCACCAAATCGAGCTCGTTTCGCGTATGCTGTTGCTTGGGGTTCTGGCTGACCCCCGTTCCAGGACAGCGCCTTGCGAACGCACATCTCTCAATGCTTTGACAATCCCTTACTACTACTGCTTTCGCCTGGTTCATTTGATACCAAAATTGAGTTCCACGCCATTGCTCCAAGTTTGATGAAAAACTCCACGCACAATCACCACTCACACCTGTAACATAGACGATACGTCAACCATGCCATCCACCGGGGAGAAGGGCCAAACAACGAACGAGCCAGTGCGGCAAGAGACTCCTCCCGCGTCAACAGTAGTAGAACTATCAGTACAAAGAGAACAAGAACTAGAACGGGATGAGGCACCATCACAACTTAACAGAGACCTTGTTCCCCGAAAGAAGAAGACATGGCGATTCTGGGCTGTATTTCCAGCGCTATGTGTGACGACATTTCTTTCAGCCCTCGACACGTCCATTCTATCAACTGCCCTTCCGACAATTGCGCTTGACATTGACGCTGGCGAGCTCTACATGTGGATTACTAACTCCTATATCCTTTCATCCACGGTGGTTCTGCCGCTGTTCGGACAGACGGCAAACATTTTTGGTCGGCGGTGGATGATGATCATCTCGGTTATCATCTTCGCTGTTGGGAGCGCAATGGCCGGGGCCGCAAACAACGCAGGTCTCATCATCGCCGGACGCACAATCCAAGGCGTTGGCGGCGGCGGTATCAACACGCTTGTGGATATTGTCATCTGCGACATGGTAGCTCTCCGCCAGCGAGGCAAGTATGTAGCGCTCATGGCCGCTGTTTGGGCGGTGGGGACGGTGGTCGGCCCAGTGCTGGGCGGCGCGTTCGCGGAGTATGTTTCGTGGCGCTGGGTGTTCTACATCAACCTACCACTCTGCGCTGCTTCTTTGCTGCTGTTGGTCTTATTCCTACGCGTCGAACACCCTCATGGTAGTGGTAGTACGTGGCAGCAGCTGAAGCGCGTAGACCTCGTCGGGAATACAATACTCACTGCCGCCGTCGTCTCTATCCTGCTTGCGCTCACTTGGGCCGGAACTTCTTACCCCTGGTCCTCATGGAAGATTGTCCTGCCTCTTTTGATTGGGGTCGCCGGACTCTTTCTTTTCTACGCCCATCAGACCTCGAGATTCTGTAGCGAACCCTCGATTCCAATTCGGATGTTTTCAAGCGCAACCGCCATCTGCTCACTTTGGATAGCTTTCATACAGTCGGTGTTGCTGTACTGGGTTGGATATTTCCTGCCCGTTTACTTCCAGGTGCGGCACTTCATGCGCTGTTCGGTACAGAGACACCTATATCAAACTAACTACCTTTCAGGCCATCCGTGGGGCCACTGCAACTGAATCCGGGGTATTCGTGCTTCCCATCACCGCTGCCATTGCGCCCTTTGGCATAGTTACTGGCATACTGATTGCCGTCACGGGGAAATACCGCTTATTCCACTTTCTGGGGTACATTATGCTCACCGCTTCCAGTGGACTGTTCTCCCTACTGGAAGACCAGTCACCTGCCCGCAACTGGGCGGGCTTTCAGGTGCTGTTCGGCGCCGGATCCGGAATGATCTTTTCCAGCACCCTACCTCCAATCCAAGCTACGCTACCTGAGTCCGACGTTGCCACTGCCACATCTACATGGGCTTTCATGCGTAGCTTTGGCTGCTTATGGGGCATTGCTATTCCCACTACCATCTTCAATGCGCGGATCCAAAAGTTGTTGTATCGCGTCAGCGACGCGCCGTTGCGCGAACAGCTCGCTGGCGGCGGCGCGTATGCCATGGCAAGCGAAGGATTGATGCGCACTCTGAAAACCACCCCAAATTTGATGGTTGAAGTACTCAGTGTTTACCAAGACAGTCTGCGATGGGTCTGGTGGATCGCAATCCCGTTTGGCGGCATCGGACTAATTCTTTGTATACCGATCAAACAGCTTGTACTGAGCGAGGAACTGCATACTGAGTTTGGGTTAGAGGCACGGAAAGCAGTAGGGAAGGATAGGAAGCTCGGCGATGCATTTATGTCTTTAGATGTAAGTCACCCTGGATTTCAGACTTTGGTACATTATGTTTCCCATACTGAGTAACATGTCCACACAGTAAAAGCTCAACATGACACAGTATTGCAAGCAAAACCAATGCAGGGGCCAATGGCAACATACGCAGTGGTCATGCCTCTTGTAACAATTTATACCTACCGAGGATCTTGAATCTGAAGGTTCGGGCCTAGATCCCCGGAGCATGGCTTAGCATGTTGTGCCCAAGAACTCTAGGCCCTTTAATTCAAACCCTGAGCGGGGTGATCTACGCAGATTCTCTGGGTATAGATGGTTACTTTCTTCCTTGCCCATGTTATGATCAAGCTGCTTATTAGTATCGGTCCGGTTTATTGCCACGTGACTTGGGATCAACTCTCTCACTCATAATGTTCTATTTTTCTGTTTCCGTGGTGTACGTTCAACGGTCTCATTCAAGGCGCCAGTTGCCTTCTTGAAGTGTCATAGCTTGCATTTGAGCTTTTATATGTTATCCTTTTGTTTGTTTCGGAGACAATGGATGGCCCGTTTTCAAAAGCTACTGTTATATGTTCCAGTCTCATTCTACGCTGCGACTTCTTATCAACATGGACTGGAGTAAAATCAATCTGTCGAAGACGCTGAACAAGAGTCTATCCATGTTTCCAAAATAGCCTGGAGGTTATGCCGTGTCCTGAGGGTCGAGGGGTGCTCTGGTCCCAGCACTTTCTCTTTCAGCTCCAGTGTCTGCCGATGCATCTGCTCTGCCTCTTCGTACTTCCCCTGCTTTCGAAACACTTCAGCCAGGTTGTTCATGCTAGTGAGTGTTTTGGGATTTTCTGTCCCCAGCACTTTCACTCTCAGCTCCAGCGTCTCCCAATGCATCTGCTCCGCCTTATTGTGCTTCCCTTGATTACAAAGTACTCCTGCTAGGTTGTTTATACTGATAAGTGTGTCGGGATTCTCTAGTCCCAGCACATTCTTGTATAGCTTCAGCGTCTATCGGTACATCTGCTCTGCCTTATCGTACTTCCCTTGATATTGAAACATTTCTGCTAGGTTGTTTATACTGGTGAGTGTAAAGAAATTCTCTGGTCCTAATACCTTCTTATACAGCTCCAGCGTCTACTAATGCATCTGTTTTGCCTCATCGTAGTTCCCTTGGCTTCGAAGCACTTTAGCTAGATTGTTTATGCTGTTAAGTGTGTCGGGGTTCTCTGGTCCTAGAACCTTCTTCTTTAGCTCTAATATCTGCCGATAAATCTACTTTGCCTTGTTGTACTTCCCTTGATTTTGAAGCATAAGTGCTAAGTTGTTTATGCTGATCAGTGTATCAGGATTCTTTAGTCCTAGCACCTTCCGCCTTATCCCAAGTGTCTGCCGATGCATCTGCTCCGTCACATCGTACTTTCCCTGGCTTCGAAGCACTTCTGCCAGGTCATCCATGCTGACTAGTATGGACAGATTCTCTAGTCCTAGTGTCTTTTGCCTTAGCTCCACGCTCTACCAAAGCATCTACTCCGCCTCGTCATACTTCCCAAGCAGACTATTACTTTCTCCTGCGTTACATAGCAAATTCCAAAGCGCCTCATGATCTTTGCAAAGGCTCTGGACTTGAAGTACCGCTTACACATGCGGTAAGTAAGCCATCCAAACATCTCTATTCCCGTGGTCTGGCCAAGGAAACCTCTTATAAAGCTAGTAAATCGTCTCTGTCACTTGCTCTTCTTCCTTCCCTTGCTCGCATAGCCAGTTATGCATCACTAAGCGCACCAGTCAATGAACATCGAATCTATCTACTGCGTCTCGCTTCAAAATGAACGCGTAGGCTATTAGCGTGCTTATCGCTTCATCGGTGTCCATTTCGTCGTCTATGTCCATTTTGTCGTCTATGTCCATTTCGTCCTTTCTAGTCAGCAAAAGAGCTCTTAGGATATCTCTCTCTGTGAGATAATAAATAAAACTAAGGTAAATTACTACTAATAGGTTATCCCTTAAAATGTGCTGAGAGAAAATCAGCTATGTTATAGCAATTAAGTTCTAAATGTCTTTGTATTAATCTTAATCTTCAAAATTACTACTTAATAGCTTTATAAGCCTATTATTACTAGCTTTATAATATTTAAGATATTTAAAAACAGTTATATTTTTATTAAAAGCTATATAAGCTAATACTTATCATATAACTAAAAGCAGATAAGTAAAGTATTTAAGCAACTATATAGTGCTTTAATTATTACTAGTCTGGCTTCTGTCTAAGCTGTTACATAAGAGTTAAGTGGCCTCTATGTTACCTATCTCTAGTAGGCGTATAAGGTAACTACGACTAAATCTTACTACAGCCTGATGGTTTCGCGTTATAAGTAGGATAAAGCTTTTCCAACTAGAGGGGAGATAGCTCGTTAACTTAGAGCTTATAAACAACAGCTTTGCATCATTAGCGTTATCAATAATCAAAAGCCAGCTATTAACGTTATCCTATTATAATACAGCTATTACTAAGCTTTTAACGTCTACCTGGTCATCCTTAATATCTTGGATATCAAGCGCCCAGCCAATTTCACAATACACATTTTCAAATATAACTATGCTTACAGCTAGTACCCAGAACACAGAGCAATCTAAGTATATATCATAAACGTAGTACATAACTTCAATAGCAACTTATGTCTTACCTATCCCTCTAAGACCCACAATAGCAGTTCTCTAACAAGCATCTTTGTTAGCGCTCAAAGGAGTCCTCTCAAGAAGCTATATTAATATCTTATCTTTACCAACAAAGTTTTTATTTTATCTAAATAAAACAACAAAATAAGGCTTTAGGTAAACTAATAGGCATTAAGATCTTAACTAATATATAATACACTTTACTTATAATTCTCTAAGCTATCTAAATTACTTAAAACTTATAATGAAATAGTATATAGTAGCTCTTTTACATACACTACTATAATAGCCGCTATATATAGTTACCACTGCTTATTCTTGTATACGTCTACATAGTCACAGATACCACAAACAATAATACAAGGCAAGTTATTCATCAGACCAGCCACCTCCATCTCGAAGCACAAGACGCCTCCCAGCTCCTAACTGTATCTGTCGCACATCAACCCATTTTTCATCATCTAATTCCCAGATACAATATTACCAAAAAAACAGTACTAGGCCCATTATTACGCATACGTTCCTATTTACCAAGTCTTCTAGACAGCACTTTACATATATAGCTCTACTAAAGTATAGCAACAATACCTTATAAAGTATATCTTTTTTAGGGCCTAGTAACATAAACCTTAGCTAAATAGAGAGTTTAGATAGATATATAAGGATCTACGTATTACCCCAGATATCATTAGCGCAGAGCTTGGCTAAGGCGCTAAGGAGGATCGTCGGTGGCGTATTAAGGCTGCCCATGCGAATAATACAGCCATCCGCCCCAGTCTTCCCAAAGTCATACTAGATCACTCCACCGTGCTGCCCTAACGGCTAGCTAATAACAACGTCACCCAGCCAAATATCAATATCGTCATCAAGATTCGGGACGCCACCACCAATACCAACAAGAACACCAAACCGCAGCAAAAAGAAGCTGCTCTTCATCTGGCTGGCCACCATAGCTGCTTGGTTTGTGCCCATCTAGCCGGCAGGTAAACAAGCAGCCACAACATTGTGGACACCAATCCGGCCGAAATGGTAGAGGTTAGAATCGGTCGGGTGGGACGGGAGGTCAGCGAATTCCTTGTCTATCATCTTGGCCACGGCTGCTAGCTCGATGGGCAGAGCGCAGATCCAGCCGACGGTGAAGTCGCAGGCGGGGACGGACTTGGCCATGTCGCGTCGGTTTTGGTGTTGGACCTTAGCAAAGGGGGGAAGACTAAGTGTGGGCGCAAGTTATAGAAAAATACATGGCGTCGAGCATTCCGTTTTGTGAAGACCTCTGTGCCCTCCATCGAGACAGTATGGTGTGAACAGAATCATGTTCTCAGCCTTGCCGTGAGGGGTCAGACGTGGCGTGGCATCGCAGCCTGCAGGACCAACCGCCATCCAGAGTAAGCACTAAGTGATTGATGTTGGCGTGATTGGCTGCTGGTTGCTCCGTGTGGGTACTGGGGTGCCCAGATGTAAGGCAAGATAAGACAGCCCCGTCGCTACTGCAATAGCTGCCCACAAGAGGTCCAGGTATCGCAAGTCGCATGAGTTTCTAGGAACTGTTCTGCCAATGAAATCAAAGTGTTGCGTTGGCTTCGACTCTTGCGCGAGGTCTTTGTGGGAGATGCCTCAAATGCCACCACCATCTAAGTATGTTAGCGACGAAGGTGTCGTACGATAAACGGCACCGAGTAAATAACAAGATTGTCAACGGTGAGAAAGGGGCTTGAGGCTATGACCACGCGACGGCGCGTCTCGGGCCGGTCCGGTCTGATCTTGTTGATGACCTTTTATTTATTTACTGTAGTTCGAATGATGATCTTCAGACGATCAAGTACGCACAGAAGACATCGTGGAGTGTTATCGTGTTTTCGTTTATTGACAAGGGTCACAGCTTGCCAGAGCGACGTTTCACCCCTGCTGAGGTGCATTACGCACAGGCCGCACAAGCTACTCACCTCGTGATGTCTGTTGGCCCGACGATTCACCTGAGCCGAAAACGACTATGTGTTTATTGCCACTGCCAGTGCCATTTCGATCCACGTTCAAAACCTTTGGCGCACGCCGCGAACATCCTACTGTAATTTTACGGGAGAAGACTCACGTCACGCTAATCATTCTGGGGCCGTACTTTCTGGACAGTCGCGAGTGTAAAACATGGCTGGTCGAAAGACTTTTGTTCTATGGACGGAGATTGACCAACCAATGAATGCACAGGTGCTGTGGAGTCCATCAAAAGGCATAAACCGAGACTGCATTAATCACCGCCGTTTTTGGATCTTGGATTATGCGACATAGGTCTAAACCACGAACACAGTGTAAGAACAATTTCTGTCTTGTTTGTTTTTTTGTGTTTCTTAACGCCGGGACGTCCCAGCTTGGGGCAAAGGGCGCCTATCATTTTACTTCAGGCTTCCAGGCCTTACATACAGGCAGAGAGGTACAGGACAACAGAGCTGCGGTGCACAGAAGGCCCTTCTCGCCGTCAGCAGACAGGAGATTCTATATATCAGTGTTCTATACCGCGCCGCAATTTCTGTCTTCTATGCAGGTCGAGGAAAGTACTCTCTGGGCCTCATCATGTATCCTGTCAGCAAACGGATCCACAATTGCCTGTACGCAGAAGAGTTTCTGTTTGAGAACATGGAAACCAATTTCGATTTCCTCTGTACCTCTGGTGTTCTAGAGTAGAACAAAAAAGGCAGGTGGACTAAAATCGCTCCCGTTTAAGTGACCACAGCGTCAACAGGGGGGACGGCCCAGAAACAACCAATCAAAGAGGAGCTGCACAGACACATCAATGGTAATCCTCCTTCCGCTACGGAGCATAGTTGCAGTTACTTCGTGTGCTTCGTCCCGGCCGTTCGTGATGGATGCAGGGGTCATCCTTCTAGCCAAGAGGAGGGTATGCCAAAATCTGGAGATAGCAAGGGCGCATCTCCTCAACCGGTTCATATATCAGCCAAAACAAGTTATAGGGCAATATCCACCGCGCCAAATCTGGGGAAATAAGTGTCGTCTGACTACTGAAAGATTCGAATAGGTCGTGCAGTGTTAGTCCACTTTGATTTCGCTGATTTTGCCTAGTACTATTGAGTCATTGTGGCTGCAACTGCTTCTGTGGCCATAAATGTAAAGTTGTGATAAGCAAATCGCTCAATTTCTCAATCAGTGCACCTCGCAGCTGACTGGGTGACCTGCCTTAGCTCGAGGTTCATGACCCGAGATTTGGGTTTTGTTTGGATGTCGTTATCCATGGAGGTAACCTGGGGAACCCTCGGACAAGAATGACATCAATTTTCAGCGGATTATGACTGGTAACGGCCCGGCGATTAGGCGTTCGAACATATTTTTACGCACAAGTCCCACGGGACATAGGGGTGTTTTGCCAAGCTTCGACGCTAACGATGACAGAAGTTTATCCAACCCTTGCATGTATGCATGGGCTGTGAGGATTTCGAACTGCTCGAATCGCCCTTACTCGTCTTGTTTCCCGGTTCAAGTAGCAGTTCTGCTAGCTCCACAATATGGCCTTGCAATGACGGCTCTTAATCGCTGTGAGAAGCATGCCTAATTGGATATATGTCCAGGCCTTGACCACCCCTCATTGTTTCACTAATCTAGGCCATGCTTCAAGTCTGTGTTCTGGCCCTGCCTAAGGAACACAGCAGTCGAATGCAGGGGAATCAAGTCATATTAAAGAACTCTTTCCCATTAATTCACTGGGCTGAAGCATCCTGTCCACTTTCTTATTTGTGGTTTTGAGTGATGTGCTTTGTTCGATTCAAATGCTTGCGGGCAGACCTTTGAGCCCAAAACACAGCCCTTGCCTTGTTGGCTCTTCAAGAAGATATGAGCGAACATTTATCGCCCCCAGTGGGGCTCAGCCGCCGTCCCCATCTGGCGATGGGCCTCTGGCGATGGGCCTCTGGCTCAGTCACATTTTGTCTACAATGCAAGTCAAGCAGATGCAACAATTGCATTCAGCGCCATTGTGACTATTATCACAACTGCTTTGGTCATCACTAGGCTTTACACCCGATTATTCATCACGAAACGAATTTGGATAGACGACGCTTGGGCAGTGTGTGCATTAGTATGTCCTTCATTCTGACCCTCACCGCTACGATATGTTTACTCATACAACATGCCATAGCTCAGCACTATTGGGGTCAATGCCATGCAGAGTATATATATGAAGAGCTATCTTCCGTTCATTCATACAATGATCAAAACAGAAGGCGAAAGCGCAAAGGTATATGGTGAATCTCGGCCTTGAGAGTTGGCATTTTACTAAGGTTTACACCAGATCCCATACGCAACCGGGATAACTTACAACGTCGCTATAGCATCTTTAAAAATGACTTTCTTATTCCAGTTTTATCATATCTTCAGACATGTCCGCATCATGCGATATATCTATATTGTCGCTGTTCTCGTTGTCGCGGCATGGAGCTCAACGCAAATCTTCCTCGGAATTTTCATATGCTTCCCTATCCAAACCAACTGGGATCACAGTGTTATGGGTGCCAAGTGCCTGCCCACCGTCTTGTCGACGTACTTCAATGCTACGGGAACAATAGTCACGAATATCATCGTACTGTTCCTACCTCTGCCCACACTTTGGGCCTTGAAGCTACGTAACCGCCAATGTTGGGCAGCATTGGGAGTATTCGGTATCGACGCCATGTAAGTTTTTCCTCGTGCCATGCCGAGAAGCATACATTCCTTCTTTATATCGTTCGGTAACTAACCAGGCGTCAATCAGTGTTCCTATCATCTCCGGCGGCCGGATCTGGAGTTTGTATAATGCACCGCCAATGGGATACATGAGCACGGCTTGCTGGACGATTGCCGAGCTTGGTGTTGGTATCACGACTGCATCTTTGGCTACCGTCCACCACCTTCTCGATCCTAAGAGTAACTCACTATTCCAACAACCACAGGAAGTGGCCCAGGGCCAGGCTTCCATGGGAAGAGATGTGTCAGAGAACTTGACATCACAATATAATCATCGCGCGAATGGGAGCGAAGTCGGACTGATTGGCGGCAATCGGCGACAAACAAGTGGCGACTTAAATCTTACCATTCGCTTAGATATGCGAGCTCACCAAGCAAAGACTTTGAGATTGCCACTAAAGAGATACTCGTTGGAAGCCCGACTAGAAAGGCTCAGGAGGGTATCAAACCAGCCCCAAAATTGACCGGGGGCACAACGAGGACCAATATCGCAACCTCCGGCGAAGGAGCGCTGCAATATTTCTCGGCGAGTTTGGTGTTCTTGTAGAAAAGACTTGGGAGGTTCAAGAAATCCGCATGGAGTAAATACGTGAGATGCACATCTAATCTGTGAAAAAAAAGGACTTTTAATACTATGATCCGACTGGCTTTATGCGTTAGTTATTGTTGGTCTCGCAGACGGTGTTACCCGTACGATTGATAGCAACGATCACGTCAAAGTGGTGATATTGCTGATGGCTCTGTTGAGGTATTCGGTATGGAGATGGGATGTCTAACTGCGTGGCCAGCGGCAAAGTGAAGTGGGATATGCCCCTCGTTGTGGCCGAGGGGTTGGCCCCACCTTGCAGGGTGTGACTGACCGGGCTGTGCTCCCAATCTGTCTGATGATGCCATCGATTGCCCTCTTCCAAGATTTATATCAAGCAACTACCTCCTTAACAATTCTTAACAGTATCAAAAGTAGCCGTGCTGATACTTGTCCCTGTGTAGGCTTCTCGCTGGGTGAGGAGGTTACCAAGCTACAACATTCCCAATGAGTGCGCTCTTGCTACGCTGGATTCTCTTAATAGTAAATTACAAAATGCTAAGAAGTCCTAAAAGAAAGACTAGAATACAGGTTCAAGATCCCGTTTTAGTTAATAGAAAGAGGTACGGGGGGATAGAGATGGAAATGTTATTGTTGATTAGGTAGAATAGCTACTATAAACTTAGTTCTGTCAAGTGTATCTACTCGGCACAGAATGTAATCAGGTTTATCTCCATATCATATCCCAATCTTGCATAGATAGTAACTTGTAAGGTAAGCCATGACTTGATAAGTGCGAGAATTGGAAGACCGTGACATGTGAAAGAGAATGCGATAAAATAGGCGAGGCTAAACAAACATGAGGTCGGTTGGGTTGAAACAAATATACTACACTCCCTTTTGGTTTCATTGAGCGTCGTTCATCTTAAATCCAATTGGCATTGTTGACGACAGGAGTTTGAAACGACCTTGGTTAGGGAGGAGGACTGTGCTGGCAGGTCTTTCCAATTAGCCAATCGCATTCGCGCGACTAGTAGTACCAGAAGTAGTATGCATCTTAGTGTCGTATAGTAAGTTGCACTCAACGTCAAATTTGGTTTGTGCATAACGCAAAATTGGTTCTTTGTTACCGATTGGCACTTCCAGGGATATCAAGAACAACGTCTATGACCCTGTGACATGTGACAGATTAGAAAGATTCTGGCATTGGCTCTCATACGGAGCCGAGGATAGGAAAGCTCAGACAAAGAATAAAAGGGAAGCAAGTCTCATGGTTAAGAGTTGTGCAGTAGTATATAACCAATCAGGTTCAAAGTATGCTTTCGATATAAAAGCGAGGCGGCTCCTCCTCTGGGCACATAACCTAATCAGCACACGGATATCTCCAGGCTTGTTTTAGATACGGTAGCGGTAAGAACCAACCTCATTCAGTAGCCACCATCATCATGGCTAAACGCTTTCACGTCCTCGCGAAAAGGCTTTTCACGCTGTTCGCCTATTTCTTTATTTCGTGCGACAGTACTACTTGAACTTTCTTTACAATCTTAACCTCAATGACAGTTCTAGTGGTGTCGGCGGCAGTAACGACAAAGCGATGGATGCGACAGCGGAAAACAGAACGCTTTTGAATTGGCCCCGCTGGGCTGATGGCCAGCAGCTGCTGCACATGACAGAAAACGCTAGCGAGCTGATCCCAGATAACTTCCGGCAGTCGAATTTCGAATTCCTCTTTGGGAACCAGGATAATATCCTCATTTAACTCAGGTAACCCACCTTTGAACAATCATTAACACCACAATACCTTTCAACATCATATTTTCTCTAGCACATTTTAGCCGTCGGGAAGACTTCAAGCGGCGTAAGCGAGCAAACAGCTGTCATAAAGGTCGTGGGTATTTCAAATAATTTCGCTGCAGAAGTCGGAAATTGCACACTTTGAAAACTTTATGAAACACACATAGTAAAACGGGGTTTGTTGCAATTAGTCCTGCGGTACATACCTTTTCAGACAGGCAAATTACTGGGTCTCATCTTAGGGGCGTCCCTAGGAATCAAACAGCTTCAGCCGCTTGAAACGCCCCAAGGCGGTGCCGTAACAAAATCTAGATGCCTTGAGAACCACATGGGGCTCTGGGAACCAGTTCATGAATCCTTGGGAAGCGGCCGCCCGGAAAAGACTACAGGAAGCCTTGTAAAGAATGATGACCAAAGTGGACACTATGTTTCTAAGCTTACAAGCAAGCTACTTTTATCTGACAAAGTGTAGATGCTTATGAGCAAGATGATCAAGTTGGGCGCCCCACACCAATGGCAAAAAAAGTTCATTCCAGTATCCCTTTAGCAGCTGTGTTTTCAATAGGCGCTGAGATCCCAACATATACGAGCTCCTTCTAGGGTATCTGGGTCTTTGCACATCTAAGGGTACCACTGGGGTGCTTCTTACTGTTTACTGAAGTAGAAACCTTATGATAGAAGGACTAATTGAGACAACCGACCCAAAATGTCTTTTAATCTGGATTTTAGTACTGGTGGGTGGGTATAAAAGGTTTTATACCACAAACGCTGCAACGTAAAAAGTCACCTCAGAGCCTTCAAGCCTGGGAAAGGTAGAGCACAATGGTGTCTGGGATGATAACGAGCGATAGATCCCCCGATACCCCACTTCCTTCGGCCGGAGAATCGAAGCGCGTGAAGACAATTGGTTCATCAAATGCAGAGACGGAGATTGCGATACCGCTAGCGACAGCCGACGAACCCAGAACTCGAGAGTCTTTATGGGTTTCGGTCGTTAAAGGATAAGTCTGCTGCAACCACGACCCTTGCGGGAAAAGAATGGGGCAACGGACGACTTTTGGCTAGAAACCCCGCCATCTCTCAAAAGGACATCTTACCACTCACCAACCTGCACGAGCCGCAGACAACACAATCCGGGTAATTCTCACCAGAAGCATTTTGACTATTGAGAATATGGCCGAGGAGTCGGAGACCGGGCAAGTCACTGCGACCGCGCCTGCGACTGCACCTGCGACCACCTCCGGACCCTCCGCGGTGGCCCTGCCGCCGCCGCAGCCCGAGCCAGCGGAGGAGGTGGAAATTAACGATGAGGCATATGTCAGTACCAGCTGCGCACACCATTGGATCGGGACCTCAGGAACACTATTGCTGACAATTAGTGCTTTCTTAATAGGCCACGGATGACACATCTTCCATGGATGAAAGAATGTACGGCACCCTGCTTTCAGCCTGGTGGCCAATGTGTTGTTAACCTATCAGCTCATCCTACACTGCTTCACTCACGTCCAGTGTCGTCGACTATCCCATCGAGTATGGTCGCCGCTATCACGCGTATCGCCCTGGATGTAGGTAGACTTATTTGTAGCCTAAACATCTAGGCAAGAGCCAGACGGATCGTGGTCTGCTAACAGGCCATGTAGCTTACAAGTTTCCCAACGATGAGGTGCGACTTCACCAGGAAGGAGCAAAGCATGGACGTGTTTCTGACTTTGGGACTGTAGTTCGAGATGGACCGACTTGATCTCGCTCACGCGATGATGGTGAAGGCAATGGGCAGCGTGCTTTTTCGCGCCCCGCTTCAGAAGGAAAAGGTTCAGCGTGTTCTCGATATCGGAACGGGCACTGGAATTTGTAAGTGGCGGCTAAGGGCCAACTTTGACTCAGGTATCATATATATTGACTATGCCATTTGACAGGGGCCGTCGAAATTGGAGACATTTTCGAAAATGCTGAAGTAAGTTTGCGCCACGCTTCTTTACAGCACATTTATCCGCCGCCTCACATCACAGGGATTAAGTACAACACTAGGTACTTGGCATCGACCTGAGCGCCATTACTCCTGAGTGGTAAGTCCAACACTTCATCTTGAATCCTCCAATTGATTGTTTTCGACGAACTTCGTCCAACTTACCAGTTTGAATTCCAGGCACCCTCCGAACGTCAAATTTGAGATTGATGATATCGAGGAGCCCTGGGTCGGCCATAAAAAGTATGACTTCATCTTTTGTCGCTACATGGGAGCCTCAATCAAAGACTGGCCCAAGTTGATGGAGAACATTTACGAGTAAGTTTCCCCGCTTTCGCTGCTTCACATGGTAGGGAAGCTGAAGAGTCTAGCAACCTCGCTCCGGGAGGCTGGGCAGAGTTCCAGGACGTCAACACCTCCTTCTACTCCCAGGACGGAACCTACTCGAAGGAGACGGCCACTTCTAAGTGGATGACCGCCTTCATGGAAGCCTGCTCGGCAACAGGCCGCGATCCCAGCGTCGGGCCGAAGCTGGAGGGCTGGGTCAGGAATGCCCAATTCCAAAATGTTGTTGCAGACCGTGTGCGGGCGCCGCTTGGCCCTTGGCCCAAAGACCAGTGGTACAGTGATCTGGGCATGATGAACCTGATTTTAACGCTTAACGGGTTGGAGGCCTTGTCGCTGAAGCTCTTCTCTGAGATGCTTGGGAAATCGCAGGTGGAGATCACGGTGCAGTTGGCCAACGTTCGGAAGGAGTTGAAGAGCAACTCATTCCACGCGATGTTTGACATGTGAGTTTCGTCGGATATGGCTGAGTGCATCGCTAACAATGTTGTAGTCACGTCGTCTACGGTCAGAAGCCAATCAAACCTAGGCAATAGGCTATTGCTGAAAGACGAGATGTGGCCTATTGTTACAAAACGGTTTTGCGAATGTTATGCAGTATCCACACCATGTATATGGTTGATCGCAGAAAAGGGCTCCGTGGAACCTTAGCTTAAGGTATACTAAAATAAACAACTGTTGCAACACATTGTCTGTAATAGCCAGTGTTAGGGATGGATCATAGTCAATGAGCTATATCATCTATCTTGGTTCTGATCCTGCTGCGATCTTTTCCCATCTCCGTGTTCCTCCCCTCCGCTTTCAGTGAATTTTCCAAAACATTTTGCGTGTCGCGACAGGCCGTGCAATGTAATGAGAGAAAAAAATCACCCAGATCAATATCTTGCCTCGTTTCTTATTCGTTGTTGTCTTTATGCCGATACATGTGACTTATTCTAATGCAATCCTCTTCCTGAAGCCTGCTCATAGACCAACTCGTGGGCTCGTTGATTGTGTCAGGTTCCAAACGCCTCATTCAAAAGCCCTCTAATTCTAATTCGGTATTGATCCACATAAATCATTGTGGTAATGTCTACAATCTTATTGATCCACAATATACTGACTTCATTAACCAGCCTCAGCTTTTGCTATTCTCAGGAACACTGACCTGTTGAGCGCTGTTGGCGCTTGAGTCAAATTTTTTGCGCTGGAACTACACTTGCCTAGCAACAAGTAGATCCACTTGAGGCTGTAAATTTTCTGGTTGCACCGCAATTCACTGCACAATAGTTGCCCGAATATCAGGTTCCCTCTCAAACATTGATTCCAGAATATCAAAACCCTCGGCTGCTCTGACACTAGATTTAGAATTGAGTTTCTCAAGCAATTCCTTTTGCTCCTGAGTAGACTTCCCGTTAAGATCATCATTGCTTTAAAGAGATGACGAACAGTCGAAGATTGAAAGCTCTGTATGGAGGGTTCGAAGTGAGGGTTACAGGTATCTGTAAGGACCAGCTTTAAAATTCCATAAGCGATTAGATGGGTAATGAGGCAAACTTTTCTCCATTAATGCCATGGCCAATCCACTCGCCGAAATCAATAACGACAAGGTTCCTACGGTCAGAACGTGTCGGGGGTAGGCCTCTTCAAAAGTTGCTGTAAGCGCTGGGTGCATAGTGCAGACATAGGACGACTTGCCTTTTGATATCGGCTAAGATATTGCGATACTAGTGGGAAGCTTTATCATGGAAATCGCTAACCAAGATTTGAGCGCTATTTCCTTAGTTCTTGGTACACATTTTTGCGTCGTGTTAGTCATATTGTGAATCTTATCCAGAGCAGTCATACAGTCATCAACTACTTTCGTCACATATATCTCTACAAGAAAAGTAACTAATTTACTATACTATTTATTAAAGTCCCCTTTGCTCTAATAGTAGTAAATAAAGTAATGATTATACTTTAAGTTTTAGACTACTAAGAATACATTATTAATAGTAATAATATACTTAAGTCTTTAAATGTTTTTAATAACAAAAAATATACTATTTGTTAGAATAACAGCACCAGCTGGTTGTACGACACGCACGACTCAGGGACACACATCATGGCAGAGGGCACAGACTGGATATTCGGCTCTCGGTTATCCATTAAGGGGATCAAAAGTATATTCATGCCGAACTAACTCAGGGATATACAAGATCATATATCTCGTGTACAAAAGCCAAGTCTTGTAGTTAGGAAGATAATCACAGTAAATATATCTTTGGTTCACCTTAACTTTTAACCCGTGTACGATCGTACAAACGGGTTCTCTCAGGAAGAGAGAATCCATTCAACACTATTAACTAAAAGTTTCTTATTAACTATAATACTATAAAACAATAAAATACTTATAGTAAAAGCAGAAGTTAAGGTATTAGGGTAACCTTCTTAGCCTAAAAGAGTACTGCGACTAATTGGCTAAATCTATAAGGTTTACCCTAGACCTTTAATAGATTAACCTGAGGTATAGTTGGCCTCTAGCCAGCCAGATAGAACGGGACGGGATTACTACGTGGTGCTCTCTGCTAATCGTTGTGCTATAGATGTTTAACAGAACCCGAGGACAGGAAGATAGTGCAATGAGATTTCTCTTTGCCACTGATACATTTAAGTCCGGTTGCCTCTCTACATAGATTCAATTGCGATAAACCTAGCTCTTAAAAGAATAACTGCGCGTAGATCCAAGTTAGTTACTTAGCAAAACAGGCAAGACAGCTTTTCAACAAGGGATAATTTTCAAAGCTATAGTAGAACGTTGTTACATGTAATATTTATTCCTGCCATATCACAGACTAACAAAATCTTTAACTAATTAAGCAAACAACCTACTTCTGGAACGCACTTGCCTTGCAGAGGAATGTTAGTGTTACGGTCAGATATCCGATAGTAGTGTTTTCTGCTAATAGGCAGCTGAGGTTAATACTCGGTAACAGTAAAGTAAGTCTTATTAGTAATCTTGCTGGTCTATTAGTGTCTAGTGATTAGTCAGGCACGTCTAGGCATAAGTAGCTTATAGCTTTACAATAGAAAGATAATTTAAAAGTTACTTATAAGAGAATGAATTACAAAGTTAATTACTAAAAAGCTATAAAAGGTTTTTATCTTCTTGAAATAAGTATCCTTATTGTTACAGTCAGATGTCCGACAGTAGTGTTTTCTGCTAATAGGTAGCTAAGGTTAATACTCGGTAACAGTAAGGTGAGTCTTATTGGTCTGTTGGTGTCTAGTGATCAGTCAAGCACATCTAAGCGTAGATAGCTTATAGCTTCATAATAGAAGGATAATCTAAGAGTCACTTATAAGGGAGTGAATCACGAAGTTGATTGCTGAAGAGCTATAGGAGGTATCTAGTCTAGTTAGAATAATTGTCCTTATATCTTATTATTACTTTACTAGGACTAATCTCTTAAAGTTAGTCTTTAATAAGGACTAATTCTCAGTATATTAGTTTTAGGTTATAGACTACTTATTTATTAGTAGTTTTTTTTTATTTTTATATAACTTTCTTTAGTTTTTTATTTTAAGAAAAAGATTAATGTATTCTTATGTTATGTTATATATAACCTTGTTTTATAACTACTAAGCGCTTATAAGGTAACCTTAGTTATATTATACTTATTAGGTTATAATATTAGGTCTCTTCTTTAAAGGTCTTGCCCTTAAGACCTTATAAATAGGTTATTTCTTTTAGGTTAAAAAGTCGTTAAACTTATTTTCTTATTTATTTATAATACTAATATTATATTAAGTTATATAAAAAAATTAAAATTAAAAGTAAAGTCTTAGAAAATAAAAATAAAAATTATAAGCGCTTTATACTTTTAAAGTTTATTAAAGCTTATTTTATTATTACTAATATACTTTATACTTATTGTTTTTATATAAAAACTACTTATTGTTTTAATAAAGGTTTTTTTATTATTAAAGTTATATTAAGGCTAAAAAGCCTTATAATAGTGTTTTAATAGCTTTTACTTATAAGTATTTTTTAATTAAGTATAATCTTTTTTTGTTTAACTTTTATTTATAGTATAAAAATTAAATACTTAATAAAAGAAATAAGATAAAAAAAAGGAGATAATAAGTAAAGAGCTTTTAAGGCTTTATAAAAAGCTTACTTAATTATAGTTTTTAATAGCTATTATAGCTAGCTATTTATTTAGGATTTAGAAAACTTAGAAACTTATTTATAAGCGTTAAGCTAAAACTTTTTATTATAGTATATAAGAAATTAATAAGTTTAATACCTTAGAGTTAATATTAGATACTTATAAATAGAGAATAATAGAAGAGTTATAGTTTATATAAGTACCTAATAATATAAACTAGTCTTTATATAGGCTTAGTAATAAGTTCTTAAACTTAGGGCTATTAGTATAGGCGTCTAGTTCTAAAGTATCTATAAGTTATAATAGTCTTAGAGTAGCTATTAAAAGTACTAAAGGTTCTTAATTAGTTCCTATAAGTTATCCTTATATTTATATTCTTTCTATTTAATAAGATATTATGTTTTTTTATTTTTTTCTTATTTATTAATAATTTATTTAACTTTATATTTTAGTTTATTTAGTTTTATAATAATATAATTATTAGTAACTATTTAATCTTTATAGTACTAGTTTAAGTAAAGCAATATAAAAAACTAAATAGATTTTTATTATATTTAGTAAGTTAAGTTTAAAGTTAAAGTTTAAGATTTTTTAAATGATTTTAAAAGGTCTAAGTTTTTATAGTTTAATTTATTACTTAGTTATTTTATTTTAATATTATATTATAAAAGATATACGTTATCTTTCTCTTTAAAGGTTAGTCTCTTAATCTTTAATACATTAATATATTTCTTTATTTATACCTTAATAAATTTAAGATCTTTAGTAGTTTTTTTCTAGATTTCTTATAATTTATTATAATTTATTATAGCTTTTAGTACTTATAGTCTTTATTAAGGTTCTTTATATACTATAGGCTTAAATCTATAATTTAAGTAGAACAAGGAGTTTAGTATACTTTCTCTTATAGTACTATTATAGGTAAATTAAGCTATTAGTAGTAGTAGTACTTAATTATTTTAGTTATAGTTAATATAATATTATAAATATTATTTAAGTATCTAGTTAACTTATTCTATTTGTTTATTAGTTTATAGGTAAAAAGTAGTTAATAGCTTATAATTAGCTTCTTATAACGGTCTAAGGCAAGGTGTATTATAACTAGCTATAGTGACTACGTATAAGTATTCTTAGATAAGGATCAGAAGGAAAAAAACAGTATATCTTTGCCTTACTGCTGGTCTGATCAGGGCTATACCGTACTGACTATCGGATCGTTGGCATTATAGGTTCCGTGGTAGGCCTGATCAGGGGTGGCTTATGGTTAAGATATTTAGTAAGGCCTTATATAGGCCTAGCCTATTATAATACCCCTCTCCTTTTTTTCCTCTATAAGGTAAGAGCTTCTTTGTATTGAAATTTAGCTTATACTATAGTATCTTTTAGGTTATTTAATAGTTCTT